TAAAGTGTGCAAGCATGCACAATATATGAAGCATGAGGTTTAAGTTGCTGGCCTTGCGCACAGCCTTGTTTGTTCTTGGTGGAATTGCCTAGAAGCAGAATTCAAAACCATGTGACACAAAATGTTTTCTTTTGGAACCACTACGACTCAAGTTCTCATAGTGGCAGCTCTTTTGGCCTTTTCAATAACGGTAATAACAGGGAGGAACACCACTCTTTGAACTATGAGATAGCCTAGTTAGGAAAAACCACAATAATGAGTGTGTGTGTGTGTGTGTGTGTGTGTGTGTAGTGTGTAAGGCATGCTGCCAATAAAAGCCTTGCAGGGTGGAGCTCACATCAGCTGCAGCTGAACAGCTGGCCACTGCGGGCTAACAGAGTCGAGATGGAGAAAAGGTCAGGCTGCCACCCCCATGTTTGCTTACTGCGGGCTGGCATGGCTACCCGTTTTCAAGCAGCTGCCCTGCAATCCGTTTCCCAAAACAGGGAAGGAGATCAGGAAAAAAACAAAAGGCAGGAAATGATTACGGGAAAAAACAATAAAAAAAAGATGGTAAATTCCTGTTAAGAGACGGAAGACTTACTCATCATAAGACTTTCATAACAATTAATGAAGTGTCATCAACTGTATTGCTTGAGCTGCAATATCCTAAATACTAACCCTCCCTTGATTAGTCATGGGACCATTGTGAACTATAAATACATTCATTGTTCAGTCATGTCCTAATGTGAAGGTCTTATTCTTTAATTAGGGATGTGCACGGTTAGTCAACTAAACCATTAAATGGTTACCACAGAGGGTGGTGACTGAAATGATTTCAGTCACCACCCTCTATGTTAGGCACCAGAGTTGGACATACTGACTACATGTCCTGATGCTCTACTACCCGATGTAAACAAGCACAGTGAATGGAGTCACAGTTTGGCAGTATTTCATCTAGAAGATGGAGAGGAAGTTGCTTGTGGGTTAAGCTGGCATATAATCACACGACCAGAGAATGCATAATCACATTCAGCACCGGCCTGTGGACGTTAATCTACAAGGTGGACCAAATGCTGGTGTTGCTTGCAATGCTAAACTGGCCACACTTGGGAAACCAATTCGACAGACGCTGGGATCCCAAATTTATCTGTGTTCAGTAATTTGTGATCTAGTTAGACGGTGTGTTTTCTTAACTTTACACTCGCCGACTTGTCTGAATTTAAGTTAATTAACTGACTTTGAAATTAGTCGTTGGAAACATCCCTGGTAGGAATGATGCTTAACCTTCCTGTCTCTTCCTGTGATGTTTGCAGCAAGTAAAGAACTGAAATCCCTGGGTTTAAAACAAAACATTGTTTTTACACTAAAGAAACATGTTTACATATTTCACAAACCAGATCATAAGAGAAGTAAATACAAGCGCAGGAGTCAGGCTACAGCGTACTTTCCCATGTATATTTCCCTTTGTCGCTGCAGGTCATGTAGGGGTCTCCATTTCAGCTGAAATGAGGTCACCAAACAAGAAGAAACGCTACCCCAATCCAAACATTTGTTTTCTTCTCTGGCTCATATACATTCCTGGGAAGAATAGGGAACATTGCTGAACTCGCTGTAGCAAAAAAGGTACACCGGCTGGGTACGCCAGCCACAACTATTCTTCCTGTCAGGGCATAATGTAGGTGCAGAGCATGGCAGAGGCAGCCTCTGACAAAGGCAGATCACTCACAAGCACAAAGGATCTCAGGTTTCATGGGTCCATCTTGAACCATTTCTGTGCATGTAGAAATAAACTGTGTTTAAGTATTTTTTCACACTATCTGACTGATCCAATCGTTTCATGTGGGCGACAGTCAGTCAGTCCTGTGTACTCTCTGCCTCCGTTAGTATGAATAAATATGTGGCTGTCACGGTGTTACAGGACTCCTTCAGCTAATGTTTAGCTGGTTTTTGTCTAAATAGTACAAGAGGGGTTGCACGTTCAACAAGTGAGCTTTTCCTTTGACCCTATGTCTGCCAGCAGAGGGAAACGTGGGAGTGGTGACACTCCAAACACTTTGGAGAACAGGACAAGACTTGATCTGAATTATTTTTGTTAATGCAAACACCAGAAAGGTGTGGTCTGCTATCTTATAGACATGCGCTATCCTAATGCTAAACCATGCCATAGCAAGTCATCTATACGTTCCCCACAAGCATCTAAGGGGAATATTGTACTTATTTTTTCTCCTTTTCATTCAAGATATTTTATGTTTGTATTGAATCGTTTTGTTTGGTCCATGAATTAAATATATGTATAGAGCTATAACACTATAAAGCCTCTAGTGTTCTTGTTTTTTTTGAGTTACGCTGAAGTTCATAAAAGCCAGAAGTAAACTTCCTCACTGAAGTCCTGCAGGACTTCTTGGTATCTTAAACTAATAGTTAATTGGTGGAGGGGGGTTACATTAGAAGACTGAACCACTCTAATGTCTGGTAAATACATGACCACAGGTAGCTCCCTGAAAGCTATGATAAAGATAAAACAATGTAAGCCTCGCTCAGGCTTCCATTTCTATCATCATGTAATGTGTTGTTTGTTCAAACTTTTTAAAATCTGAAGTGTAAACACAATAAGGTGTAAACTCACCTAAGACAGCATGCTCAGTGTAGCAGAAATAAGGCAGGTCTATATGCTTGTTATCACACTCAACAAAAAAAGTGTAACGTGTATTTCACAGAGTGTCAGACTATTTTTTTGAATCAGTTGGTCATGTTGGTGATAAACTTGGTCCTGTGCCTCTGAAGAGAGTAGGAAAGGGATGCATGTAGAACGAAAAGCAACTAGATGATAGTAGTGCAGCAGTAATGTTTTTATGTTCATTGCTTTTCTTGAACGGTGACAATCCACTAAATTCCTACTGGTGACAGGAAGTGACCATACTGTTATAAAGCACTAATAATAAACAAAGAAAAACACACCTTAGAACTTGATACATCTGTTTGAACAGATGTTTGTGATGTTCTCTGATTTCATTGTTAATTGAGCTAATGACAGGTTTACTTGGTAAAAAAATGAACCCTGCATCTTTATATATGCCTCTCTCATGTCTGACATGTTCAGAGTGAAGAACTAAACGACTCTAGAGAATAAAGAAACGTAAGCATCAGTGACTAATGTGTACAAACACAACAACTCAATTAAATTAACTGATATGAATTGCAGTGGCTGGAGGATTGAGGATGGTGCAGATCCCTGTGGAGTTGAACACAGTAACGAGCACCAACATGGGACTGCGACAGCATGGATACATCTGCATGTTGTCTGTCGTGTCTGGGCGAGCTCAGTCAGAAGGGTTGTAGTGTCAACACAGGGAAATGTCAGAATGAAGTCACAAGTCCAAGTCCGGGCACATCTCTTTAAAGGCCAGCAAGATGACTAGGTGGAACAGGTCGTCGGCAGGCTAACAACAGGCGATATTAGTAGGATGTCCTGAAGGAATGAATCCATGTGACATTAATAACATGACTTACACCTGCAGGAAAATAGTTTATCCATTTGAAGACAAAAATACCTCTAAATCTCACTCTGTCTTTTATTTTTCCAGCCATAAAAAGATGCATGAAAGCAGAGAATAGATAATTCAGACTGTGGCTTGTGGGGTTAACCAACTTAACATCCACATTCAAACATTACCACCGTATGGGTGATTTAACTACCATCCTGTCTAACACAGCCTCTCTAGAAAAAGGCATATAGGCAAAAACTGCTTCTTTTTTTTTAGATTGCAGTTGTTTCAACTGATGTTTGACTGATTCAGAAGTTAAAAAACACACACAAGAAAAGATGCCTGTTAATACTCCAAACGACCCTGTTATACCTCTGTTTCATAATGCCTTCTGTATTATTCATTTGTCTGGATGCAGGGCGATGATTTGCTCCTGCATTGCCTGAAAACTGCTGCAGCACTTCTTTTTCAGGGCTTTTAAAAGACGAGCAGGCCAGCCAGGCATGCTCCGGCAGCTAGCTAGGCCTCTGCGCCAGATAAAAAAAAGGTGAGTTGTTCACATTCCTGCTTCATGCACAAACCAAACCCCCGATGTCACACACACACACACACACACACACACACACATAGACACACACACAAACAGACAACGTCCTTCTGCACAAGTGATTGAGCTGTTTGTGGTTGTGTGTGTGGTCCCTCCTGCCTCCACTGTTTTTCTTTCTAACCTTGCTCTACAAAAGGGAATGGGAAAGTTACAGAACAGTTAACTTGTCACCCTTAAAATCCCTCTTCCTGATTACTGATCAACTAATCAAATCCTGATTGAAACATCGAGAGTGTTCAACTCAGATCGTTCTGCTGCAATGGCAATAAAAGACCCCTATTGAAAATATAACAATGACTATCTGATAAGAGACAGCTAGGTAAGATATCAACAAGCTTTCACCAACACGCCCATAAAAAAGAAAAAAGAAAAAAGGAAAACAACCTGGCATGCAAAGGTCGTTGTGGAAACTGAACTGAACCTGGGAGCATTGCATTGACAGAAAGGCATCTACTTTGAGAGCATTTCCATAAGACGACATGATGGTCTGGGGGATCATAGTGCATCTTTATGACATCTGGATTCATATAAAAAAAAAACTCTAAGAGGGTCTGTTTAAGATCTTTGCTCACTGTGTCCTTAAGTGATGCGGTCCCTCTTTAGTGTCAACTTTCAAACAGATCTGTTTTTGGTAAGAAGTCGTGCCTTCTCCTGTTTAATGTGTGTTCTTGAAACAGGTATTTTCCAAAACATATAAATCACTGAACTACACAGGAATCAAATGGCATTGCTTTTAGTTTTAGGGAGTGTTTGAGTGAGAGGAGAGCAGGCCAACTGAGCCCCACTACTACTATAAAAGGAATGTGATGGGGAAGGGAGGGCCACTGCACCACCAACAGTACCAGACTTATTATCTTACCAACAAACAAAAAAAAAGGCTGAATGCGAGAGGGAATTAAAAAAAAATAATAATAAAGCTTGCTTACCCCAGTCCAAAAACTCCAGGATATTTTTCTCTCTTCTGAGCGGGGAGTTGTTGCACTCATCGTACAGACACACCAGGATATCCAGCAGCGTTTCCACACTCAGACACTGGCCATTAGTCTGAGCTGGCCCGTCCAGGATCAGCTTCTCCAGCTTCTTCAAACGCACCTCTCCCGACATGATTACTCCGACTTATAGGATGTTTTGAAGGAATGATGATGATGGAGGAGGAGGTGGAGGTGGGGTGGGGGGGGGAATAATCAAAAACACCTCCACGGCCTGTTTAGTCAGCGCAGAGGGGGCCTGTAAAAGAAGAAGTTCTCTCACCTTGAATAGATCTCGACAATAATAAAACTTCGACTTTGGGGGTAAGCCGGAGCTAATGCCGCGTTAAAATCGACCTGTTCATGATCTTCTATTAGGAGATCCAGTATCCAGGAGGTGGACAGCACTTGCCCATTTTTTTTTTTTTATAACACCCTATCCCCACTGGGCATACAACGAAGAAGAAGTAGTCACAACTGCAGACCCTGGCTTGCCCCGGGCCGGATGATGATATTGATGTTAGCTGGTAGTTTCTGGTCTTCTCCGAAAAAAATCAAATTGTGTCGATAGTACCTTTAAGAAATCCTCCTGAGTTGTTGTGGCAGATTTTTGGAAGTCTCCATTCTTGCAGCAACCCACAAAAAAAAAAAAAAAAATGCAAGGCAGATCTGCAATGCTACAAAGCCCACCAAGCAGCCCCTCCTCTGCTCCAGGAATGGAAGAGGGCGACACAGGCTTAGTTAGCAGCCTGCTAAGTTAGCCTCTGAGCTAACCAGGGAGCTAACCTAAACCTTACTTTCCGTCGCTTCTCAATGCCATCGTTGCCCCCCCTGTTTGACATATAATATACACCGTGTTACAAGGGCGTCTACTACTTTTGACCCCCCCCCTTTTTTTGGAAAGTGTTGATATTTTTCATCCAATTGGAAAATATTCCCTTGTTTTGTCAACTCAGTGCAGGCAGATATGCTCTTTAAATCCCATTCTCCGTCCAGAAAACAAAACCTCTGTTTAGTTTTAACAGGTCCAAATAAGTTGGTCTTCAAAATGCAGGTCCGGTTTTTTTGAAGGTTACAGCGGAGCTCGTTTCACGTCAAAGGTGTGGGGGGGGGAAACTGTGGTCTTGTCTTTGCTTATTCCACAAATACGGGACACAACCTAAATTCCCCCTCCTGTCCTTTCCGTTCCTCTGCTTTGCTTTGCTTTGCCTCCCCCGCCGGTCGGACGCTTCTTGCCTGTCTTTGCACAGTCAAGCTAACCAGCAGCCTGCTGCCAGAGACCGTCGACGGCAAAGATGACTCAATAAGCAGCTCTATCCGTAACGCCGCGCTGGATCATGGGAAGTGGGGGATCGGCTGTAAAATATGAATGGGATAAAAATGGACGCTTACTCGGCGACTCAACAAAAACCCTCCATGAGCCCTTTCATGATGCTAACCCTGTTTTAAAATAGATTAAGGTTAAGGAAACTTTTAAAGGCCGTCTATTGTGTCATTTCTACAAATATAATGCCGATATTATCTGACTTTTGCGCATGCGTGGCTCGCTGGATCCTTAAATCGGCCATCTTTGCTGTGCCATAGTCCGTACCCATCCATTACTTTCTTGGAGGCGACCTATCTCCAAACATTTTAAGGTGTCTGGGAGCTGCTGCAGGCAAAATCCCAGATCATCATCATGGCGCCCGTCACAGCATCTGCTGTGCGGAAGGGGGGGTGGGGGTTTGTTGGTGGGGGCTGTCAATATTGTGAATGGAAACTGCGGGTTGTCTGTCAGACTGCTGGTGACGTGGTGCAGAGAGGACACTTTTTCTTCTGACTGAAATTACAATCAGTGCTTGCTACTTTAACTATCTGGAGCACAGTCAGGCATAATAACCATGCAATGATGCTGAATCTATTCAAATATTCTATACCTGAAAGTTCTTGCAGAGGGCCTCATTCACAGAAAGACATTTTTTTTAAATGGCCTGTGAATGTCGGCTGTGTGTTGTATGCCTAAATTCTATTCTATTCATTGTATGCTAGCTAGCATAGAGCACATGAGCAACAACTGAGACATGAAAACTATGCATGCACTTGAATGGACATCATTCGGGTCCAATGACAGCTTTAACAAGTGTACTGTCCCTAACACCTTGAACTGGGATTTCTGTGGCCAAAGGGGTTATAGTCATTTGAAAGTTATGAAGCTTCATTGCAGCTCTTATTCTGTCAGCTTTTCCCATCTGTCAACATTAAGGTGTGTCGAGTTTGTCCTGGATTCTCTCTGCCTCTTGCACTGTTCTCACTGCAGGTCACAGCAGCTTAATGCTGGGAACAAACTCTCTAAGACAAACAGTGGTGTGTTGGAGTTGGAGTTCTCCTGACCCTGTGATCTGCAGTGTTCCTGCAGGCTGACTCAGATAGACTTTACAAAGGTTGACATAAATGAGGATTAAGCACCAATCAAGACTTTAAAATTAACTTTCTCTAAGTGACTGTGTTCGCCCTACATTTCACAGAACAAATGAACCTACTCGAGTGGCATTGTATGCAAACTCATACCCAACAGCATGTTGTGTTGGAAAATGTCAAAACTGAAACTATTACGACAGTATTGCATTCAAAATTGTGATATGCAGTTTCACTCTAAGGGGGTTTTCATCACAGTTTGTTGCTCTTAATTATCTTCTCTTGTTTTGAAACGGCCCATCCTTTTGAAGTAAGGTGCTTATCGCTGCTCAAAGTACAACTATTAATGATTAACGGCCCACAATGCAACTGGGCTCAAAGGGGGTATAGGAAGAGAGGCACTTTGTGTTTCTGTGTCTGTGAGCCACACACCAGCAGAGCTCCACATATATTCACTTCTATTTTCAGAAAGATTGACTTTTGTTGTGCGAGAGAGAAAAAAGGCATAAAAAGCGTCTGTGAGGAAATTAGCACACACAGAACAACTCAGCATGCAAGATTGTGTCCAATGAAGCAGATTTTTGATGGTGACCGACTGTAATGTGAAGCATACAGCACTGGCATGAATGTTTATCAGAAACAGACAAGCAGCAGTTTATATATTCTGCAGCGTGTGACCACTCTGAGATGATTGATTGTCTCGGCTGTGCACACATGTTCTGAGTAAAAGTTAGCTGGCAACTGTAAATAAGTATGTTAAATATACTGCTCTCATTTTTTTTCCCAAATAATCTATTAATCTGTTTGACCCTGCAGAAAAAGGTCACAACACTTTATGTGAAATTCACATGCATGTTGTATGAGGGAAATGTATGATTCTGATGCATGTGTAACCCTGGGGGATTAGTTCTCCTTTAATTCAGTTTTCATTGTTCACTTCTTAACGTGTTTATTGTTTGTAGTTGTTAATCACTGCGGGTGGGTTAAAGAGTTAAGAGCACTTCTCATCACAGAGCTTATCATCAGCCTATTGGTATTAATACGGGAGTGCTGACCCTTTTGAAGTACACTTACAAAGAACCGCTGGGATTTACATGCTGTCCAGTTCAAAGCATTTATGGTCACAGTTACTTTGGAGTTTTTGCATTGAACAACAACCAGTTAAACACTGTGATAATTGATCACACAGTAAACCGCAGCCATGTGGATGTAAGAACAGCTATAAACCAGCATTAAACATGTCCAATAGTATAATAAATAAAGAGATCTGTTGTGTCCTTTGAGCTGCACACTCTCCTAAATAACCTGAGGTAATGCATGAAATACTGTAAAGAAAACACACTAAATCAATAAAATGCTGCCAGTCAAAAAAAGATGAATATTGGTGGTGAAGTATGGATCAATAAGAGAATGAAGTGTTTACAGTCTCAATTCATCTTTAGAAGTGCAGCAGAGTTATTAATCAATATAAAATTGTAGGCTGATGACGTCATCGACTCAAGTTTCGATAGGGGTTATCTCATTGAGAAAAAAAACTGTTAAAAATGAAACAGTCCCGAAATGTGTTATTATTCAGACACTGGTCTGAAAGTGCTTTTCATGTAACAACAGCGCCCTCTGCTGCACAACGAGTCTCAATGCAACTTTTAAACTGGACTGCTCTGGTGGACAACAGCGCCTCTTCTGTATTTCTTATGAGTGCATTTTTTTTTCTGATTTTGTTCTATTTCAAATGCTGGAGCACAGACTCATAAATTCATTCTAATAACAGATTGCAAAATAACTTAATTCATTCCAATGGCATCTATAATAAATGGCGAGTTGAGCCTTTAAGTCGTGTTTTCTTTTTATTGAATGGTCTTGTCGTATATTACTTTTAAATAAATTGCACTCCCAAAGTCTCCCCTGAGTCGATTAATTAAAAAGTTAATGAAAATATTTATTGTTAGTCCTATCTAATCATGTCTGATCCTATTTGGGTGAGTCTACACTGGGATTAAAGCCTCATGTCTCTGCGCTGATTGAGCCGTCATTAGCTGTGTGAAATGCAATTAGACTGCCCTGTACTCCGTCTACATGTAGAGGCCATTGAGCAATAATTGTGTTGTCCCTGCACAGGTCTAGCGCTTTCCCCTCTGACAGACTGATCGATGATTATTGGCAGGCCAGCTGTATGGACTGTTCCGGACTCGGAGTGGACCTTTCGTCTGCGGCCGCCCTCAACCATTGTATCGGCCATTAAGGTGCTAAATAAAGCGGTACATGTCCCCAAATATTTGGTATTAAGATAAAGTGGTAAATAGTAGATCAGGAAGTCGGTGACAATGGAGCAGTGTGCATAATGAGGAATCTGCGCTGACCACCAACACAAGTTCAATATTGACTTTGTGGAGCAGCCTGCAGCGCCGCCTTGCTCCCAGGGAGACTCTAAATAAGATGCTGATGCATACTGTATAATGTGCAAACAGAGAGGAAAACTCTTCACCCTGACATAGTCTCCAAGAATTTTCTCATATTTCAACCAAGCCTTCTACAAACAGCATTTTGCAAAGCAAAGGGGATTTCATGTTTCACAAATGGAAGGCAATGACCTATAAATTGGACTGCTTTTGAATGCAAATGCATGGATGTTAATTAACACCTGAGTTGTTGATTGTGGGAGCTTGTTGGCCTTTGATTGAAAAGAAATGGCACCTTGGAGCATCAGATGTAGCTTTGAACTAGGAAACTTGTCTTTGATTGGTATGGGAAGGAAGAAAGACTGTGAAATGTCACACAAAGGGAATCTTAATTTCCCGAATTAGGGGTTGTAATGTGAGGCAGAGAGTGAAAGAGGTCTGTGCATTGTAGGCACTTAGACTCAGCCTTTGGCTGCACTGGACAATAGATGGGCTCACAATTTACATGTCTGCAATAGAGCAGTTTGGAGATCAGCAGTGGACTTTGATGGAGATGGCTCTGTGCTCAAGAGCTCTTCTCCTACGCCCAATCCAAATTTTGGAAATAAATGTGTTTGTTTTTTTGTTTTTTGCCTCAGCACCTAAAAACCCTTGATTCTATCACTGATGGATATATGTTATTCTGGAGATATGTTGTGTCTGTGACTTTATTTACTGATCGATATGTTGTGCCGGCTTCCATTTTTGTTCATTTTATCACATTGAAAATAAATGTATCATCATTTAATTGCATTCTTTTTAAGTTTTGAAAAACTGGACAGGAATTGCAGATGAAAAATGCTCATTCACAATATTGGCTTTGCTGCTGGATGCCTCATTAATAAAACAGGATCTATGAAACAAGCTCATAAATACAGTATTTCATGTCTTTATAGTTTCAGAAATTATTTAGTAGAACAAATCAGACATTTTCAAATGGCCAGTGTCTCAACTTAATCCTTTCATGCATGAAATATAAAATCAGGTAGCAAGATTTTTTAATATATATATTTTTTGACCTCTTAGGACATGCAAAGTGACATTATGTTGTTATTTTTTTTAAATATTCATAAATTTCCTCTAGAGTGGACACCAGGTAGTTCTACAATGCAAAGAATACTTTTATTTATATTGAGGTGCATACACAAAATAACAGATTCTTATTCCCTTTCAAAAACCATTTCAGTTTAAGTTTTGAAGGATGACCGTCTTTGAGTGTTTGGGTTTTCCTGTTTAAAAAAAAGAAAACTTAATAAAAGACCATCGACTATATCACCTTTACTGCAAATAGGTCTTCCAAATTGTATGAAACATTACAGTCAGAATGCAGAAGTAACAATATTGAACTAGTTATTGCACATTTAAAAATCTATACATACATTACTGACTTTGCTCAAGTGCATTTACATCACTTTTTCCAGGGGTAAAAAAAATGCCCTTCAGGATAGTATTATCTGTTATGGGTGTCCGGCACTAATTAATAATTTGTCTGTTTGTAAGACACAGGCAGACTCTGGAGTGAGCTGGTCTGGCAGTCATCTGTCATTTGCTCTTCCTGTGTGCCCCTTCAGTCTGTCTGACATCTCTAAGCAAACACGGGCCAATACACAACTACAGGCAGGGCCTTCTGGGCAGCCAGTGAGAGCTGCCTTCTTCTAATGTTTGTGTGACAAAAAAGGCAAGGCAAATCCTCGCAATGGAATCAGATAATCACCAACCCGTGAAGAGCCTGCCCCAATCCACATCCACGCCGGCCCCCGACCCCCTGGATTAACTGTCTGTTTGGCTAATAATTTTAATCTGCTGGAGAGGGCCCAGAATGGGTGACAGGGCTCGGAATAAACATCTAATCCTCCAGTCCCCCTCCTCCCTCGGAGCCCTGCAATACTTCCTTGTTATACACTTGTGCCCAGAATGAACAGACTGGATTTCCAGATGATCTTTGTCCACCTTTTGCATGGTCAAAATCTGCTGGACCCTGCCACCCAGAAAGAAATAATGCCGCTGTGTGACAGACTGTTGCCAGACTGTCCCGGCCTGACATCGTCCAGTGGAATGTACACGGCTGAGTGTGGGGTGTGTGTGTAGACAAGGGTGCTACTGAAGAGAGGGCACTTCAGGTTCACAGGGTCAAGAGATGTCTGTCTGGGACGCATGTGTAGCAGCAGAGAGCACACTTCAGAGTGGACCGGGGAGACAAGCTTTTAATTCTGGAGTTATAATTGAGTCTCAAGACACAAAAGAGAATTTGGACATATGTCCTACTATGTGAAATAAACACAAGGTATGACTGATCCTGAGTTACAAGAGATAAAACTCAAATAAGATGATTTTAGATCAAACAAAACCATAAAAGTTTTAACTCCAACTTCAAGACTTAATTTGCAATCAATTATACTGTGCTTAAAAATGTCAGAATTATTGCCACATAAATCTATATGATGAGTTTTGTTGTTGCTTTTGTCACACCTTGCTCTTGTGTTCAGGAGTTTGTAAATCCATGCAGGAACATTTTAACCAATATGATGCAGATGAAAACTTTTGGGAACACTTGTATAACCCTGAACAAATATATAAATTAGTAAAATGTACACAGAAATGTATTGTATGATATTCCTCAGTCACAGTGGACATATATGATCTTATTTGTTTACAGGCTAAAGGGAAGATTTCTCCTAGCTCTGTTATCAAATGCAACCCAGGCCACCAACATCAAGCACGACTTTAGTGATGGTGAAATTACCCCACAATACGGATGGCACTCGAGTCTAATTGTTGCTGTTTGAAGTATGACCACTTAGATATCCTGTTTAGGATGGGGTTGTATGGTCGCACCTTTGTTCTGATAAGGGTCCCTGCCCCCATTGACAAAGTGCGAACGACTGGGAGGGCCGCAACAATATAAGGGGGCCGGTGGAGTGTCAGAGGGACACTGTCTATCTCTGGGTGACTCGAGCTACTGTGCTGCTGTTTTTTCAACACTGAAAGTTTCCATCATGGATTTACTCCGCGCTTGTGTTCTTTTCGCCGCTCTCTTCGGGCTTGCCAAAGCTTTTACGCATGAGGATATGAAGGACGCATTGCTGCAGAAACTTGGGTTGGATGAAGTTCCTAGAATCCATAAGAGGGATTTGGAGAATCTTGTTATTCCGGCGCATATCAGAAACAAGTACTTGTCAATGCTGAAGATGCACCACAGCAGGAGACGAAGATCTCTGCCCAGTCTCGCGGGCATCCTGAGGGGAATCCCTGGCAATGCAGGTATGGGACTTCAACATTAAAAAAAAAAAATAATGCATGTAATTTTAAATTAATTCATATGAAAACAGTATTTTTTTTTATAGCTACAGGTTTAAGTAAAACGTTTTTCTGTGCGTAATTGTGTTGCTGCGTAAACGACTCTTTTACGCACCATTAAAGTCAAAGCATAAAAAATGCGTCGCCTAAAACGCTTGCATCATTCCTGCTATAGATATATCCGGGGAGTATGTGTATTCTGACACAACGAGGCATCGCATGGTGTTCGACATGGAGGCGAGGATCCCCGATAACAGCGAAGTGACCATGGCGGAGCTGAAGCTCTACCAGCGGGCTTCCTTCCACACACGCTTTGCCATGGAGAGGAAGAACCACAGACCCGTGAACAACGCCCGCGTCAGTATCTACTGGGTGGAGGTGCTGCCAAATGGATCCAACCGGACATCGCTGGTAGATTCTCGGTAAGGGGTCCACTTCTGATGGTGACGTTTGGAAATTGTATTAACTGCTGGGGCCATTAAAGACATGACACTAGCACGGCATCAATTAGTTGTCTTTGTAATAATCAAATTGCATTATTCTCCAGGAACTATCCGTTTCATCTCCGTTTAATTAATCGCCCTTATCTCTCGTGTTCACAGGTTGATCCCCATTCACGAGACCGGCTGGAAGAGCTTTGATGTGACGCAGGCGGTGCACTATTGGTCCAAGAGCCAACAGAAGACACCTATGCACCTGGAGGTGTGGATCGAGGGCGAGAGACCTGGCAGCTACGCGGCAGAGATGGCCAAGAGTGTGCGCTTTACCACCCAGGAGCAGACTGACAACACCTTGGGAAAGCCCGAGCTCATCCTCTACACACTCAACCTCGAAGAATACGGGTAAGAGCGCGAGCTTTTGATATACAGGATATTGTATCAGGGTGACAATTAGTCTGTATCCTCTCTTTTTTTTCTACCTGTCACCATTTGCATTCATTAGTCGATTTGTAGGGCGACACAGGGACGTCAGTTTACTCATTCACATGTTCAGGAGAAGTGAGGCATCAAATCACTGTCTGGCAATTTAAGCCAACTAATAAGCCCAAGTGTGTTTCCCCTATAGTAAGGATGTTTAGTTCTGATCAGAGTAGACTTTAATCAGGTCAACATATGACGGATGACAGAATAAAAATCATCGACTATAATAAGTGGTTAGAAATGTAGCCAAACGGTTCTGCAGTAATCTAACTTTCTTTATTTTGTTCCTCCTCAGTTCTCGTGGCGACTGTGACGTCAACCAAAACAAAGACACCTGCTGCAGAGAGCAGTACTTTGTCAACTTCCGAGCCCTCACGTGGACTCAGTACTGGATCATCGAGCCTGCGGGGTACCAAGCCTTCAGGTGCACTGGAGGCTGCAAGCAGCCAAAACGCAACTATGGCTACGGAGAGAGGCGGTGTACGGTGTCCGAGAGCGCGCCTTTACCAATCATGTACCTGGTGAAGAAGGGGGACTACACCGAGATAGAAGTGGCTGAGTTCCCCAATATGATAGTAGAGAGGTGCGCCTGCACGATGGACAATGTCTCTATAGTATGATCACGGAAAGCAGCTATTATAGTCCTATAACAACACAACTCTGATGGGGGGGTTAGAGGACTACAGTAGTGCCTTTCAGATTGGGGTTGTTCTATATTTAATGGTCTAGTACTTCTATTTATATGGACATTTATCGGGAGATCCATACACAACAGGCCGCCCTGCTGCCTGAGACTCCATCTCCTTCCACAAGCACTTTTATATATTTTGTACATTTTGATATCTTTTTTTATACAAATGTGTGTTGTTATGTTGAATCTACAGCAATCATTCAAATCCTGTCTGAAGTGTTATATTTTTGAGCTGTACATAATATGAATGAGTTTATGTTTGGAAAAAATAAAATATTTTGTTCACTTAAGAGATCCATGGCCTTCCTCTCTCCCCTGCTGCCAAGCGGCTGTCTGGCTCCATTCACATTCATGCTAACATTCAGATGCAGACAGATACAGCCGTCTCCTCTTTCACCTCTTTATTTACACCTAGAAGAAACCAGAGCCGAGCAAATCATTTGCCTAATGACTTATAACATTTGTTAGAGTTAGGGCACACTGTTGTTGACAAAGGAGCTCGGACTCTACTTGTAATGCTTTATTTACAGAGGGAAGGAGCTACACAGCCACATACAGAGTTACAGGTCAATTCACAATAAACTAGAATGGCCTCTTCATGTGTTTACATCTGACTAAGGTCAGTCAAACATTGGTAATCAGGACCAATACCTAATGCGCTGTTTGCTGTCTGAGTAGGGGGTCTTGTCTTTCACTAATACGCTGCTGATGGAGGTAAACAAGTTGCCTCGCCAAAGACAAGCAGCTGTCTGTCTGGGTGGAGAAGTGGATTCCCAGCATACACCTCAAGCGGTAACCAGTAGAAACACAGCTGGTCCTGTGAATGAATGTCAATGATTTTGTGATTGTTTTCAAGGTAACTGTGTCGTGGTATTTCACACTTCATGGTCTCTACAAGTTACTCACACAATATTTACAAATCATGTTTTCACAAGTATTTACCTCCCACAAAAGGACATACAGATTAAATGGTGCAGCCAACCGGTTTAAAGGTCACCTGATCAGGGTCGGTTCTGACCTGTCAAATAAGGGTGGGCAAACTGGATGGTAGATAGCCAAGAGTTTACAGATTTGGATGTTTTAAATTCCTGTTCAGTTAAACAAAGGGAGGCACATGTAGTTCTGGGGGTCCTCCACCAGGACACTTGGGGCTTTTAACACTTAACTTCCTGATTCTGGTGAATATATATGCGACAACTAGTGCTAGAATTTCAGCCATGTAAAAGGAAAACAGAACATGATTAATGATTAATTCAGCTGGAAACAAAAAAGACTCTCCACAGTACACTGTCAGAAATAATGTGCTCAATTTGTACCTTCAGGGGTCCAGCAGCTGTAGTCAAGACCACACTAACCAACACCAAGACATACCTGAGCCCAAAATACTCCACGACCAAGACAAGACATTTAAGAATGGAGATCGAGTCAAGACCAAAGCAGGACGAGACCAAGACAAGACCCAAAATATCACTGAAAAATCATTATCTTGTGTGCAGCGGGCGTGTCGCTCACTTAGACCGTAACACAGGGAGGGTTGCGGGCCGTAACCGAGGGATACCATCTAATTATGATTCATGAATGACTTTAAGTTATTAGTTCGTTGAGAGAAAGAGGCATATCCCCCTTATCACAGTGATGACGTGGAAATATAGCCAATCAGTGGTGGTCTTGTTTTAAATTCCAGAGTCCACCCAGTCTGAGACCAGGACAGAGACACTTCCGAGATCAAGACCTTCAAAAAGTGGTCTCTGCGGACTTCAATGTACCCTTTGGAAATGTACTGACCCAGTGACCAACTCTTTGTACCTAATGATGACAAATTTATATTCAGTACAAGAAGAGAAAGAGTCAAACTTTGTGTTCATTTATTACTTTACATTACATTGCATTAAATGTCATAATGTTTAATTGAATGTCATACTATATAATTCAGTTAAATCTGGAGATGCTTGAGTTGATGTTTGACATTGCTGTGTAATAGAAAGCACGTAGCTTGTGCTTGGCTCACTTTGAACCTCATGGATTGATTACTTCAAATTCATCTTCATAGAAAAGAAGACGAAACGCATTTGGGTAAACTCTGAAGAAAAGATGTTCCTTGAAGTAAATCTGCTTTTTCTTATTCTGCACCTGACTCTTGGAATACAACACATCTCCTTGAAGGAAATGAACCCTTTTGGATTTTAGAAACCTGATTCTGAAACCTCCCAACCTCTGTGTGTATCTGTTTTACATCAGTGTGTTTTATTTATTGCATTGATTTTTTGAACTTGCTTCATTATTTTAGTAAATGTTAGACTTTTCTTACACTCTAGTGTTTACTTCTTCCTTTTCATTGTCCTAGCTTCTAGAAATCCCCCAGTTTGTTGATTTGAGTGGCCTTATATTCCTCTGTCTTCTGGTTCTTTTAATGATTTGTGGTCCAGTCAAAGTACCATCAGAGTGGTTGCACGAGTAATCTGGGTCTCTGTCTGTGTGCCTGTCGGCCTGAATCTCATCAATTATGTCCTCATGTGAACAATATGGAGTCAAAACCTCCGTAACAGGCATTAAGAATATGTAGTCTACCTATTGTGTGTCCACTTTCTGACCTCAAAATGTGATCCTCTGGTTCAACCAAACTGAGCTTGGATTTAATATGTTCCCACAACACTGTACTTTTAAGAATAGACTTTAAACTTTTTTGATAAAGTGTATAGTCAGGGTGCAGGTACAGACCTGCTTATGCTCTTATGCTGCTATAGGCTTAGACTGCCGGGGGAACGGCAGCTTCAGCTGCTATCCTTCACTCTCTGCACATAGTCACTATCATGCATGTCACTATCTGTACATCTTAGTTTACTAACCCCACCTTTTCCTGGGGGCTCCTGAACTGCTAAAGACCCCCCGACCCCCCTTTGTTCCCTTCCTTCTTCCTGCATCTTCCTCTATCCCATGTTTCGACTCCTGCACAGTTTCACCACATGTCTGTTCATTATGAGCCTGGTTTTGCCAAAGATTTCTGCCTGTTAAAGAGAATCTTATCTTGCCACTGTAACTTTGCTAAATGTTTCTTAGTGCTCATGATGGATGAATGTTGTGTCTCTGTAATAAAGAGTGAGGTCTTTTACCTGCTTTTTGTAAACTGTCCTGAGATAACATTTATGAATTGGGGCTATACAAATAAAGATTGATTGATTTGACAGCTGCTGAAGCTTTTTCTTTTTTTTATTAAAGTGATAAGACTGGATCCCTTCTCTTAGTTCAGGACACTCCAAAATATTGAACCCATATTCATGAAGATGGTATATAGTAAAATCATAATTATCTATAAAATAACCAAACAATAAATGTGTCATTTCATATGTCCTGTTGGACAACCTGTGGGATCTTACTTTTAATTTTCTCTACATTTAAGAATGAAGCTTCAGAGATTTAGTTTAACATTTCTAAATAGCGAATCCATGAGGCGTTACAAACCACTGACTGGTTTCACCTGACAGCTCACTCTTTGGGGAATTGTTCATTCTTATTTGTGTTACTTTGAGCCCAGTTGGCTTAGATATTTCACTTTGTTTTTAAACTACAAGGGTAGAAAAGCTGACTGATTCTGATTCAACGTTATGAAACAATGAAGCCTGAAAACCTGTGAGAGGTGAACACTTTGTAACAAACCACAAAGTCACTGTTAACCAGTTCGTAAACTTTAATAGAGTTGAGAGAGAAATAAAATAAAAAATTCAACCGCAATTTTCTTCTTCAAAACACAAATATTAGAAACTGTCTGATAGAAAAAGCTTTTGCATTGTTGGTTTACACATTAAAGACCTGATATACACCCTGCAACATAAAGCCATTTAAAAATATAGTCTGTCGTGTTATTATAGGTTATACTGTAAACTCAAAGCTCGTCATCCGGATAGATTTATGGATCCAGTACAATTAAAAGAGGAGGGCACAAACTCTCCAGACATTTCAATATAGTAGACAATCATCACACAGCAGTACTCGGGCAAACTAACACTTTCTTAATCACAATACATTTAGAAGTCAATTTTATGAACATTCGTGCATGGCTGAAATAGTGGTTCAATATTTACACGCTTATAAATAACACTCGGATTCAAAAGTTAAAATTAAAAAAAAAAAAAAAATGGGCTCACACACAACCATATTTTGTCTGATCTACTGTCAGTTTTTTTTTGCAACTCTGATGATGGTCTGGAGTTGGAACACAAGCTGGGTGTCCTCTGTCGGCTCATGACACGTTATGAGCAGCCGCCATTATTACCAGGCCACACAGTCAACAACCAAATGTGCCTTTTCAACTGACAGAAACAGAAAAAGGGTTAGGTCTGCGGCTTTTCCGTTTCTTTTCATGAAGTGCTAATGGTGTTTGTATTAGATGTGTTGTGATGCTGTGTAGCCCTTTAGGTTTGCTGGTGAAAATGACTAACCCTGCCTGTCAGCTTTCAGTCCGAGTTGTGCTCCGATCATCAGATATATGCTCAAAACTTTAATGGTGGTATCAACACTCATTTTCAAGAAATTCTTTCACAGTTCTGATTTCGTTTGTGGGGCTGGTCAGTGCTTGCTTTTTCTTTTGTTTTGTTTTTTTAAGTCTACTGCACTAAAGGGATTTTAAACAATAAAAAAAAATAACAGTAAGATCCAGACTTTTCCCTTAGGACAAAGTGTAGTCTATCCTTTAATTCTAAGCACATATTATTTAAAAAAAACACTAATTTAAAGGCAGAACGTAGCAGTACAATGGCTTACTTGTATCCTTAAAAATGTCAAAATACTTTGTCAAAGCGGTGTACACTGGAATAGCTTAAAGGATCTGTAAAGACATCAAAGACAGGACACCAGGAGGGAATACTTAAAGTAATGAGGCGTAAACTTGGGCTTGTAGCGGGGCTGATGTCAACTGTTTGAAGTAGCAAACGGGGACATCGCCGTTCAAAGGTCTTTTACACACCTTTGAAGTGAATCAAAAGTCATAAGCCAGGAAGTATGTTTAAAACAAAAAGCCAACGAGTTGTTTATTGTAGGTCTATGGAGTTTCGGTTACAGGTTTGGTACTGGGAACAGAACATTTATTTAAAAAAAAAAAAAAAAAAAAAAGCTTGCTGTAATTCATTTGTGGATTCAGTTGAACTGATTGACAGTGGACTATACTGACACATACAGGTCTAACAGTATAATCACCTACCATGCTTCTCACTAATAAGCCAAGGTTCCATTCAATCATGAGTTATTCTCAAATTTCGCATAAAACTACAAAAAAAAAAAAAAAAAAAGATATTTACAATTTGTAATAAAAAAAGCAAAACAGAAAATCACAGCACAGATAAAATGCACAGCGCTAAGAAAAAAAAAAAAAACTCAACATCTGCCAGGCTGGCAAAATGTTTGGGGTTCCTGAAAATACAAACATGAAATTCTCTTTAAAAGCAGGTCATTTAAAAGTGGTGAAAAAAAAAAGAGAATGAAATATACAACGAAAACGGATAGTTGACTGAACGAAACTTAACCCACATCATACATGTGTGTGTGTGTGTGTGTGTATATATATATATATATATATATATATATATATACACACACACACATACAACTTCAGATACACTCAGGATGCCTGGTTTCCTCTCTGATGTGGAATGTTGTTGCTCAACATCATACAGGTCAGACGAGGGCTTTAAGATTATTAAAAGTGGGTTGTTTTAAAAAAAAGAAAATCAAAACGCAGGATGGAGGGATGTTCCTTGGCTAGTGGTGGATCTCGGTTTGGGCCACCAGTCCGTAAGAACAAGTGTCTTAGTAATATCCAGGCTGATACTGCTGGCTCCACGGCTTCTGGTTCCAGAACTGCAGCGAAAACGCAGGAAGAAAAAAAGTTTGCTTTGTTTATATGACCATAATGCTTTCAGGTAAATGACAGTCTGTTGTCATTTCAGTAGCTGAATCATAATCATCAGGACCCCTCCTCTGAGATTGTCAACATATAGAAACTCTTCTATTGTATTGTATTACTTAAGAGATGGGACAAAATCCAAGTATTTTTAACATTAAAAGCTGAATAATAAAACAGAAAGTAAGAAAGTCCCAAAGCCTTCGTTCACTTGGAGTTGGGATTATCAATGATAAAAGCATATCTCGCTCAAGCTTTACTAATAAAGCGATATTAATCACATGCTACAACAAACAGGACTTATGTGCAACAGATGCCTGGAGAAAAGAACTGTGGAAATACTGACCCCTTGCTGCCAGCTCTGGTTGAAGGCCTGGGCCTTGTCCATGCCATTCCTGTTGCCGAAGCTGCCTCTGTTCCTGTCGTTACCGTAGTTTCCATTTTTGTGGCCAAAGTTGCCACGGTTACCACCTCTCTGATGGAACTGTAAGAAAATAGATGGTGCTATGAAAATACACATCATAGAAGAGGTGGGCGATGTGACCACTGGAATAAACAAAATAATACTTGAAAAGAATCAGTGATGCATTAAAAAAAGGGCCTGAGCATATGAACACATTAACACACCAAGACCCCCCCCCCCATTTGATGGGATATCTGACTCATTTCTGTGTATGACACCAGAGAAAGATGTTTTTAAAACACTGCGTTTAGATCTCAGTAGCTTCTAAATGAATCTGTTTTCTTTCTCTCCTGAGGTGTTATGCTAATGTAGCATAACGTGATGCATAGCTAGATCCCACAGTTCAAGTGCTGCCAAAACCCACCCTACTCTGTTTCCGATTGGCTAGTAACGTTAGTTAGGTTGAGAACGCGGGCTGTGTTACTGGCAAACCATTGGTAGGGTAACTTCAAGCGCATTCACAACAAATTCCCACTTATTTTACATTTCTCCACCCCCCCTTTCTGGCACAGTGCAACCAGTTGAGCAATTGTTGTTGCCATGTTTGCATTACAAGCAAACTTGTGTATTTAAACCAGTGATGATGGTATGGCAAAAATCTTGTTGTGGCCAAATGAAACACTCATGATGGTACCAATGCCAGTTCACCACACACACACACACACATATCATAGCTTCAGGCATTTCAGAAAAAACTGCAGAGATATTAGACCAACCCCTAAGTGCCTCACAGAAAAAAAATAAACAAACAACGTAGGTCTCCAAACCCACCTGTCCGGGATGACCCCTGTTTCCTCCACGGTTCATGTTGCCTCCACCTCCTCTGTTCATGTTCCCCCTGTGCATTGGGCCACCTCTGTTCATTGGTCCCCCTCTGGGTCCCATGTTGCCACCTCTCATGGGTCCACCCCTAGGGGCTCCACCCCTGGGGGATCCACCAAGGCTTGGAATGGGACCACCCCTATTGAAGTTTCCACGGCTGGGGAAGCCTCCTCTGTAAGCTGGGGGAGGCAGGAAGCCGCGTGGTGGACGGTTGAAGCCGCCACGGAGGCCTGGAGCTACAGAAACATCAGAAACATTTTGTTAACAGTGTTACGATTCATTTAAATTACATCATATGACATTCAGCTATCAACCTTACCTCCTCTGAAGTTGCCTCTGTTCTGGAATCCTCCGCGGCCGCCACCTCTCTGGCCCGGTCCACCGCCACGGCCAAACTGGTTCTTGCCTCCGCGGCCACCACCACGCAGGCCTCCGCCTCTCTTTGGTGTTGTGCTTCCCTGGTTAGGTTTCTTCTCGGCAGGCAGAGCGGTCTTGCTTTCCTCTTTGTACTGCTCAAGCAGCTTGGCTGCCTCCTCCTTCTGCAGCTCAGCATAGATGACCTCACTGAAGCTCTCTCCCGCCTCAGGCAGAGAGTAGAAGCCTGTAACAGAAGGGGAAGAAAAACAGCATGACTTCAGATGCCAACATTGTATATTTTAGTCCTTGCAGAGATTTCAACAATTCAGGTTTAGTAACAGCCCAAGAATCTTTATTTTACCTTTCATTTTGAGGACAGCGTGTTCAGGCACTTCTTTGCCATCACTCTCAACTTTCTGTTGGACTCTCTGCTTGTAGTCCTCATCAGAGGGGCAGACAATCACAGCCTTACGCTGGAACCCTGCAAACAAGCACATCTTCCTCTTCTGGCCCGGGGCAGACAGGTTTGTCTGAGGGAGAAGACAAGGAGGCTCATTATGCTGTTATTACGATGTCACGTGTGTAATACTGGTATGATCGTGCTCATCACTTACATGATCCAGGATGTAGTTCCTCTTCTTGCGGGCAGCAATTTCAATGAACTTTCCAAGGAAGAGTGGTGCACGCTGGGAAATAGCAGTGAGCTTTGTGATGTCCTTTGACTGGCGTTTCAGACTGTTGATCTGTTTTGAATAAAGGATGAAATACATGACATTAAAACAATCTAAATGACAGACTTTCAACAGTTACAGCTGTGCAGTTGACTGGTGGATGTTTGTTGTATCAGTACTGACCATCATCTTGTCCACAATGGTGTCACTGCCCAGGATGTAGTATTTGCCAGGGTTCTCCTGAACATGGTCCTTCACCCATGTAGTCTTCCCTGAACCTGGCAGGCCAACCATCACTATAATCTACATGAAAGACAAGGAAGTATTTAGATCAAAGTCTCCAGGAATTTTACTGTTAATACTGAAACTTAAAGTGGAGGGGAAAAAAAAAAAAAAAAAAAAAAAAACATAGAATTGTATCTCCTTGTAATGGTTCTTACCTCGCAGTCAGCCTTGGTCTGTGGACCCTTGAGCCCCCGGACTCGATCACTCACGGGGACCTGCTGCATGAAGGTGTAGCCCTGGGGCTCGGGGAAGTATGGAGTCTCCATTTGGCCAAAGTTAAATTCCACAGCACAATTGTGGCAGATGACATGCGGGAACAGGGCCTGGCCGTTGAGGGTGTCCTTGCTGACTTGGAAAGCAACAGCCGGCTCCCCGCCATTCTTCGCGAAGGACAACACAAACTCATCACCCTCAAAGTCCTGAGAAAAGAATGAAACATAGTGAGTTAAAGATAATATTTACCAGTACAAATTACACTTCAAACTCAGTGGTAGTTCTTTATCATGTGTACTTCCTTTAACTTTGAGAAGATGCCGCATGAAACTCCATTTTTAAAAATTAAAAAGAAACATTTATTCAACTTATTCTAAACGGAACAGCACTTTAAACTCCTGTTTCTTTGACTGGTTTTCAGGTACTTAAATAACCAATAAGACAAGTAACATTTATGTCTTACAATAAGGCAGCAGATGACATCATTCTCCTCGTACGTTTCTCCAAAGTCCTCGGTCACACAGTTGGTGGTCTTTTTGCCTTTTCCAGAGTATGCATAAGAGTGCTCCTCCTCTCCTAAAATTAAAAAGGAAAATATGTTGACAGAATATACTAAATTTAGTTGCCACACGTCAGCCAGTAAGACTATGTAACTGTGTGTGATTCATCCATGTGGGCAACATGCCAGCCACCATTACCGTTATGTAGGGAGAGCTGCAGCCATTTTGCATCAACATGCAGTGCACCTTATGAAACACTAGGGGGACCCCTTGGGACAGACTGCCTCTGATATGGGATCATCAAAGCAGTAGGATAGTGCTATCCTATTGGCAGACCTCTATGCGTTAAAATACAATCAGTAAAACGCATTTCTCACAGTTTGAACGCAACATTAACTCTCCTGCAGAGATCCTAAAACTACAATGCATGGTAAAGTTTATTAATACCAAGTTTGACCCCCTTACTATTCTGGATTTGGTCACTGCTGTGTGCGTCCAAGAAACGCAACAATATTCTAACAAGGCTCTTCAGCGTTTATTTTAGTGCATGAGTTAAAATGAGCGGGACAAATGTTACCAAGGGATGCTGACAATGACACAACAACATATAAGCCGAATAAAAGACACTAACCAAGGAGCAGGGTGCCAGTGGACAGGGACCAGCCGACCTGCACATCATGAATCTCCATGTTCTTGCTGGAAATGTGCTTCACTGGTATTTTCTCTGTAATCTGTTGAATGAAGCAAAAACGCCAACATTTTTATCAGTAATAATTTCCATTTGTCTAATGTATCTTAACGTTTAGATGTAGACCTTTAAACAGCATGTACGAACAATGTAGAAAAAGTATGAGATTCATAGTAATTATTGGCTTGTATGAAAGTAAAAGATGGCGTGCACAATGTGTAGGAATAATAACTGTACCTTCATCTCAAAGCAAGCTTTGCCTTTGTTCACACCATAGGTGGCCTTGCCTCCAGACCACAGGTAAGCAAAACTCTCCATAGTGAGAGATGAGGCACTGTATCTGTCCCGTGACACCTTAAAGTGCAGGTCGCTGTTGTCTACAAAATACAAAAAAACCACCACATTATTGCATTTACTCTGCTGTACAGGTCAACTTCAGTATCATACATTTTTATTGAGGACTTTTAACTCAAATGTAATTATGTCACATTTCTATCACTCACAGGCATCAAGGCAGACTTTTGTTTCATCAAGCTCCTCATCTTCTTCCTCCAGAGGTGGCACAGGAGACTTAAATGAGGCCCTGAAAAGAGATGCCAAACAGTCATTTAGAGGACTTGCGTCACAGAGCAACTACATGAAACATATAGATTCCTTGGTACGACTTGCTGAAAAACATTTGGGGAGAGAAGTAGAAAAGCAGACTATGGGAAATGATACAAAATACTGAGTAAATCGGCAAATGAGCCTCGGAATATTTGGGATAGTCATCTGTATTGTGGGCCTGGGCAGACATCACTTACCTTGCAGTATCCAGCGAAATCTAAAACGTGAGAGATACACAGAAAGAAAGCACCTCTTCTAGTCTTAACACATGAGGCTATCCACTTGTGAAAGTGATCAAATCCCTTCAAAATAAAATAAAAGAGAGCTGTGTGTATGATCTCGAGGATTACAGTGGGGTCAAAGTGATAGTGGGTGCAGTTAAAGTTAACTTCCCATGTGTGGAATTCTCAATGTAAAGGTCGTGACTTACACAGACAGTTCTGTGGAACTGCAACTATACAGTACAGGTTCTCAACATGCCTCGTTGCTTTAAACAAGAAACTGGTGTAGTGAGAGCTACAGCAACTTACCAACTCTGTAGCTGTAGAATGAGTACCCAAATGGGAAGTTTAACAAAGTAGTTAAAAATATTGCAGGTTTAACTTCAGTGATAAAGGATTTCTCAACCTAGAGCAATGATCTTAACCCAGTGGTGTATAGTTCTTTGGGGTTCATTATTATCTCTAGAATACTGTCAGTGTATTTGTCCTCAAACAGTCACAAATGCTGCTGTGGTGGGATATATGGGGACACACTTTCTGGAGCTTTTAGTTATTGCAAACAACAGTTTTGACTTCTGCTCTTGTAGCTGTCCAGTGCCACCTGGTTTTTACAGATCTAAAAACACTTGAATAAATATTGTATTCACTGAAAAAAATAAGAAATAAAAAAAACCCTTTCAATTTAAAAAAATAAAATAAAAATGGCTGTGAGAAATTTGTCTGAAAAAAAAACAAACAAACAAACACAGTAGACAGAAAAACCATCATGTTTCAACAATTCTGTTACTCCGATTATTCAACGAGTCCGTAAACTTCCCCCAAAAATAAAAAATAAATTAATAAAAAAAATGGCAGGATCAAAACAGGTTTGCCGTTTCTGCCAGTTGATTTTTACAGTCTGTCAACAGCGCAATGAAAACAAAATACTGACCAAGAGTAGGTATATGTATGCACACACACACTGACAAACACACATGCTTGATGTCACTGCGTAGGGGTACAAATGAACTTTGAAACTCTCACTTCATGATAACACACACACACAGAAGACATGATTCATGAGACAGAAAAGCATTTTGACATCATACAACCAAACAAAACGGGGGGGAAAGGACCATAGCGAGGCAAAACGATGGACGGTAAATTGCGAGCTCCTCCGTGAACGTTCCAGACACTCTGGAAGATTGCTACATCCTTGTGTGCTAGCCTGGAGCAATGGACCTCCTCCTCCTCCCACCTCTCTCAGCTATTCCTCCCCACCCTCCCCCTTCATTCAAAAGTGCACATCTGCTACTTTCCTCTGGGTTTGTTGTCTTTGAGCAGCCTTGATTCACCTTGAGGACACAGTGGGCTTTGCAAAACAATAAGTGGCATGAGGAACAGATGTGACAGTTCATAGAGACTGAAAGTTGCACTTCTGCTACAGAATGCAGTCCTTAAAAAAGACAGAAATGTGAGTGGGCACTGTAAAAGATAAATGGTAAGGCTCCTTAAGTAGTCAGGGTTGACCCTCAAAACATGTGTGAATGTAAGTTTTTATTGGATAGTATAATAACTAAAAATGAGGGTCTTCCTCTTGCTAGTTATGTGCATTGGCACTTAAAGCCAATACAGTTCAACAAAGCTATGCATGGCGTTTCAGGGATGCTGAAGGCCATTTTTGCTCTGTCCCATCCTTACCAGCTGTATTTGTTCTCTTCAATAAATTCAAAGTAGCCCCTTCCATGTTCCTCCCGGCGTCTCTTAACACCCTTCTTATTCTTCTGATCAGCATTCGTGTCTTTGTCCGCATCCCCTTTGAAAATAGAACAAAGATATAGAATGAGGTGCTCCTTTTTATGGAGAGAGAGGTCGGACTGGCAGTGGGGTTCTGGCCCACAAAGCCCGTTCATTAGTTACATTGTGTCGACCATAATCATCAATATTAATTTATGAGGTGAAACCTCATGGTTACACTTAACAACACAGTCATAATCCAGAAATTGTAACAGTCGTAATGACCAGATAGAAATTACAATATAAGCTGGTCCAAATAAACATTGAAAACTGGGTTGGGACTGGAAAAACAAGTGATATTAACCCCATAACAAAGGGTTTAGAATAATGTTCATATCATTAAGAGGTCTGTTGTGTAGGACAGCTGCATCATGCAAGAAATTAGACCTATTTAGATGTTTATAGCACCATCCCCAATAAACTAATAACCTAGGTGTCTATATTGAACATTTGTCTATTTATTCCAGTAAGATGATATTCAAGTCAAACCACGTGTTTTATCTCCTGGGTCTGCTAGTTCAAGTGATCCCGGCTCGTATAAAGTATAACACTAGTAACTCATGTTTGGACGTGTTGATTTACATATTTATGTCCAATTAACATTTTAATTATTAAATAACTGAACTTATATCGGTGAAGCAAAGACAACGCGCGATCACTGCCGCAAAAACCCATTCAAACCTTTCAGACATGTTGCTTTGACTTGTTCATAATGGTTATGAGGTTAGCCTTGATACACCCTCCCCCACCTCGGTCCCTTCACTTCCGGGAACACTAAACTAGCTCTCCGGCTCTTCCGCTACTTAGCACCGCACCGCAGACAAAGAGCTAAAAATGCTAACCACGCTAAATACAAAACGTTTATTTCACGCTCTTTTAATTCGACATATTTCCGTAAAATACATACCTATGACGAAACGGTGCAAAAGTTGCACGTTTTTTGTACAGGAATGCCGGGTACTGACTTTACAAAGTGATTAATTTAATCTCGTCAAGGTGGTGACCGATGCTAACGTTGAATGAGCTAACCGGCTACGTGTTGCTAAGGTTGTTGCTAAGGCTATCCATTTTCCAACATGGCCGCTCGGTTTACGTTACGCGTTGTTTAAATGGAGTCAGTCCCTCCGACACCCAGCCACAGCCCATACAGCCAGACACATTTATAACCAACCCGGGTTGACTCACCCTCAGCGGCCTGGTCCCCGGGCTCACCGTCCTCCGCTTCTATTTTCTCCATGTCGTCCACATCTCCCTTCAGCATGGGATCCATCTCATCATCCTCGTCCTCTTCCCCCTCTCCCATCTCCTCGTCCTCGGCGGCGCCATCTCCTCCTTCGCCCCCGTTTTCCGGCTCTTCCTCCTCCTCCTCCTCCTCGTTGGCCTCCATGCTTTCCTCCACCTGGCCCTCGCCCTCCTCCTCTTCTCCCATACACTCTTGGTCTGCGGCCTGGTCGAAACCTTCGCTGGACGCCGCGGTAGCAGCGTCCTGGTCCAGCGGGGTGTCTCCTCCAGAGAGGGCCTCCTCGTCCAGCGCGGCCTGCAGGCGGTCCATCAGCTCGGCCTTCAGCCCCTTGTCCGACAGATCCCGCTTCTTCAGCTCGTCTTTCAGCTCGTTCACTTTCAGCTTCTTCACGTTAATCGAGCTCATCTTGAATGTTAGACGGTCTGTACGATTAAAAAATACGACGGTAAATAAATAAATGGACGCCCTTTGTTCACGGTTATAGCTCAGAAATGCGCCAAATGGCAACCGAACCGTCCAACCAATCTTCCGCCGGCAGAGAGCTGTGTGCGCGGAGCCTGCGGTGTGGGGGAGGATGACGTCACGTACCGTAATTACCCGGAAAGCAACGCAGCCTGGTTATATAGCGCGCAGCCGACCATCTGTCGCTGCCGCAATCACAAAGCCTGGTTGTGGGACAAAGTGGGACATAATGTAATGTGGCGCACATTCAACCCAAAACAACACTTAACGTCGATGATATTATTCAGCTCACATTATATGTAAAACCTGTTCATTTAGCATATGTTTTTGTTTTTAAATGAATAAATACATTTTATTTGGAAGAGTAAAAATGATAGCCTGTATAGTTCACAATAGAATTCATATGATGAAGGTAAACTGTGGAGTCATTACAAGACGTCGTACACGATTGTGAAATACAAAAGGCTAGGCTACTTAAAAAACATCCATGTAGGAATAAGTAGGGTGAATTCGCCTAATGTGGGACAATTTTTGCATTTTAGACTTCTGAGATATATTGCAACATGAAACTATACATTAAATCCACACCCAGTAACACTGAAATCTCCAGGATGTCCCCTAATCAAACAAAAATCCAGTTATCACACTCATTAAAGAAATAGTATACATATCAGTAGTCTTAGTGCCAAATTGTTTCACACAATCTGCATTTCCTAATGTGGGACAGTGCTGTTCTAAATGTGGGACACTGAAAAGTCTATGTTAAAAGGCCTGAATCACCTTAATTCAGGTATAAAAACCTGTCACACTCAAGTCTAAAATGTGCAATACCATATTCTGTAATTTTAACAATTACAATGTTAATGGTGTTACAGAACACTAGAAAAGGACAATACTAGTTTTGATGCATTTAGTAGAAAGACAATAGGCTATTATATCAGCATATCTGACATGCAGAGAAAGCAGAATGTAATGAACATTTTATGAATTCATTTATTTAAAGAAATGCAATGTTACAATGTTACAATGTTAAAATGTTAAAATGTTTTCTATTTCATACGTCTGTCCTGAACAAAATAAATTCTTAGCCAACTAACACCAATACTATTTTGTTGACCAGTTGATTAATTGATCGACAAATCTTTAAAACTGTGTTTTTCCAAAGAGAAATATGCAACATAACTTATTTAATCATATCTTTACCAGAGATGTACTAAGGTTTCTTTGCATATAGGCTACTGTAGGTTTGTCTCTATATAGCTTATTTTGAAACCCTTTTCGAAAATAATATCTTCCAAGGGATTAAACATCTAAGTTATAGCCTATATGATATTAAAAATAAATTGCAATAATAAGCCAATTAACCAAACTCTCCAGTAGAGCAAGCTATTTTGAAATTAGATCTTATAAAGTTAAGAGAAAGATTAAAAGCAGAAAGCCTTGTGTTATAGTTTGCATGTCTCGATGCCATGAAGACTGCACTCTGAAATATGCCCAATGTAAAATGGACATAGATTATTATTATTATTATTAGAAACGGTGCAACAGCGTGCTCTCTGTGACTGGTTGTGTGATCACTTGCTCTATACTGCCTCCCCGAGGACATAATGGAAAATAGCAAAGTGAATTCATGAAGTGTTCTTCGGTGCGCTCTCTTCTTCTTCTTCCTCACTGTGCCACAGTCATCATCACTCCTGATCACAGACAGTGTCTCTTTCCTCTCAGCTTGAGATCTTTTTCATTTTCACCCATGAGTGAAATACTTTCTCTTTACATCCATGGAGCTTTGGCTAAATTCATTAAAAGTGCACCCTGCCTTTGTTCGGATGCCTTTTTAAATATTAACAAGTTGTCATGTCATCTCTGACTGGAAGAGGAGACAGATTTGCTGCTTTGGACAGAGGAACACACAGGGTAAGTCCGTTTCTTTCATTGTGTAGGACTACATATTTTTCCGCATTTGTAAAAAAAAAAAAAAAAAAGAAGGACTTAATGGAGTTTCTTAAAAGAATAATATTGTTGCACTGCGAGATAAACATTTGGGTGTGGTTAGTTACCCGCGTCATTTGACATCTAATTTCCCGCGGCCAAAGCCCACACATCCTTCTTATGATGATTTATTTCTCAGAACTCAGAAGTGCAGCATCACTGTGAGCCCGCCAGCTTTTCTGCAACTATTACCGGGAAATACTACTGCCAACCCAAGGAGCGCCCTGCCCCCGAGGGTGCCGGAGGGACCCGAGGCGACCCACATCGGAATATGTGCCAGAGAGCAGACGCTGTCCCGTCGTACAGGTCCCTGACAGGAGCCGTGGGAGACCGCGTCAGGAGTTCTCTGTTCTCTGGAAGCGGGACTTTATGCAGAGGCACCATGTCGAAGAATCCCGGCTTTGGGAGGTCCGACAGGAAAGTTGCGTGTTGTGAGAAGTGCTCAGCGACTCTTGTTGCTCTCAAGAAACAAGCTCTGAGCCTGGCAGTGCACCATCACTTCTCCTGCAAGGTCAGTAAGCAGGACGCTCTGATGGAGCTGTTGGAGGGTGTAGTGGAGCTGAGTGCTCCTATAAGGGCTGGAACAAGGGGAAGAAAATATGACTATAATAAAGGTTTTTCATTTAATCAAGTTTAATCAAGACTTTTTATCAGGTGGTTTAAAATGATATTGGATGGATAGAAATACAGTAAATAATAATACAATTGCATTTCCTTTGTTAAATAAAAAGGACATTTTAAATAGACTATTTCATTTTTATTTTTGAATTATAAAGACAAAAAAACATACGATTCAGTCTTAAAATAATCAGCAGTCAAGACGTATAATCTCAGACTTTGTTAATAGAAACGACCTCTTCTCACACATTTTCTCACAAGTGCTGTGTGTCAAAAAGTCAATTAATAAGTGTTATAATATTCATGCAGGCACATCAGTCTGACTCTTTACAGTGCTGCCTCTGGGAGGTTTGCTCACCATCCATCTGTACATTTGTCACCACTAACATCCATCAAACACTCCCATCGACAAAGTAAACCAGTGCCATTCCTGCTCGAGTGGTTTCAAATGAATATTTCATCTGAGACATCCATGTGTCATCCCCACAGTCCTCTCCATTGAGAGAGGCTATTTATTTCCGTCCTCCTAAGTGGGATGGAGCGCAGTGAGAATCGTGTTTTTAAGACACAGAGACCACAGGACAGAGCGGTACACATTTTGAGAAAGAGAGAGGTGGTATCTGGTGACCACAGACATGGTCAGGAGAAATCGGATAAGCCGGCTATACAGTAGCTCCTTTCAGGTTTATTGATCTGAAGACAATTTCTCAAAAACATCTTGGCCTTATAATGACATCATTTTTTATGACAGGTTTGAAATCTGGCTCAGCTTGAAAGTCCAGTCTGGCCACTTCAGCTCATATCTTTTATTTTCCGTCATCATTTGAGTGTGAAGCTGCAATTTGTCCTGATTATTCTGATATATATTTAAAGAGTACTATATCATGAACTTGGCCTTGTTAACCACTGAATATTATTCAATGAAATACAGCTACAGAGTTCCTGATGCTTCAGCACTTTTGGAGTTTTAATGATTTTGCTTTACATAATGATTGGGAGCTCCTCCAGTTCTCCTCTGGGGGAATATGGGTCACTGACTGTGCTGGCAGCCGGCAGGTTGGATGGGAGGGAGGACAGAGTGAGTCTGTTGCATGCTTTTAGATGTCAAGGGCAAAACAAACAGGCCAGGGCCCAAGAATGTCTTTGTCAAGATCAACAGCAAGATGATGGTTTGAGTTTAGTCTAGTTAGATCTGACAGCCTGGCTCCTTCCTCAGGACTCATATGTCAAAAATATTTTTTTAAAGCGGATTGATTTCAACTTTTATAAACCAAATCTTCTCAAAATCATCAAAATATTAACATTTGATATTTATATTCCATTTTGATGAACAACTTTATTTAATCAATATAAGTAATAATTTCTCATTATAGTATTATGGCAGGGGAAACGGATAGCCTCCTAGCGGTTATGTCCCACGTCCAATGTACGGGGCTTCAGTCCTCATCCCAGCGGCCCTGGGTTCGAATCCGACCTCAGCCCTTTGCTGCGTGTGATACCCCGATCTCTTCTCCAAACATGTCCTGTTTCTCTTCAGCTGTCTGGTCTAATCAAGGCAAAAATGGCAAAAAGAAAAAACTTTCAAAAATGATGCAATGAATCCTTTACCCCCCACTCAAATACAGAAGAAAATATTGCAAAGTCATTGTTTGTATCATTTGTAACAGTGCTTTACCATCTTTTCAGTTTCAACAAGTAACAATTGTTTTTCACAGAAGGAAAAAACTAAAATGAAATGCTTTTTGAACCCGAGCATTTTGTTATTTTCCATGAATTTGGGCTTAAAAACAGAAAGATAACAGTCATCTTTTTTTTTTTTACAAAGGTGCAGTATGTAATTTTTTTTTACTGCATTTTTAATTATCAGGGGCAGTAGTCTTAGTTCCATGATCACTTGGCTGAGTGCTAAGATTGAACCTTCCCATGACTCAATTTCCGTGTGCTCAGTGATCAGTAATGTTGTTCTCAAGTCTGAAATCAAACTAAGCCAATTATCTTTGTAATTATATCTTAAAGAAGCCTGTGCTGAATCTCATTAGGTTATTCTCTTTGTGAAAATAGAGCTTATCTCAATTACTGGCAGGTTACTGATTTCCGTTAGTTCATGTAAATTGATTTCCTCTACCTTTGTGTCATTCTGCAGGACTCTAGTGATCTGTCTGGGTTTCTTCATGACAACCTTCGTGTTCATAGTCGCTCCACCAATGAGTCCAGGGACAGAGAGAGGGAGCCGGGCGAGTGCGGAGCCTGTGGTGTAACCCTGAACCAGCTCAAACAGGAGGCTATCCTATTAGCCCTGGGCGGGGGTCAGCCATTAGCGAAGCCCCCCTTTGAACCCAGCTTTAGCATCGGTTCACTGCTGGGACAGAATGACACAAAGCATGGAGACAGAGCTCAACGTGAGGCATCTACAGCTGTGCACCAACCGCGCAGCCTCACCCAGAGTCCTCACACCCCAAGGAGCCCAAGGACCCCTCAGAGGACGCCTCAGAGGACCCCTCAGAGTACCCCTCAAACTCTCAGACGAAGGGGGCCCAAGCCCCTCAATGTGGACATGGACCGCTGGGTGGAAGAGCAGCAGCAGCTGGTCGCGTCTAAGTCTGCGTCCAACACTGATGGTGTCACCACGCACCCTCACCGCCAGGTACCCCTAAAAGCTTCTCTTACCATTAAATCACACATAACACATCCCCTATGTGCATTCCCCTTTTAATGAGCTATGTGTGCAAAGTACATCTTTATGGGGGAACATGTCAGCAAAGCTATGATTCATGGTGCCTAATCAGAGCCTATTTAGATCCCATGGCCCAGGACGTTGTTTAAAACTACTTTTGCTAATGGAATGGAATTGGGTCATGAATTACCCTTGTCATAAAAGCTGGCCAGTCAGAAAGCACTTGTGATCAATAGGGGGATGGTCATATTTAACGGGGCGGCTGGTGAAATATGCATTACTGTGATGGAAGCTGCACTGCATTGAGCCCACCCCTCCCTCCCCCAGGTTCCCAGTGAGAAAGGTCATTAACCTATACAAGGTGATCATGTATGTAAGGTTGATGGTTCAACTTTGGCGCTGTAATGGAAGCTGCTTTCCTTACACAGTAAGAGTTTAAAGGAAGTTGTCACCAGTTAATCACAAGGCTTACATATAGAAACAGACAACCAGCCACACTCACATTCACACCTACAGCTAATTTAAAATCACCAATATAGCTAATGAGCAAGTCTTTGGACAGTGGGAGGAAAGTACCTAAAGGAAACCCATGCAAACTCCACACAGAAAGGCCCTTAACAATGGGGATTCAAACCAGGAACCTTCTCGCAGTGAGGCAATAGATTTAGCTTAAACCTGCCCCTTATTAAATAAAAGACTGTGATTGGCTTGGTCTGATGGAGCAGGATTGAAATCTTTCTTTACGGGAGGGGTGCCAGACACATGAACCCAGGTTCATCTTGTTGCCAGGCTACCATTGAACAGGATTGTTGTCAAACTGAGGGATCAGAAGAGGTTGGGTCTTAGTCATTGGAGCGATATGGTCTTGAAAGCGATATTTTTAATTAACATGCTATTCCTAATTGACTAGTTAAATCTAATTTAACGATAACAATGAAACATCTTATTCAAATGTAACTGTTGAGGTCTTTGCTAGACTGTACGAGACATTAGCAAGGCGGGTCCAGTAAAGAGGGCAGATCAATACAGCTTTGTGTGGCTGAGGAGAAATCATACGAGAGGAGTGTAAGTGAAGGACAAAGACGGAGGAGAGGAGACAAAAGAGGAAGGCAGAGAAAATGATAACGGTTGCAGAAGAAGAGACGGTTTAAATGAAATGTTTAAGATTGGAGGCAGGAGAGAGAGAGGGAAAAACCAGAAATTCCAATTCAAAGAAATGGAGTGGGCGGGACAGGAGCACACAGGAAATAATACAGGACTATGTAAAAGCAACTACATGGAGAAATCAGAGCAGACTGAAATAGAAAATAAAGATTATGAAAGGAGATATGAGTCAACAAGAGGGCATGAGGAGTGAAGTGGGGGAGTATACATTATCTAAATGAGCTCTGGTTTCAACTGTATATTAACCCAGCCCTGCCTCGGTACTCCTCCCAGTCTCCTTGCAAATCAACTCCTTCTGCATCAGTGTACAGCACTGACTGGCGGTTTATGCTCAGACCTTATTAAAAGGAAAAAATCTGAGCTGACGTTATGCTGCTGTGAAACATCCTGAGACATCTACGCTGTGTGTGAGAGCACTGTTATACAAAGATGTTCGGCTCAGTAGCTTGGGGCGAAGCTGACTTCATGTTGAACAGTAACATGTTGAATATGTCATGTTGCCTATCCAGTTATTAATGAGAGTATGTTTTCTGTCCCTCTCCAGCCCTGATTCATTTTAAAGCTAAGAAAACAGCACTACAGCCATAGGTTTATTCTTTATACTTCACATCAAGTAGGATCCATTATAGAACTAATAGTGTATGTTTAACCCCCTGTGCTCTCCGCCTAGATGCCCTACTTAGACAGACGCACCCATACTTGTCCCTAGAGTAATACCATTGCCTTGATAATGGCCCCTTTTGGAGGAGATGCTGGAGTGCAATTACAGATTTGGATTTTTTATAATGAGCGTTCTCCCCCAGCAGGCTGCAGATGATGCTACGCTGGCCTGTGGTGATGTTGGGACAGTGCAGACTAGCTCAAAGATCCCCCACATATCCAGAGTGGTAAACATCGCCAACACTGCTGCAATGTCCCTTTTAGCCAGGTAAGGTATTCAAAACATACATTTAGACAGCAACTGTTGTGTTCAAAAATATTCGTAATCTGCAGCAGGGCAGGTATTGCAAAATCATTTCACAAAATGATAAATGTTCATGAACCAGCCAAACATTTAGTGAAAAAATATAAATATAGAAATATAAAAAATATTTTGTGCAATGCAAAAAAATCTGTACGAAAAAACATTTTGTGAAATTGAAAAACATTTTGTGAAATTAAAAACATTTTGTGAAATGCAAATACATTTCAGGAGATGCAAATTTTTTAAATGGGAATTTTGAGAAACGCAAAAATGATTTTTCAAACGAAATGCAATATTTCACTTACTGCAAAAAACAGAGACTGGAAAGGGTAGGAGCAAAATACTTGTTTGTGATTGGACAAAACAAAAGTCCTTAGCAAGTCATAGCAACAGTTTACCTTTTACAGTTTTCTCTTTCCACAGCGAATTTCAACAAAGTATGAAAATATTGAGTTATCTTTTGTTCTATTCAACCACGTGATACTAATGGTCACTTTACAGAGCAGCCTCTGACATCAGTGTGTATTAATGTGTAGGTGTGACCTGCAGTGTAAAAACACTTTGAGTACTCAGAAGATTTACAATTTACCGTTGACAGGTAGTGTATAGTCCTTCCCTTTCTGTTTTCTGAAATGTTTTTGCAGTTTATCTTCAGGGCCACCGTAGCGTATGGCCTGGCTACACCACAAGTATCTGTGGAATGACATGCCACCTCCCTCCTTCTCTGCAGGGCAGCCGAGAAGCTCAACCTGACACTGAGGAAAAGGGGCCAGGCTTCTGATCCGGCTCCCGCTCATTTCTCCACCTGCTTCAGGGAGATGATCCAGAAAAGCCCGCCACCCGTACCCTCCTGCCTGCTCCAAGCTGCCACTAGGACCAAAGACTCACCCAATGTTGGCAAGGTACAGTATAAGGCTTCAGATTTTTCAATAGATCAACATTTTTCACTGAATCCTTTTTGGTTTGGGTTGAAATTGGTGACAATACTAGCATTTTTGGGAATTAATTTTTGAATAAAAGATTCATTTTCATTAAAGAGGGACACACCAGTTAGATTTAGTAAACCAGTAAACATTTGATGAGCTTTGCCTCTCCTAAATCTCTGTCATCATGGATAGATTTACTGACATCAACTTCTTACTGTGTTTTAATTATCTTGTACATTACCAGGAAACAAAAGGATGTCTTGCTGCAAGAGAGGCTACTTGTTGAAATTGTGGTAGCATAATTGGACTCAGGCTCTTTAGCCAATGTGGAAAACTACTTTCTAATTGCCATAAGGGAACAACTTCACTGCTTGCAGAAAACACTCTAATGTATACTGGTCTACCAGAAAATCACCCATGACCGTTATGACTTGATTCATAACGTAAGTTAACTTGGACTCATCACAAAAGTATTGTGTTCATTTTGTTAATTATATTCCCATTTTAATATACCGTAAAATAGTTTAGTCATGTCACACAGAATCTATAATGTGTGTCACAAGAGATTTAAGCCATGTATTAACGGCTTTAAGCCTTACAGTATACACAAGGGTTCCATAAGTCAGTATTATTCAAAAAGTAGATAGATAGCCGTGTCAGCTGTGTAATAGTGTGACATCATAGCAGCCCAACACAGTGTAGCCAGCTATTAATTAAGTTAAACGTTCAAGAAGAACAGGGACACAGTAAACAGGGGACCCTTTGGGTAGGATCGGTACCCTTGGCACCCCAGCAGAAGCGTTAACAAAAAAGTAGGACGGTATGGATCCCTTATTTTGGTACCATTCCAAACTTTTGATGGTGGAAACGCCAATAAATGGGTGCTGTACCGAACCGAACTGAACCGGACCGCTTGGTGGAAACGGGGCTAATGTACATTTACAAGACATTTTGGGCCACTTTGTAACTTATATTGCAATATGTAAAAACCTACAGTATAGGTCTATATCTGTGGTGATATATAGCACCATCCTCCTCGTCCACATCCACCACCTTGGAAGTGTTTTTACCGCCCTTGTTCCAGCATAAAGAGATCACAGTCAATTTGGAGGAGATCCTATATCCCCCCCTTCTTTATGATACACTGTAATGTGGTGCTAATGTCTCCATCTTGTTCCTCCCCTCCTCTCCACTCCCCTCCTCTGGGAGAGAAAGTGGGGAGATCAATATGGCTGCCTGCCCTCCCCTTGTCTCAGATGGATGGACTCTTGGGTTCAGTCTAGAGTTACAGATAAGGGCTCCGAGAGACCCCACACACCTGCCCGAGCACTCAGCTCAGTGTGCCTCTGCGTGCCAGTTTCTATGTGTGTGTAACAACGGTAAAGAAGGTTCTCTGCTTGTGGAAAAGGTCTCTTGAATAATTGAACCATCATAAATAGAGTTTGACACATGTTCAATGACGTTAGGGAGCCACTTCTTGCATAAGGTTTTCAAATTATGAAGAGGAAAGAGAAAAAAAAAACCTTCACAGTCAATGGGAACTTATCATGCAGCAGATGGAAGATGGCTTGCATTCGGTCAATAAGAGATGATGTCATGGTGGTGTAATGCAGTCCTGGACAATTTCAAGAAAACCACAGTCAGCTGGGTGTTACGCCGCACATGGTTACTTGCGATCTTGAAGACCTGAATCCTGATTAAGAAAAATGTAATTGGCTTATATACCTTATTAGAGCATATTGTCTATTGTGAAGTGCATCTTGTCTTGTCTTGTTGCAGACTAAGACCTATGAGCCTTGTTAAATGACTGTAAGAGTCGGGATCTAACTTAATTTAAGACCCTTAAATCCTCTAAATCTTTGGGCTTCCGGTGGAGAGCTGCATTAAGGAATTAATGTCATGACATGTGGAAATATAGCAGGAGGTATGCATTGCCATGCAGCTGTAAGTGCATGTATGGTCCCTGCATTAATTGAATGAGCTGGCTGTCGACTGCAGACTCAACAAAATCCAACCTGAGACAACATACGGCTCATTTTTGTTGGAAAAATCAGGCGACGGCTATGAAGCACAAGAGCAGATTTTATTAAAGGGAACCAATTTGCTTCAATTAAGCGATGTGAGAAACATTTACGACGGCAAAGAACACCATCTTCAGTTCACCTTCGTAATGCTCAAATCTAACTCATAATGACGTTAACTAATTTGTTCTGCAAGGTTTCCCCTTTTCAACCGATGTCTCTCCTAACTCATGTTGCATAAAATAACATCTTACCCTCCAATGGCTGAGCATCAGGGGCTCCAAGCGGAAGTCTTACTGTTACTTCCACCTCACAGCATCATTTAATGTCAGCCTCCTGAGATAAAACCCATGTTTTGGTAAACGGTAAGCCTTGAATTCCTTTTTTCAAAATGCATTTTACATAAGAAAATGATAACCTGTAACTGACTACATGGCGGGCAGCTGTGAATATTTTGTCTACAAATATTAAGAGACTTCTCACTGTGTCAGTGCCCTCACGTCTCTGGATGCAAAGACTCGGCGATGACTAAGACTCGCTTGAATTTTACATGAGGATATTTTTGAACTTGCTGTTTTGAAACTCATTGTTTTTTAATGTTTCCCCTCGGTGCTCAGATTTATTTTCAAAAGTTTATGTTACCTGTACGCTGCTCTCATTCTCTGCTTAAGATCTCAGGCTTTTTTGAAAATCACTTACATACAGTACATGTTGTTCTGTAAAAGCTACCTAGCCATTACATTTAATAAGTAATGGAACAGGCTTCTCTTTTAAGTTGTATTTGAAACTGCTCACCCGTTCTGCATTTATCTTCTATACAGTATGAATACAGGGGTAAGTGGAATTGTCGTTTTAACTTAACTCTTGTAAGAGTCATTGCACTTCTGTCCCTGAAGGTTTTTACAAGCCGATTTCGCTTTGACCTCTACAAAGTTTAACTGGTATAAAGCTAGATTCATATTAGCCAGGGTAGACTGCAATGAGGCTTTTTTATGAGGTCAAAACCTTACATCATGAATGAGTCTGTTCACTGAAATCACAAAAATAACATCTATGTTTGAACCTGCCACTTAATCTATTTATTTATGCATACAAACTGTTTCAGTGCTAAACCAGGTTTGGATCTGTCCACTGATATTTGGCCTCAGGAGATTAGAACAGGGGCTCCCAAGCTTTCAGCCGCAGACCCCCAAAATAACGGAGCTAACAGCTGGGGACCCCCATTGTCCCCGAGGGTGGTTAAAACCTTTAATGTTGAGCACAGCCGGGCACACTATGAGGCCTGTCCAAATAGTGGCATTAGAACAGCCCAAACAGAAAGCTAGAAGCAGAACACACAGAATCTCTTGAACTATGATTTTGTTTGTATTTTAATATTAATGGATAAGATATGCTGTTTTAAAGTTTTGGGAAAGAAACTCGCATCCCCCCTCTCAGTGTCTGGATTAGAAGGATTTGGCATTTTTGTAATGTCATTCTTGACATTTTGCTTACAGTATTGAAAATTTCTTTTTAAATATGACTTCGACTCACATCCTGCACTTGAGCTCCTAACAGCTGGATTTTGAGCTGATGCTAATATCTGCATGTCAACATGGTCATTAGAACAATGCTAACATGCTGATTTAGACCAATGCTAACATGCTGATTTAGACCAATGCTAACATGCTGATTTAGACCAATGCTAACATGCTGATTTAGACCAATGCTAACATGCTGATTTAGACCAATGCTAACATGCTGGAGTTTCTGTATTTAGCAGCAGAATTTAGCAGACCTTAAATATCTTACTTGATGACCAGATTCATTAGGTTTAGTCTAACTTGATGAACCTCTTAAGTCCACTTACCAAATGGATGGTAAATGGAGTTGAGCTTGTATAGCGCATTTTTAGTCTCCTGACTACTCAAAGTGCTTTGTACACCGCAGGCCACGTTTACACCACATTCAGACACTGATGGCAGAGGCTGCTATGTAAGTATTAATGAACCCCATTTATATATGGGCGATATGGACCAAAACTCACATCTCGATATTGTTTAGCTAAATGGCGATCCTCAATATATATATATCGATATGTCTTTTATTAACGGTCAAAACACAGGAAAAATAAACTACCCGTTTTTGAATTTATAAAGTAATATTTTATAATAAAATTTTTCCTTGAATACAATAAAAGAGAGAGAGAGGAGGAGAAGAGTGACAGACAGACAGTCATCATCAGTGAGATGAGAAAAAGGTGAACTGGCAGCTCTAACGTTATTTTAATGCAACATAAACTAAATCGATATTATACCCTATATCTTGTTTGGAAATATATCGATATATCTTTAAAACTTGATATATTTCCCAGCCCTAATCAAACCTCCGACCTTCTGGTGGCTGCTTCTACCACTGATCCACAGCCGCCCCAGTTATCAATATGTTCTCTACACAGGGTTGGCTGAGGCTGCTGATATGTCATTAGTTTTGCATGTATCTGGTCCTTAATGACGGTACAGTACTAATAACATTTCTAAACCTGGTCTGATGGTGTGAGACGTGAAAGTGAAAGGAGAGTCCATCGAAGAAAGGACAACCATTAAAGTATGGACCAAATGTCATGGCTATCTATCTAATTCTTGTCTATTCAAATGGAAGAATGTCAGACATACTGACATTAATTTTATTAGGGCCATGCTGCTACTGGGACTATCCTTACCTCATGCAATTGAATACATCAGTTGCAATTCTACAATTTATATCATACTGACATTTCCATCTTGCTTCTATCTCCTTTTTATATGTACAGGTCAGAGTCATGCTGAGGGTGAACCCAACACTGTTCGAGGGCCAAAGTCAACCACCTGTTCTCCGTGTTGAACCGTCCAAGAATAGAGTCATCATAATGGAGCCAATCAGCAAAAGCCAAACACACTCCACGATGACACTAGACAGGGATAGCAAACGTCTTGTGAAGACCTTCAACTTCGATGCTGTCTATCCTCAAGAGTCAAGCCAGGTTTGGCTCTTTTTCCTGATTATTGCTGAACATAATATGAAGATATGGTTTTAAATATTAGGGTTAGGGTTAGGTTTAGATTTAACCCTAATCCTAACCCTAACCCAAGAGCAACTTGGGGTTAATTGTCTTGCCCAAGGACACATGGGGATCAAACACGTTAAATTTCTGGTTGTGAGACCAGACTCTACCACTGAGCCACAGCCGTCCCACTAAGGTGGCATACTGTTTATTTTCCTCACCATTCAATGCATATTTTCCCTCTGTTTGTCTCCTCTGTCTGCTGACCTAAAAACTGATAGGGCCTGAATAGAACTAACAATTACACCACCCTTCAATTCAACCGTTTCCCAGCTTGCTTACAATGTCTGAGCCAAAGGGAATTGACAGAATCAGTATGACTTCCTCCTCTTCTGCAGATTTTTTTTAACGTTTCAACAGATGTGTTTTTCAGTGCGGCTATGAATCATGAGACGCTCGCTGTTCTTTGTCTTCTCTGACCAGGCTGAGGTGTGTGCAGGCGTCTTGGCTGACGTCATCCGCTGTGTGCTCAGTGGAAGCGATGGATGTGTTCTGGGTTTGGGATGTGCTGATGTGGGTGAGTAATCGGTCACTGTGAGAGGCCATGGGTTAAACTCTTAAAATGAGAGTGGGGTGCTTTTATCTGTAATCCCCCCTCCCCCCTATTTCTCTGTCCCACTCTGGCTATCATTCACCCTTTCTTTACCACTTAAAGTCCATGTCTCCATTTTCTTTCTCTGCCCTCTTATCTGCCTTAATATACATTTTCTCTATCCTTCTTTTTCCCCACAGTAATGACAGAAAAGTGTTGCTCTTTCAACTGTCTCCCCCTCAGTCTTTCATATTTCACCTGTTCCTGCGTAAATAAAAGCCCATTCATCAATTATGCAACACTATTGCTTTTTTAAAAGCCCACCACAAGCTGATAGAGATTTCAACATGCTGCACAAAATGACACAAATATTTTTTTTTATTTTGCTGAGACCCTGAGATTGGACGGGACTGTGCACAAAATGGACTGTAATATGTTGCTATTAGAGAGATGGGACCCTGCACTTAGCGTCGGTCAAGAGGTTTAATAGATTTGCAGCAACGCACACTACAGCGCACACTCACTCAAACACACACACACATACACACACACACACAGGGTAAGGACAGGGTCTCCTTGGCTCTGTTTTTTCACATGACGCCATTCTCCGTAAATCTGATTGAATTAGTTGCCCAATACAAACTACATGTGGCCCCCAGCCAGGGGATATCAATCTCATCCACAGAGTACTATTCGCTCTGAATAGGCAGCATGGCCTTTAATTGGAGTAAACCAATTCTCTTATCCTCATTCAATTAGAGTTGGGATAAGACAGGAGAGGGTAAAAAAGGCCCATAACTCAGAAGTATTGTGGGGCAAAAATGCACACAGAATATATTGTATGTATATTTGTATATTTATATATCAGATTCAGAATCAGCTTTATTGGCCAGGTGTGCTGAAACACACAAGGAATTTTACTTTGGTAAACTGTGCTCTCTTTGTACAAAGGTATAACATTAAATATCAACAATAAACCCAAAAATAAACAAATAAGCAAAGACTTATATGTACAAGGCTAAATAGGATAATAGTGCAGTGGTGAGTAGCGCATATATATGTATATATATACAGTATATATATATGATTCTTTATAACAGCTCTTAATCTGCTCTGCCTTTATTTTACATTTTTAGAACTTTATGTGTTAATTCCTGTGATTTTTTAAATGCTTCTGCAGTTTGGTCTTTTGCATATTAGATATGGATATATTGTCTTATAATATGCAGGACGAGCTGCAGACAAGTTTTACCCGTAGGCTGTATAAAACATGGATGTAGTCTCAGTGATGACACCCAGTAATGGCAGTTGCCATATTGGAAATGCCGTCTCAAACTAACTTTGGTTCATTTAGAAACTGGCAAAGAGTTGGAGCTGAGGCGGGCTGTTAGCCTCCTGGCAAACAGCTATAAAGCACCAAGCTGTCAGTCTGATCAGCCACGCCCATAATTATGCTTTTATAGAATACAAACAGATGAGTTATAGAAAAAAATACAACCCACATACAGGGTCTACCAATAACCACATGAGCTGTCCAGATTGCCATGTTGTTTTTTGTACCAGGCTGTAAACATGTTTATTTCTGCTGTAAAAATGGGCATTTTAACATGTGCTAATGGGACTCTCCAGGCTTTTGTAACCAGCCTAATGGAGGACACTCGAGGAACTGCAGTGTTTTACATTTCCGCATTGGCTTTATTTTTCAACACCAGAGGTTGCCACATCAATGCTGACAACAGTATTTGCGCCAATGACAGCTAACAGGTGTGTTTACATAAAGCTGGGTTTGGATATGCCGATAACTTTGCCCGTCTTTAGCATTGAGGTATTTCGCTCTGGACCTAAGTGGCATTCCATCTGAGCACCAGTCATATCAATGTAACATATATATATATGATGATAAGATCTGAAAATGAATCATATTGTTATTATTGTAAGTATAACATTTCTTGATGGCCCTCTCGGGTGTGTCAAGGCAATGTGCATGAACTTGATGTTTCTGTAAATGTTGCATGCATACATCTGTGTCTACCTCAGGCTCCTGGTCTAGCATGGTGGGGAGTGGTGAGAGCACTCAGAAGCTTGGGCTTATTCCACATGCCATCTCCTGGCTGTACAGTGCCATCGAGCGGCGGAGGGAGAAAACCTGGACCGAGCTGACTGTATCAGTGTCTGCTATAGAGCTCTGCTGTGGAGAGGAAGACACTCTGAGGGATCTTTTGGGGGAGGTGGTTCACTCATCAGGCAGTATCCATGACAGTCCTAAGGCTCATGTTAGACTCCAGGAGGACCCTGTCTATGGGATACAGGTAGAAGTTAAACTGTATTTGATTAGGGAAAAAAAGGAGCTTGTTTAATGAACTTGTGCTTCTGCTGTTTTCATTCTCACTCCAAATCAGAGTGCATTGACATAAATAAACTAACATCATTGATTGTGTTCTATAACATTCATTCAAATATACAGTGTGGTAAAAGCCTAACCAGGCTCTGGAAACATAGATTGTAAATCTAAAAACCAGAGTGGCAAGGCTGATTTTTCCTGGTTTTCTACAAGACAGTATTTTGTATTTCGTGTTCACTATGACACACAAATAAGTGTTATTTAGATCGGTTTGGAAGCAGGTGTCAGGGATGTTGCAGATACTGTGTGAGATATTTTTTTTACTCCCCCCTAGACATGGCAGGATTAATGTTAATGTTAATTCAGAAAGTCATTTTGCATAATGGTCTTCACTTTATGAGCAGATAATACTGGGAGTGAGTGAAATTTCTTAGATTGAGTTAAGATCAAATCTGATTGCACTATGACTGTGCAGCTCTCTCCTCCCTCGCAATGCTGTATGCAAGCCAGCACCACAATGTGCATTTCTCTCTATTTCTTTGTTGGTTTCTGGGATGAATGACATCAAATCTCTCAGAATGTGCAAAGCTCTGCCAAGGCTGGGTCATCCTGTAAGTGATGTCAGATACATTTTATAGATTGACAGAAAGAAATCAAACGGCAGATGGTTTTCATGTGAGCTACTGGAGTGAACCTTTGTGCCATATAAGATTTTACCACTCTCCTCTGTCTCCAGCTACGTAACCACAACCGGGTGAAAGCTCCCACTGCCGAGCGAGCTGCATCCCTTCTTGATGCAGCCATTGCAGCGCGTCGGCACAACGACTTCATTACGTATCTGTCCCACAGCTCCATAATGTTTTTCACTCTCTACATCCAGCCCCCTCGCACAGAGAGCAGCACCATCGGCAAAGGTTGTGATGAATTATTGAATAGCTTGGACAGCTTGTCCCTGTTGAATTTGCTTGTTTCCCCATGAATTATTTTCACAGTTAATCCTTTATTCCTGAATGAGTTTACAAAAAATGATGCAACCCACTTCTTCTTTACTGTGCTTTTAAACTATCCCTTTCTCTGTTGTTTTTATTTTGTAGGTGCACGAGGCGTCACTAAGTTGACTATGATAGATGTTTGTAGTGGTATGAGGGGTATGAGGCCAAATAAGCCTCCATTTTCTGAGCTCGGCCCTGTTGTCTTGTCTCTGCTAAGTGGACCCAAAACTATCCCCAACAAGTAAGAGTGTAACTCCCAAATATTATCTGTAAACATTTTAACATACGTTTGAAAAAATGTTTAACATTTTTACATCGATCCAAAGTGAATTTTAGTCTTGCAAATTGCTTTCCAAAAATACTCAGATTCTGCCCATAAAGTCATTTCATACTGGCTAAAAAACAATTGCTTACTGTAACAGCTACATCAAAAGTTGGATAATGATATATTTGGCTGCAGGACTCATGCAAACTTTGAGTTAATGTCTGTCTCTCTATAGGGGAAGTAAGTTGACGATGCTCCTTCAAGAATCCATGGGTCATGTAAATTGCCATACCACCGTGGTCGCTCAGGTTTCTGATTCTTTGGCACATCTTCAAGAGGCAATATCCACCATCCAGATGGCTTCTCGCATCCGCAAGACCCAGAAAAGGACAAAGGTGACATATATGTTTGTTGATGTCTGTCAGTCCAACTTTAGATTACCTCTCTGTCATTAAAAAATAAATATTTGTTCTCAGACATTATTATTTTCAACACAGCCTGATATTTTCTTGTTGATTTGTGCTTTAAGCTGTCCAAAACAAATTCAACTTTAAATTGTATCTTTTTTCTGCTGCAGTCCCCCGCATGTTCTCCTCGTGGAAGGAGTTTGACAAGAGAAAAGAGAGGACCTACGTCTTTTTCCCTGCGGGCGTTTCACTCCACTGAAGAGGTCGATGTTGACGTCCCTCGTTTCCATTTGCGCGGAGAAGTGGGAGAGCGCTCCAGTAGCGACCAGTCCTGTGACACAGTCATCCAATTGGACTCGTACGGCTTGGTCCAGTCCAAAGTAACTCCAAGACTGGCACAACCCGAATTTGTTCCAATTATACCTTCTTTGCATCCTAACAAGGCCGATATGGACGACCCAGAGTTCACTGCTCTGCTCCAAGAGCTCTTGAAAATTCCTCAGCTGCAGGGAGCAAAGAATAAGGAGGAGACAGTTCAAGGGAATATCGAAGTGCTGAAAGCAGACTTGAAGCAGCCAGGGAGGGACTGTCTTAAATGTGACACATTTGCTGAACTTCAAGAGCGTTTGGGCTGTATTGATGGAAGTGAGACAACAATGGATGTGCTCAAATCCTCCTCAAAAGGCACCCCTGTTAATGACGTGACAACCAAATCCCAACCCCCCAAAGAATCAGGGAAGCATACAGATGCTAAATCATCAGATGCCCCACAGACTCAACTGGATCAGGCATTAGGTTGCAGTCAAACATCTGCTGGAGGACAGCAAACAGATGGTGCCTTACCTGGGGACAGTTTTCAGAGAGAAGATTCAGGTCTGTATGATTGTGAGGAGTGCAGTGGAACCAGTTCCAGTGAGGAACTGCTGAACCAAACTCTAGGTATTAACATGCCCTGCTGTTCTGAACTGCCCAAAAAGGAAACTCTTAAATCAGGTGATAAGCCCCCTTCTCAGGACTTCAGTGTTGATGCTAAGGGCACAGCTACTACTAGTTCTCCAGCACTTCAGTCCACAAGCAAACAGGAGAGTCCTGAAGCTGCCGAATGGTTCAAACCAGACAAAAGGTCTTCACCAATCGGCAAAAGCTCCCCCATATCTCCACCTTCCTCCTGTTCATCCTCACACTCCTTGGCTACCAATGTTATACTGGGAGATGTACCTAAACGCCCCTTAGAGGACATTAAGGAAATGAAGGCCACTATCACAGTAACTGTTCAACAGCCACTGGACCTAAAAGGTCAAGATGAACTTGTCTTCTCAATGGTAGAGGAGGTGACCATCAGTGGAGCACTGGACAGAGGGAGAACAGGTGGAAACATTATTTGTATCAGGGACAGTGCACAATCCCAGGCACATGTTCAAGGCGCTGGAAGCTCACAACCAATCAGGATAATCAGCAATGTCACAGAAGAGCCGGTGGCTGGAAGTACCTCCATTCCAAACAAAAGTCTTGCAGTTCAGTCTGGAGCGAAGGAAGCGAGCATGGAAGAGCCCCAGCAGCCCTTCAGAAAGGAGAAGAGGTTCTTGCCTTCATTTATAAATCCCATGCTAGTTGATACAGATATGGATTGTGAATTGATTTGCGTGAAAGAAAACGAACATCCCCATGACTCTTTTCCAGGAGTCGGGTCATCATCTGAGCTCAGAGGTAATAATGTCAAATGTGAAGAGCATAGTAAGGCTCCAGAGCAGAGGATTGGGGCTTTTGCCTGCAAGAAACATGCAAAAACGTCTGAAAAAGTACATGAATCATCTTTTAGCCGAAATTCTGATGACCTATTGGCTTTCTGCAATGAAAATGCAGAAAACAAAAAACATGAAAAGAGGACGCGAAATACAGACAATAATCCCCCTAGGGAAACAGAGCATGTTTACTCTAGTAAGACTCCAAGGAGACCAGATGGGGGAGAAGTCAGTTCCAGACATGTTGGAAACGGCCCTCAGGGAACTGGTGTTCCACCTGGTTGCCAAGAAACCATCCCTGCTTACTTTAAAACAGGTAGTTTGCCTAGAGGCTGGCAAAATGCCAATCTCAAGGACAGCTACTATGGTGCACACATGACAGACTACCACAGAACCCCAAGGGGGGTGACATCATCCACCCCTTGTAGCCCAGGGGTAACTCTAGAGAGGAGGCAGGGCAGACAGCACTCCCCAGTGACCCACAGCCACCATGTCTCCTCTCCTCGGAAATATGGAGCGGAGTACAAAATGCACGGCAGTAGTGCTGCTAAAAAGGGTGTTGAATCTTTGTTTGAGACGTCAAGTTTCAGAATGAAACATGGTCATATGAGTGGTAGGCCGATGTCCCCTATTGAGGACAGCGGTAGGCTTTTCAGTGCCAAACTGGAGTACCTTGGTACCAGGTCTAATTCCCTTGGGAGATCCCAAAGAGACTTCCCAAATCTTGATAGAGAGGGTAGTAACACCTCTTTGAGCTCTAAAGGCAGCTCTAAGGGAAGTACTGAAGGATCCTCTAAGCGAGGTTACAGAGGACATAATGATGAAGATGATACATTACCCAGGGCCAGTAGGAGCACAAGGAAGAATCAGCGGTCTGACCAGAATCATCATGCATTTCATTCTGAAAACCCTGTAACTCAATCTGCTAGGCATATCCATTCCAAGCTTTCTGCTGTTGGGAAGCTTAAGATGGCTAGCCCTAAAGTCCGCCGACTGTCTATTCCAAGCATCAAGAACCTCAGTCTTCCCCACAAAAGCCTGCGACAGTCTGTCAGCCGCAGTGCCAGTCTCTCTCCAGACAGTAAAACGGTGAGCTTTGAGCGGGCATCCTCCTTTCTGTCCTCGTCCCCTCCGCGTTCTTACCAATCAATCAGTCGGACTCCAAGCCAGAGCTCCACATGTTCATCCACAAAGTCTGCCATCCAGGGGTTTGTCAATGGCCGAATCACAGACCTCCTGAAGGAAAGGTCTTCCAGTCCCACTTCAGGAGCTTTTGACCAATTGGCCCCACTCCCCTCCCCATACAGCCAGGTGACTGCCCCCCGCATGCCTGATCACATGAGTGGGCATGCAAGTGACACCACCAGTGTGCTGAGCGGAGATTTGCCACCAGCTATGGGAAAGACCTCGTTGCACTTCTCAAACAGGAACAGTACGGTGAGCAGTGGATATGATAGCATGATGAGGGACAGTGAAGCCACAGGCAGCAGCACATCAACCAGAGACTCTGTCAGCGACCGGAGTGGCTCTCTTCTCAGTGTGGCTCGCAGCAGTCGATCATCTCGGAGGAGGGGGAACACAGGTAAAACACCTGCAAAAAATAGGCGTTCATGAACTGAACTGGATGACTTTTTCTTCTGAAAAGATCAGAATCTCATCCAAGAACTGAGCGCTTATTGCGTGTAGTGGATGTTAGTTGTACATTTTTTTTAAATGTGTAGTTCCACATTTGTCTGATGTAAAAAAAAATGCATGTTGAGTGTTTTTATAAACCCTAAGATTCATTTTAAACTGTCCCAAACTTTGTGTCTTAATCACTTGTTGCTTAAATTTCCTTTTAATGTTATTATCAAATGTGGGATTCATGTATGCCATGCTTTACTTTAGATTTATTTTATTATTGTTGCATGATAACACTTCTTAGGGAAGAGGCCCACTTCTGAGGGGCAGAATCACACCTATATAATGAATTCAATAGTATGATTGTCCAATGAAAGTGCTGAATCCTCTGGCATTTGAAGAATGTACCTTTAGTTTTGTGGAGCTTTCAGTCAAATTTTAAAAGTCAATACATTTCAAAGGTGATGTTTACATTAGACATTTTTTTCTAAATCTGCCATATAATAAACAACACCATTTCTATGAACAACAGCTCTGAGATCACATTTTTTGGGGGGCTGTAAACTGACCGTATAACATTTTAATGTGACGTTAAGTGGAGATGACATACTTCTGTAGAATGCAGTCAGACCTAGTTTCCTTACTGGCAATAAAAGCTTAATTGTGTAGGAGGTCACATTATTAATATATGAAGGCTGTGACGGCACTTTCTGAAGCCAGAGTGAGCTGAAATGAATGTTTGTCTGATGCGGTACATTATAGAGGTAGGTTGTGCTCATAGCTTGTAGACAGATACATGCTAATGGAATAATGCACTGAGAAACTCTTTAAAGCTTTTGGATAAGAACATGGGTTAAACCAGTGAAAACCTGCTAATGGGGCGAAAAAAGGAAAGTAGGAGCAGAGCTTTGCTGGATGAGCAAATACATTTAAAAGTCCCTGCACATCATCTGCTCATAATCAGATGATCACATTCTGCCTGTGCTTCATTTCCCCGTAAGTGTCCTCTAATATCTCTTCTTCAATCTGATAAAGAATGAAACCTTATCATTTGAGTTAAAGCATGTACTGAGATTTCAGTGACATAAAGCATAAACCTTTTATTGTACCGGCAAACTGAGTCGATCCAGAAATATTAAACCATATAATGTCTTCAGAGTTATATAAATAATATGTCAGTCCTGGAATGCTGCATTGGGCTCAGGCAAACAGTTTTTAGCAAAGAGAGCATTTACAACGCTGGACACTGAAGGCCTCTTTTCTGTCGGTAATTAGCAACAACATTCAGAGTCAAATAATATATAACACTCACTTAAGCAAAGGTAGTCTTTATTTTAAGGTCACTATCTCAACTGCTTTAATGCAAGTATGCAAATGAAAGTTTCAGATACCGGAGAAGAGAAAGTAAAAACCATGCCGAGATACGGCATCTCACTGCAGCATCTCTCTGCCTCGCCCTGCTGTAGGTACTCACCAGCGTCGTCTTTCCCATGATACACCCCAGTCCCTGAGACGCTCGTCTAGTGGACTGCGGTCCCGCTGGGCGGATCGGGGAATCCCAGAGGCCTACGAGTTCAAGGTCTATGAGATCGACAATATACAGAGGATGCAAAAAAGATCAGGTGCTGGCAAACAGGTGCTGGGTCTATTTTGATTTTTTTTTACGAGGTTTCAGGGCTTTTTCTTTTTTTACCTCTACCTGCAACCAGAAAATGGCTACATTACCTCTTCAATGGTCTTAAACTTAATGGACATATTATGGAGACATCAACTATTTCTTGACTAGAGTTACCAGTTGGTAGAGCAGGAGCCCTGTATCGGCCTACAAATGCTACACTCCTTGCCAAATCGGCTGCAGGCTCTACTCATGACCTCCATCCTTTGATGCATCTGTACCCGACTCACCTCCACGTTTCCTGTCTCTCAATAAAGGCTAACACATGTCTTATCAACCTTATTCTAGATTCAATTCAAGTCAAATTCATTTATAAAGCAGATAAAAAATGAAATAAAAAGCATGTTGACCAAAGTGCTGTACAACAAAGGCAGGCAGGTAAATGAAAAGAAAACCAGATAAAATGACCACTAAAGTATTTGATTAAAACAAATAAGAACAGAGATAAAAAAAATAAAAAAAAACATAAACAGACTGTCAGTTGAAGAATAAAAGAGTTCCTGGGCAGTATACAGTAGAATAAATAGGAAGGGCCGATCTCAAATTGGATTGAAGGCCATCGAAACCTTGGAAGTGTCAAGCGATTGGGCAGTTCTTAGACTGTACCACAATTTCAGAGCAGCCTCAGCAAAGCTACAGTCACCTCTGATTTAAAGTCTTAGGACTTCTTAAGAGGAAGTGGTTGGTCGACCTATGTGGTCTAACTGGATTGTAAAACTGCGGCGGAACAACAAGATAAGAAGGTGCCATTCCATTTAAAACCTTAAAAACAATCAATACAATTCTAAAATCAATCCTTAAACTGACAGGAAGCCAATGAAGACCAGCCAAAATAGTTGTAATGCTGTAATGACTTTGTTAGGAGACGTGCTGCAGGGTTCAGTACAAGCTGGAGACAGAGAAAAGACGACTGATCTAAACCTTTCTAAAGTGAATTATCGTCCAGCCTGGAAGCGATAAAGGCATGAATGACTCCCTCAAAGTCATTTAGACAGAGCTGGAACTTAACCTTCGCTAAGGTAAATGATTTCACTACAAGAAACGTAGAACATCTCTGAGAAAGATTTCCTTTTTTAGCAGCCGCTTAACTGAACACTTAATGCACGTCACAGAGAGACGATCATGTTTGCATTAGCTAATAAATAACTGTAATAAATCCCCAGGATGGTTTATTAAAGGTACATCTATTGATTCTCACAATTCTGATGATTAAGTTTGTTTTAATTTTGCAGCTGCACAGTTTTTCAGACAATAATAAATAAAAACCCTAATATACATTTTTACAAATCTTTACATGGCTCAAAGTCTCATGGCTTAAAGTCTCATGAAGTCTCATAGCTTAAAGTCTCATGGCTTAAAGTCTCATGGCTTAAAGTCTCATGGCTTAAAGTCTCATGAAGTCTCATAGCTTAAAGTCTCATGGCTTAAAGTCTCATGGCTCAAAGTCTCATGGTTTAAAGTCTCATGAAGTCTCATAGCTTAAAGTCTCATGGCTCAAAGTCTCATGGCTTAAAGTCTCATGGCTCAAAGTCTCATGGCTCAAAGTCTCATGGCTTAAAGTCTCATGGCTCAAAGTCTCATGGCTCAAAGTCTCATAGCTTAAACTCATGGCTTAAAGTCTCATGAAGTCTCATAGCTTAAAGTCTCATGGCTCAAAGTCTCATGGCTTAAAGTCTCATGGCTTAAAGTCTCATGGCTCAAAGTCTCATGGCTCAAAGTCTCATGGCTCAAAGTCTCATGGCTTAAAGTCTCATGGCTCAAAGTCTCATGGCTTAAAGTCTCATGAAGTCTCATAGCTTAAAGTCTCATGGCTCAAAGTCTCATGGCTTAAAGTCTCATGGCTCAAAGTCTCATGGCGTAAACTCTCATGGCTTAAACTCTCATGGCTCAAAGTCTCATGGCTCAAAGTCTCATGGCTCAAAGTCTCAGCTTAAACTCATGGCTCAAGGTCTCATGGCTTAAACTCTCATGGCTCAAAGTCTCATGGCTCAAAGTCTCATGGCTCAAAGTCTCATAGCTTAAACTCATGGCTCAAGGTCTCATGGCTTAAAGTCTCATGGTTTATAGTCTCATGGCTCAAACTCTCATGAAGTCTCATGGCTTAAACTCTCATGGCTCTGACTCTCATGGCTCAAAGTCTCATGGCTCAAAGTCTCATGGCTTAAACTCTCATGGTTTATAGTCTCATGGCTTATAGTCTTATGGCTCAAAGTCTCATGGCTCAAACTCTCATGGCTCAAACTCTCATGGCTCAATGTCTCATGGCTCAAAGTCTCATGGCTTGTCTCTTAAAAAACAAAACAGAGTTTATCTCCCTCGATTAATAAAGTAGATAGCTGCATAGGCCTCTACTAAAGAGGCGTCTTGTACCAAGCTAGTTCTTAAAGTTACTCCAATAGTTTGATTTCTTTCTAATTTTGAACATGTATTGTACTTTATGAAAACAGAGGGAAAAAGTTGCACACGTTTTTAGCCTACACCTTTTATTTCATCACGTCAGACACATTCTATCAAATGTTCATTATGCTGCTAGTTGTTCATTTACAAGATGTTAACATAAATCAAAGTACTAAAAAGACGAAGCTGAATCACTGAGTTGAAGTTATTTATACCGTAAGTTGCTAGTTTCAAATGTATGAAGTTAAACCTGTTCATGTTATTTATTTATGTACTTGAAGAGGGACAGTGTACATTCATCAACATTCAGACTGATTTGTTAGCCCAAAGACGAACTTTCATCAGCAGTCCCTTTGCCAGCTGTTCTTTAGGGTCAAAGAATTAAAACCCATTCAAATATGTTTATTAGTGTAGAAAAATACAGATACAAAATGATTTGGGTAACAGGAACAAATAATATCCAACATAGGGCATGATACAGTTACAGTTACCATGGCTAGATCAGTGCAATAAACCATTATTTTAACATTTTATTTAAATGAATGATATGATGTTGACTCTCTCACTGAGTGCGTTTACATGGACTTGAGTATCCCGGGTTATGAGCCTTATCCCGGTTTTGATCATCTTCGGGATGTGGTGTTTACATGCACAAATACAAAACCGGAACAGGATACTTAAAAACCCGATCAAAACTGGGATACTCAAGTTCATGTACTCAAGTACTCATTGATTAGGGTGTTAAATTCCACTGATGAGCCGCTCTGAAGGAAAAGACACCCTGACTTAATGCGGTTTGAAAGTATCTTCCTTTAGTTGACTAAACATGATGAGTTTAGAAATCATCAGTCATTTGTATAAGTAGCATGCTTCTGAGAGTATGCAGCACCCTGGCTAAGTCACAGTGAGTCAAATATTCCAGCTCTTTAGAATTGAAATGTGCTTGAAAGCAAAATGCGACGATGCGTGTGGTGACGTTATGTCCCCATGACAGGCGGTCTGGTCTCATGAGACTACACCCCAACCTCCACTAGTCTCAGACTCAACATTGATACAATTTTAATGAACACATGGGGGAAATTGGGTCAAGGCTGAAGCTGTGAACAAAGAAAAACACGTAAGGTTAAACAAACAGGGTACCGTTTTGGAAAAAAAATGAAGTGAGGACTTTTATTTTAAAAAACCAAACACATATTACAGAAAATATATATGACTAATATTTCTTATATTTTTTCTCACTTGGTCGAAAGTTGATAATATAGTAATGTTCATGTAGCATAGCAACACTTTGCTTGATCGTGAAGATTTTCTTATTGAAAGTGAGTTTAGTGCATGTTGTGCCCTTCTAACTCTCCCTAATGCGTAATAAGGTTAGTGTAATCAGAGGATGATTTATTTAGTAGCCTACAGACTCTCTCACTCCCCAGAGGTGTCGTCCGGCACTAACGTGGTGTTTATGAGTGAGTGGAGCGAGAGGGAGAGGGAGGAAGATAGAGCAATGGTGGTGGTTGTTTTGTTATTTTTACTGACAGGCACACACTGTTTTTTTCAGATCATGTACTCGATCATATCTTTATTTATAACAGTGGTAGAGATGTTACATATTAGAAACTTGGTGTATTTTCTGGAAGAAGTTCATAACACTAGGAACAAGACTAAAGTACTATGTTTCCATATGTGATATCAGACAGGAAACGCTAGGAACAGAGAACGGAGGATGACATGCAGCAAAGGGCAGAGGTCAGATTTGAACCCACGTCCACTGCAGCAAGGACTGTATAGCCTCTGAACACAAGGGACACATGTCATAACCTCCAGGCCATTGGCACCCACAGAAAACATGTTTTGTTATGATTAGCATTAAAGGTGAAGTTCTTAGTGATATATCGTTTGTGGAGGGATGAGTTTTTGAAGCCATCATTTAAAAATACACTTTGAACAAAGAATCCGCCAGGTGCTATACGAGTGTAGATAACAGTGGTGAAGTGTGTGTGTGTGTTTGCGTTTTTCAGGGGCCTGCGAGCTTCAGTGCCAAGCTGAAGTTTTTGGAGCACCGTCAGGACAGGATCTCAGATGTCCGGGCCAAATACAACAACCTCAGGAGAGAGCTCGAGCAGGCCAAACACAACCTCATGCTGGAGCCCACCAAGTGGAACCAAGAATGTCAGTGAAGTTATCTTTGTTGTCCGGTTATCTTATCAGCTCATTGTTGAGTTGATTAAGAAATGCTTGCATTTCCATGAGTCATAGTAGCATCCCCTGAATGACCTTCTTTTGTCAGAGCAGCACTCATAAAAACCACATGTTAAAATAACCAGTGGTGGAACACACAGTGGAGAGGCTAGTATTAGCCTCTCCACTGTGTGGGAATTTATACGTAACAGAGGTGGTAATTTATACATAAAAATGTCATTATATTATCAGCAAAGTTTCATATTATTTTTCAGTCTATAAGTTAATTGATTTCACGCCCAGTTGTTTGAACTCCACCTCATTGAAAGAGCAAATAACATGCTTGTAGTATGACAACGTTTCAACAGAGGGCAGTATACTGCCATTACAGTACGCTGACTCCTCATCACTTGAGTGATGCTGTGACACTTTCCTGACATAGCACATGGTGACTCTAGGTCAGACCAGCTAATTTAAATAACAACATTTACTGCAGTTTTATACAGTTGAAGAAGAAAGCGCCTTGTGCAGTCACATGGTATTGTTTATTTTCACCATCATACCCTGTGAGTACATTTTGGCTATTGGGCAACGGGGCAGCACTCACCCATTTAATTTGGTCTACTTACAGTAACCTTCTAAAATGACTTATAAGTTCACTTTACCTTACAAACTGCTCCAGTGTCACCTTGCTGTCCTCCTCCAGTCGACCTGTGGCAGACCTTCGAGGTGGACTCCCTGGAGCATCTGGAAGCCCTTGAAGGGGTGACTGCTCAGCTGGAGAAGAGGCTCAACATCTGCAAGGCCAATGTTATGATGGTCACCTGCTTTGACGCTACAACCAGGAGGCGGCACAGGAAGCGTCGGACAAAAACACAGCAGAAGAGAGCCTTAAAGGGAATTTGAGTTGAACTGATATGACGTTACTATGACTACCTATCACTTTGATGTTTTTAGATGATACGTTCAAAATCCGTATATCTGCAACACACTTTATCTCAATGCATATTTAAAGTGCCACATTACCTCTGGTTCTTTTTGAACTAGGTGCTACAGACTAAGTGTTATGTCTTATAACTAGGTGCTGCCTGTCACGTGATCAGTGGTTTGAAGCCAGAGTTTGAATATTTTCACCTTGACCTCATACAGCCCTTTCTTTGCACTACGTTTCTTCCTGGAATTCTTCAGGCACACTTCTAAAGGGCTTTTAGCTGGTACAATGCAATTAGAAACCTTTTCATGGCACAAACTAAAATGATCAACTGTCACTACCTGTATTATCTGTACTTCAATATGTAGATTAATTTGCTTTTTAAAGCTTACTAAAGTTTATTTTGAGCTTTCAGTTCAGATAGATGCTGACAAGACGTTTTAGTGAGGCTAAGGGACAAATCCTCCTCTCCTGTTAAAGAAGCTGTTGAGGATTCAGATATAAAACTCATGCAATGTCCTGAACAGTCTGTTTTTGTTTTGACCATGAGAAGTAGGTTTCTATGGCACTCCCTCATGGCCCCTTGGGTTGCCAGGCAAACAGCAAACCAGCAATGGAAGCGGGCAAGAGAACTGGTTCAGATAGAAGTGAGTCTACCCGACGTAAAAACCTAAGCATTTTTCAATAAGCTCCACGAGTAGAAACATGGTAAAACTAGGATAAATATTGGAAATGCTTTTAAAAAATTAAGAGAGGTTAAAAGACAAAAAGGTTTCAAGACTGATGCAGAGCTGGCTAAACACTGAAGCTTCAGTGTCCGCAACAGGGCAACCTATGTGCACATCGAGTGGGTGTGTGCAGACAGCTTTTAAACACCAGGTGTCAGAGTTACATATTGCTCCTTTAAGGTGATTAAGGTGAACGGACTATGCATCAATGAGTCATCAAAAAGGCATCCAGCCTTCAATGTGGTTTAATACAGACAGAGCACTTGATATTTGAAATAACAATGTATAGATACTAAACATTTCTGCAGGATTTCCCCTTGAGCACTTTAATCCGGCTGCTAATAGTTTGATTTTACGTTTCTGAAGCAACGAGTTGAGGATTTGATGCATTCCTCAAAAGCTTTTCCAAAAGCTTATGCTGACCGAACACTGTTAGAGCAGAATTGCAGCATTATTTGGGAGCATTTTACTTAGTTTAATGTAATATTTGTATTTCTTTAAGTGTCTTATAAGATGAAGTAAAAATGGACTCGGTCTGAGTCTAATGAAACGTTTGATTCGCCTGCTCAAGAGGTGGTGTTACCGTCACTGTTATATTTAAAAGGACTGTTTCAAAAGGAATATGCCATTTTGTAAATAGCTTTCAGTGCTGAATACAGTTATAGAATTAAATGTATGTATTTCTGTTTTACATTTTATTGTGATATAAAAATGCTTAAAGTAGGGTTGCCAGGTCGAGGGGATCAGTTTGCAGTTTGTCTGTGATCCGTCCCAACGCTAACTGAGCCGTCAGAAAAGAGTTTAGGTTTTAAGGACGGCAGAAAGACTGTGATCGATAAGCTGGATGCTAAAACACATTAGTAGATCATTGGTGGCAGAATAAAAAATGTGGGTTCCACTCTGGGTGTAATGGAGGAGTAATTACATTAAAGGCATAACGTCATCATGTCTGAGGAGCTACCGTGGCTCTGAAATCATTGAGATAATAATAAAGGATGGACTGATGCATAGTGATCAATAGACAGCGCTGGTTTCTACCTGGATCGATGCATTTAAACATGCAGGGATAGGGAAGACACACACACACACTTACTGGACATCTGTTTTGTGAATCCAATTAGTCAGCATGTTGTACGTCACTGTTCATAAATGACCACAGATCTGGGTTTTTTTCTGTGTGTTGTCATTGCACAAGATAAATTGTGCAGTTCTCAGTGTTCATGCCTCCATGTTTGATGATCACAACTTTTGGATTTTTTTCCGGAGTGTACATTTGTGCAAATGTGTGTGCAGAGAGAGAAAGATGCACGCAAAATGACAACGACGGGATGACTGTTCATGCTGTCCTCAGTGAAAAGGTAATGAGAGGAGGCAGAGCTGAGCCCTAGAGCAGCTCAATTATAAAGAAAGACTCATAGTAGCAGAGAAAGAAGACACAGCACACACACACACACACACACACACACACACACACACACACACACACACACACACACACACACACACTTCCTTCCCTTACTTGCCCTTCCTCCCCTTCTGCTCCACTTCCTCATTGTTCATCCTCCTTTCATATTCCACAAACTTGAGTGCAGAAGTGAAACCACGGTCCTTCATTCATGCTGCGAGGGAATTTAGATTTAGTAAAAGAGGAAATGGGATACAACACAAGTCAAACCATCTATTTCGGGATGAAAATGAGGGAATTCTATCAATTTAGGTTTAAATAAGTAAATGAAAGTCCCTTAATGTAGTGCACTTTACAGAAATAAAAGCGTCAACATTTCTGCCTCTGAGACTGTTTGTATTTTGATATTTGGCAAAGAAAACCCAAAACATAGTGTTCAACTCAAGTACATTTGTTTTAAAATTTTGCAGAAGCCATTTATGTTACATGACAATTCATATCCATTTTGTTCAGTGTCCCAAATAGGCTGACAAATGCATGAATTATAGTTTATTTTTCTAATCCATTTTTATTTTATTTAATCTCAAATTGAAATATCTGATTCAAGAATTCAGTGAATGAAACATATTTGATTTTGAATAGAATTCAGATACTTGTTTCTTGGTCATACTTTTTAAAAAATCATTGCATCTATCATAGAGTATGTGGTTCTGTGTGGAAATGGAAAGTTCTTCTTTAAGGTGCAGTGTTTTAAGTGTTGCCTTATTTCTGAAGCCTGTCATTTTTTCTAAAAATGATTTAGGAAGCCTTGATTCCTCTGATGTCTGATGCCGGGTATGCCCCTCAGGGTTTATCGATATTAGTTGTATAAATAGTGAGCAGCCTACTTGATAAAAATGAAGAGGATGGTGAAGAAGATGTTGGAAAAGACCCTAACACAGACACAGAATATGCTGCATCAGTCTGATAAATTCAGGCTATAGGTCTAGTGATTTCAAATGCGTTTTCCTCGTCTTTGTTTGTAAAATAAACAATAAAACCAGAAGATGTTGTACATTTCCACTGTTCCAGTGTAATCCACGATTTATAGGCTTAACACCCGCATCATATGACCGCTTTCATCTGCTGTTACATAACCACCAACACACAGCCAGGAGCCAGTGTGACACAGCTGCCAGAAGATGGCAGCCTCCTCCACATGGTGAAATAAATAAATAAACAAGACAGGCAGTAATATATATTTTGCAATGAGGGCAAGCAGGGAAAAAAAATCCCCGGATTGGACCGTAAACAAGAAGCATGAGAGAGTGTGAGAGACAGATTGAGGTTTGCGTGGATGCTGAAGGTATAAACGCGGAACACGACTCAGTTTCAGGGCGTTGATGTTGGAGACATCATCCTATATGGTGAGTGCATCTCTCCATCCTATTGCTGTGTAATGATGTGATATTAACTTAGCCTACATATACGGTGAACAAACCTTTGGATATGTTTAAAGCAACTCGAAAAACTCCTGCAACGGATTGAAGACCGAGAGCTGGAAGAAATAAAGGAAACTAGAGACCAAATGTGGAGGAAATATTTAAGAAATAACAAAAACAACATGATAGAGCAACTGTCATCAGGATGATATCATGTTATTTATTTATTTTTTAACTAAACACCTTTACATCTTATTGTCCTAGAGGTAAATATCAGAAAGAAAAACTCAGACACAAAAAAGATGAAGGCAGGAAAAATTAGCGCGAGGTGTTTCGAGCGCACGAAGCGTCACACACGGTCACTACGTCACTAGGGCTAAAACACGTATACGTGCACACACACGGTCACTGGGGCACCCTAGCGACAGAACATTTATTTATTTAAAAGATATTTATTGAATCCTCTCTAGTACCTACTTGGTTTGATAATGTAGAAATAATAGTAGAATAAATATAGGCTATGTATGTTATATGTTTTTCATATGAATTAAATTGAAGCACAGGTCTGAGAGAGTTGTGAAAAAGCTACAAAGTGCAAGTACCCAAGCAAAATGATGGTTGGAAAGCTATTTATGAAGGCTGCCTGCATTTATATTTTAGTGAAGTCGTTTGAAACAACAAGACTTACAATGTGCATAAGGTTATACATCATGGTGAGCTAGCCTACTTTCTGCTTTAAAAAAAAACAAAACATATGATGTTCTGTGGCTATGGAGTAAAGATTTTGAGAACCACACACCAGCAGTAGCCTAAATGAATTAAAGGGGCAAAAAAAAAATAGTTTTAAAGGATTGGTAGGCTATCACATTTTTATACCATAGCTTCAAAGACCAACACCACAGAGTCACATCTGTACTATAAATATGAAACTAGCAGCAGAAAGTTAACCATGCACAGCCTGAAGGAAATGGGTATGGCTCTGTAAAATATCTTCCTACCAGCGCTGACACTAGCTAAAAAACATACTACATGTGTAAGTCAGCAAAAAGGTAGCTGTGGCTCTGCAGGTTCTTCAGAGACAGGTTAGCTTTTCATTACACTGATTCCAGTCTTAATGCTAAGCTAAGCTAAGCTAACAGTCTTTGGGCAATGCACACACGTGATGTCACGTGGTGTCAATCCGCTCACTCAACAAGCGAAATGTCAAGCTATCCCCATTGACTCTATAAGTTATTATAAATGATCAGGTGTTAAGGATCAGGGAACACTGGAAGCCTGAAAGGAAAAGTACATTTAACTGAAAACGCTGCTATGGAAAGTAGTTAGCAACAAAAGAAGGCTAAAACATTGGTGTGATTATAATTGTTGGTCTAGTATTGATTTAGGAAGCAATTGTAGCAATTCACTAGAGAAGCATCACAATGTAAAAGCAAACCCAGAACTGTCATACCATATTTAAGTAACATTTACATAGATTTACATCTGGAGTTTCTAATCCCTTCATTTTGTGCTGCACATACTGAGTCATGCTCTGCTCCCAGCGTGTGTGCTTTATGTCACATTCCATGTAGCAGAATTCACGACGCTCATGTGACTGCTTACATGCTGTGTGAACACTGTATCCCACAGCTTTCATGCCCTCAGACCACTCAGGCTGAATGTAGGTTTCATGAAGCGGAAATATATTCATCTCAAACCTAAAGCTGTGCTTTTTTTTGTACAAGCTGGTAGATGAGTGTAACATGTGCAACACTACATATTTGTGATTTGGTTCCCAGCGAGAGGCTTACCCAGAAGGATGCAGGTGTTTACCTTGAGTAGACACAAGGAGCTGTCTCTGATGCCAAAGGGCAAGGGAGGAAATTGAACTTACATGGAAACAAAATGAAAAACATAAAACCACTGACAATACTATTTTGTGTCTCTTCATAATAATTACAGTGACAAGATCTGGCTGGAAGTTAGAGTGACGCCCCTTTCAAAGGTCATGCATTCATTCTTTTGTCAATGTGTACAGGTCCACACTGGTGAACGTGCTGTGAAATGCCATTAGGCAAGAAACTTACAGTAATCCTTAACATCTTTGAAACGCCTTAAAGTGATAGTTAAGGTAACTGGAAGTGGGGTTGTATGAGGTAATCAATCTTATGTACCTCACTACTCCCACTTTATAAAGTAGATAGTTAGCAGTCAGTAAGGCTCCTCCTCAAATTTAAGCAATGACAACACATTTTTACCAAAAGACCCACAATTGATAATTACAACAAAGATACACATTTTATTTATCGTTGAAGGTATGAAAATGTAATCCCTTTTCCTAAAATTGTAGAGCCTGAGCCTTTTTTGTTTTTGCAATGGTAATGTAATTGAACTTAAAGAGGACATATTATCCCCCTTTTCCACCTTTTCAAACAGTCCTCTGTGGTCTAAATGAAACATCTGTGCTGTGCTTTGGTCAAAATATAACATGAATCAAGCACCAGAGGAGGTTTGTGACCCTGTATAAACCAGCTCTCTCAGAACGCTCCGTTTTGGTGTGTGTGTCTCTTTAAATGAAATAAGTCCCCCCTGAGTTTTCCTGGTAGACATCACTCCTCTGTATAGCGAGAAAAGAAAAGGGCGGACCTGTGCAAAAGTTTTGTTCTAGGCTGGGGGTGGAGTCCATGGGTGGAGATACCAGGGGAAGAGAGGTTTTTTTTTTTTTTTTATACCAGAATCCCACTGTGATGTCATAAGGAGAGCAAATTTGAAACGGAGCATTTTTCTCCGTGTTGTAAGACTTATGCAGACCACAAACAAAGGACTGGATGGGTTTAATTTCACATTTTGTGGGTCAGTAGACACTCAGGTTACCCAAATATACCTTCAAAAAACACTGTAGAAGAAGATTTTTCATATTATATGTCCCCTTTAAATGTTAGGCCAGTAACATCTGTCTGTGTAGCCATAACAGGACCTGTATAATAGTCAGGAAGCCAGGAAAGACAGGAGGCTAATTTGACCCAGACAGTAAGTTTTTTTTCAGCCAGCTCCAAATGCTGATTAGAGGCAGGCTCAGAAGGCAATTGTTTGCCAGGAGGCTAGCACTTATGATCCAACACACATTTTTATATTATTAAATGATATAGTCAGAATACTCATCCACTGGGCCTTTCAGGGGCCCAGCCATTTCTGTGGGCGGGCCTGCCTGTGTCCGTCAGGAGGGCAGACCTCTTTACAACCTTTCTCTCAAACTCAAGTAAACCTGATGAATAGAATGAATGAACATGAAGCACATTACTCAGTCGCTAATTCCCAGTGCAGCCTCCAAGTTATTCTATTCTATTCTTCAGCTTAAAATGCTACAATAGTTTGCATGAAGATTAATGCTAAAGTGCTTGACTCCCACTTTTGAACCTCCCTGCTTGTAGAACAAAGTGGAATAATACATTATCAGTGGTGTACAGTGTGTAGTCTGTCTGCATAATCACTGCTAATTATTCTAACCCACAGACTACTGTGACGTAAATTTCAAGTGAGTTATTCAGTTATTCAGCACAGAGCAGTCTGCCATGTCTTAATGTGTAGTCATAGTATGACACAAAGACGACCCTTTCCGCCTGTGATGTAACTGCAATTTCACCAGCATGCCACTTCTCTTTGCATTCAACCCTTTTCTCCTGCTCTGTTTTTGTGAGCTCTCCCTCTCTTTACATTGTGCTTTGCATTAGGTGTACATTATTATGTTCTATTTTTCAAAATGTTTTTATTTTTCTTGACAGCTTCCCGGGGACACAAGAAGGAATGCGCTCTGAATTATGCTTTGTGAGAGAGAAGAGAAAGAAGCACAATAAACCACTCTGAGGAATGTGGAAAGTCTGCACAAAATTAAAACATCATCATCCAAAGTCCAGCCTTCTTAGACTACAGTGGACATTTCAAATCTCCTTTTTTTTTGACCACCCGAGAGAGGCCTGAGGGATTAAATCACATGCTCCATCAAGAGTGATCACAAACCAGACCTGCTGAGACCTCACTCTCCAGTGCTGTCCAGTCCTTGAATGCTTTCTAGGAGCTTCGATCAACTCAAACTTTCCAAAGAAGTTAGCTTATCTCACTCGGAGGAGGCTCTGAAAAACGCCAGGAACAATTCATGTTTTTTCTACTGAGGGTCTGAATAAGAGCCGGAGCCCACTGGAGGGTCTCAGAGACACTTTTTGGGACCCTTGACTTGAAGGAGAAGGTCGCTGCAGTAACAGAAGTGATGGGCAACAAAAATGCCACCCCGCCGAAAGGTCCTGGCACCGGAACTACACAGAAAGACGAAGAAGTGTGCTTAGACAGTGCCACAGGTACAAACTCATGACTGATGTGTGAATTTTATATTTGTTTATCTCTTTGTTTTCGTGGGGGTGTTGGGTTTTCTGCAGTTTTAGCAATTTGGATGTTAATGATGACCCTTTCAAGTATATTACTAATATTACTAAATACATTCAATTATTGAAGATTGATGATAAAATATCTTTAAAAAGCTCTAAGCTGGCTTTTTGTTAATCTTATAGCAAACAGAGAGACACATAAGAAGGACACATTATTCTATAGAGAAATGCTGATGGAGGCCTTTTTTAGAACGGCTCAAAGCTTATCATCCATCTGTGAATCGCCGTTTCCCACAAATTGCTGCAGTGCTCCGGAAAAAACACAGCTTAAGATGATCAGGATGATACTAAGCTGTAAGGAAGTCACAGCCAATACTCCTGGATGTTTGTAATTTACAATACAGCTTGAGCCGGTAGGCTAAGTTACATAAGTGTCGCACCATACAGCTGCGGCTAATCGTGACTAATTGTTGTAGTAATGGCTGCAGGCGTGTGTTGACATGCTGTCACTTTACATAAATACAAATTTAGACTTTTTTGTAGCTCGCGCCAGTTCACTAAAACATCATCAGGTCATCAAGAACCTACATGATGAAAGTATATAGGAGAGCACTTTGGATTATGGTATTTGACATAACCTGCTGAGCTAACAGCATGTGTGTCAGTTAGCGTTAGCATCTAGCACATCTGCAGGGGCTGTCATGACACACATACACACACACACACACACACACACACACACCAGGGTAAATACAAGCAGACTGACAAACTGGCTGCCAGTTTTGTAATCATATTTTTTTTTTAGCTTTTGTTGTGTTTTGTAACATAATAAAAGAAACAGCTTGACATAAAGGTTAATATGTTTAATAGCTTTTATCTTACTGAGATAAAAAGACTGATGCCACTCTCATATCCGCTAAAAAGAAATCCAAAAAGGGGGAAACAGCTAACCTACATCTGTCCAGATGTAGAAAAAGCCACCTCACAGCACTTCTTAAGCTCGCCTGTTATCAATCAACATATCATGTGTTATTAGTTTAATCTCAGCAAAAAATGTAAATGTAAAAATGGCAAAATTATGGTACATTACATTTTTATATGACATATAGATTTTTAATATTTAAAGTCAGGTTTCCAGGGGCTTTAAGGGGTACGTGCTCTCATGTTGGCTATTTTTACGTTATTGGATCTTGTCATCACCATGAGGTTCCCAGCATCGATGGGGAAGATTGAAAAAGTTACTGCGTACGGCCAGAGCAACCCTTGCTAATAACCCCTTTTTATGCTAATGCTAAGCTAGCTGGCTTTTGGTAATATCTTCATACACAGTGATTGGTGTTCACCTTCTCATCTAAGTCTCAGCAAGGAAGAAATAAAGTATATTATCTCAAATGTAGAATCATCAGCCTGTTAAAGGAGCAGCACCTCCAAAAATGAAAAATCGCTCTGTGGCTAGTGTTTGGTTTGTCCCCTCTTGGTTACCGTAGCAGCAACATGGTAGACTGTGGATGAGACGTTCTCTTTGTAGATATAAAACGCTCTTTCTAAGGTAACAATAGGGAAACACATCTTATCTGAGGTACTAAAACAATAATTGAAACATTTTTAAGGATATTTTATTCCATTTCTGCCTACAACTCTTTAAATGGATGACCAACTCTTTCATATTGGACCTCCAAACTGAAGTCAGTGAGCTGTAGCTAGTTTGAGAAAACTGAGCTAATGTTGGCCTACCACACATAAACAGTAGAAGACTCCGGTGATTTTCTATTTCATGTCTTTGATCTAAAGAGGCAGGATCAAAGCTGAGGGCACTTTTAATCCTTCGTTTAGACCAAGCTCTAATAAATCCTGACTTTGTTAATCGACATCATTAAAGTTATTTTGTTAAACTTCCCAAAGGTCCTCAAGAACTTCTAACATTTTACACATTTTGACTTGGCTTGAGTAATACTCCTCATGGAGAGTGAACTGATTTATTAAAATAGTATTTTGCCCCTTCAGGTAACAATGTAAAATGCATTAAGTTTACATTTCTATCACTGATGGATTAAAGAAACTGTGCAGAAACACTGCAGCAAAGATCAGAATCTACTCACACACCCTCCTAGAAGTTATCATATTATTGTTAGTGAACATCTGAAACACAAGGTGTATCTCATTCTAGTGTTTGTCTGTGTTTTGCGTTTCTAGGAAGTGTCTCAGGAGATGGACCGCCGGGCCCCAGCCTGGAACTCCTGGCCTCGCTGCAGTCCCTCAGAGACAACAGTGACTACACACTGCTGCCACACTCCCTGCACCAGGTGTGTGTCTGTCTGTTGTCTGTGTGTGTGTGTGTGTGTGTGTGTGTGGGTGTGTATTTAAATCTTTAATTGAAGGTGGGAGCAGTTTTTCTCCCAAATCAACAGGGATCTTGTGTCTTTCATTAGCGAGACAACATTTTTCTGTGTGGGCGTGTATGCGTCTACATGTGTTTGTGCGTTTCTGTATGCCTGCATCTGCCGTCAGTATGACCTGATAAAAAAAGAAATGTTTTCTCAGTTAGATGAGACAGTTAAAAGAAGCCCTTCGAGCTAGTAAAGCCTCAAAACAGCTCGTTAGAGGCTGCAAAGAAGAGAGCTTGGTTTATAATTTAAAGGCTCAGCTGTCTCTAAATCTCGAACGTTTCTCTGTAGATTCATCTGCTCGAGGAGAAATCACTTAAGCATAGCAACTGGATTTATGCAACAGCTCTACTCTGCAGGTGCAGGGATTTGAACTGGCAACCCTCTGCTCTTTTGTTCGTCTCCTGCCACCTCCCCCGCCTCTGATCACGTGTCCAGAATTCAAACAGACTAATTAGAGGTGTGATAAATATAGTTTGGTCTCTGTGGTTTGTTGAAAGGGATCCCAGCAGTGGTTTCATGTTCCACATGCGACACTTTGCAGACCCGGTTTTTCCAACAACACATACACATTATTTACACATTAAGATTCATTTGTTTCAGCTTTCTCATCGGTTTAGGACGCTTGTAGTTAAACATCAAACAACAACCTACTGCAGTAATCATAGAGCTGTTTTCCTTCAAATAAAATGAGAGGAGAGGCAACGCAGTGCAAATAGTTCCCTGACAGAGCAGTTTCATGACGTGTGACTGTAAGAGTAATCTTTTTACAACATAAATAAACATCAATTAGGAGGGATTTGGTGTGAGGGATGATGTTACCATACAGATAACTATGTCTGGCATGCAGGCTGACTCTGAGCAGAAACATGTTCGTAGTCTTTCATAGAAGGGTCCATATTTGGTTATATCTGCTAGCATCTGCTTTTCTGGTGCACCAAATATTTCATTACCTTAGTTCATTTATTAAATACTGAACAGAGCCCCCTAAAAGAAAGGAAAACAAGACAATTTGATGTATCAAAGCAGCACGTGTGTGTTTCCATGGCTTGAATATATTCAATTTTAGTAGGTTGTTGGGTAACTGCAGCTAAACTATGTTAATGACAAATGCTGATAATAATATGTATGAATGGAAATCTATAGAACCAGGTCATTACATTACTAAGAAATGAATATCTACATATTAAGCAATAAGTTCCTTCTACCATGAATGAAGTCAGTCAGTGAACCTGTAAGGGACACAAATGGGTCAGGGGGTTTCCAAAGTTACCAAACACAGGCACATCACTTATTCAGGGGCTTATTCTTAAAAATCACTAGATTTGATGCACAAAGGCTCGCAACACTATGGCTCCCAAAGATATACTCATTTATTTACTTAATGCATTAAAGAACACAACGTTGGGCCTGACCGCGCTCTTCATCAGGGGCTGTGAGGTTTCTAAAGCCAGGGCTTCGAGGTGACGTTGGTACGTCCTGATAACACTTTTTTTTGCTCCTGATCAAACTGAAAGCTGTCAAACATGGATACTGTCTGTTAGTGCCTGAATCAGTTCATTAATCTAAGATGACAGAAACTGTTGGGGGAGGGGGGGGGGGGGCTTTCTTCGATCACTGGAGGGGGGAACCTTTCACACGTCTGTCCTCAAAGGTTCCTCGTCTGTTAATGCCTTCTGAAGTGAAACGTTTGTTTCAGTCTGCAACTCTGTTCCAACAAGAGGCAGGGTGTATTGCACATAGAGATAAATGAAATGATTAAAGACCCTGCAGACTTCTAAGTAAGTGAATAAATAAACAGTCTGTTTCTCACTGAGCCTGCAGCTAGCAGAGCTTCTGTTTGTTCGGCTCTTTTTAAGCTCATAGTGACAGCAGTGAATTTATAGAAGTGACAAGAAAGAAGTCTATCCACAGTTTGCATCAATCAAAGATTGTGATGATTGTGATGTGTTGAAGACATAGATTCGACTGAGGAGATGCAGTTGTACAGAAGAGAGTTGTGGTCAGTAGTCTGAGCAGAGAAATGAATTAAACCAACCAACCAGAGTCCATGGATTTATAAGTCAATCTAAAAGAGCGAAGTTAACAGTTCAAAAGAGAGCGAACTTAGACTTAGACTTAGACTTAGACTTTCTTTATTGTCATTCAAACTTGTACTTTACAGTGCAGATAAGAACGAAATTTTGTTGCATTTGGCTCGTTGTAGTGCAGGATAAAAACAGCAGCATGTATTTACATATAAAAAATAAAAATAAGGTGCAGATATAAATAGATATAAAAAGAAAAACTATGAGTAAAAATACTGTACAGATAAATATATTGCACGTTATATTGTGTTTTACAGTCCAGTGAGGTAGTCCTGTGTGGGGGTTTGAGGGGGAATGGAGGGATTATTTTTTCCTGTTCAAAAGTCTTATGGCCTGTGGGAAGAAGCTGTTACAGAACCTGGAAGTTCTACTTCGGAGGCTGCGGAACCTCTTTCTAGAGTCCAGCAGCGAAAACAGTCCATGGTGGGGGTGGGAGGTGTCTCTGCTGATTTTCTGAGCCCTGGTCAGACAGCGGATCTTTGCGATCTCCTGGATGGGAGGAAGTGGAGTCTTAATGATCTTTTCCGCCGTCCTCACCACTCTCTGCAGGGACTTCCAGTCGGAGGCACTGCAGGCTCCGGACCAGACAGAGATGCAGTTTGTTATAATGCTCTCTATAGTGCCTCTGTAAAAGGTGGTGAGAATAGGAGGAGGGAGGTGTGCTCTCTTCATCCGACGCAGAAAGTGCATGCGCTGCTGCGCTTTTTTCACAAGAGCGCCGGGGTGAAGGGACCAGGTCAGAGTGTCTGTTATCTGCATCCCCAGGAACTTTGTGCTGCTTACTCTCTCCACTGCTGTGCCGTTGATGAGGAGTGGTGTGTGGCTGGGCTGGCGCCTCCTGAAGTCGACGATGATCTCTTTGGTTTTATCGACGTTCAGGGTCAGGTTGTTGGTTCTGCACCAGTCAACCAGATGTTTCACCTCCTCTCTGTAATCCATGTCGTTGTTGTCACGGATGAGGCCCACTACTGTTGTGTCGTCTGCAAACGTCACGATGTGGTTAGTAGTGGTCCTGGCGCAGCAGTCATGGGTCATCAGGGTGAACAGCAGCGGACTCAGGACGCAGCCCTGAGGGGAGCCGGTGCTCAGGGAGATGACACTGGAGGTGTTGTTGCCCACCCGCACAGACTGGGGTCTGTTTGTGAGGAAGTCAAGCAGCCAGTTACATAGGGGGGTGCTGAAACCAAGGGGGGGCCAGTTTCCTCACCAGATGCTGCGGGATGATTGTATGTGTATTGTGGATGAACAGAACCTCTTGTGGTATCCCTCAAACCACTTAAAAAAGGAAAACTTAAGAGCACAAAACATTGGTATAATTGATCCAGATGCAGGTACTCAGGTGGGTTTGAAATTAAAGGCCTTTAATTCATGGGCTAGAACATAGACTGTAAATATGAATAGACCAAGCCTGAGTGACGTCAGCCATCTGTTACAGCAGAGGGTTCCAGAGGATCATCAGTAGCAGCCGCCATGTTGGAAATGCTGTCTCAGTCTAACTTTCAGTCAACCTAACGACGGGCTGAGAGCTGGAGCTGAGGCGGGTTTTAAGCCTCTTGACGAACCATAACATTGCGCCCACCTGTCAATCGGGTCAGCTACGCGCCTAACTATGGATAACACATATCGTTCATGGAATCAAAATGGAGCCATTAAAAATGGTGTGTGCCAGCGGTGACAATAACTAATCAGTAGTCGTTTTTGTACCAGGCTGTAAACATATTAATTTCAGCCAGCCTCAAGTGGACACTCGACAAACTGCAGGCTTCATTTTTTGCAAGACTGGAGGTTGCCATTTGGGTTAGAAACATTTAAAATACACAACGCGTATCTGCTTGCGCCTCCTTCAGGATGTAGTGACACACTGGTAGTTAGCATTTATTTTGATAAATGACTCTACATGGAAACGCTTATATACTATCTTAGGGATTCATAAAAGAGATCTGAATAAGGCACGTTTGATCTAAATAATCTGAATGAGCAATTCTCCTAACTGGTGACATATTATCGCCCTAATCACGTGAGCATTAAAACCTGGAAATCAGTTTGAATTGATAATAACGTTATGGCTCTAAAACTTCCTGGTATGATTGAATACATCAGAACAGCCGAGGAGCTGAAACCTCCCTGGCTTCAGATTGACTTTGTCATGATCTTAACAGGTTATAGAATAGAAGATAAAAAGTGGATGAGAAGAAAAGAGAGACACGTTAATCCAGACCATAATTAGTTTCATGTGACTTCATGTTTGCTCGGGTGTGTGACTGGCTCTTTCTCTTTTGTCATGTGATCTTCATCTCTCAAGGAATTTGGCGAATTAACAAAAAAAAAAAAATGTCCACGTTTGGTTTAACAGGCAGAGCCAAACTGATTCGATTGATTCAGACAGCATGAAAAATAATGAGAGGTTAACATCACACATCAGGCTACTCTTAGGAAAGCCAATGAGATTGTGAGTGTCCCATCCCATGTTCAACATACAGACTATGAACTCCTGCCCTCTGGTAAGAGGTTCAGAGTTCATCATTGGAGACCGAACCGGTTTAAAAATTCATTCATCCCTGTGTCTGTAAAGCTTTTAAATAGAGGCAAACAGGATAGGGACTATAATCGTTTTTGAACTTGTATTTTAAGAACCTGATGTTATTTTAATTCTTAAACTTTTCTAGACATTATCATATACAATTCTTCAATTGACATAGCAGACCCTTTTATCCAAAATAACGTACATCAGAGAGTCAGTACAACACAAGCAAGGATCTAGAGAGGAGGAAACAACATCAGGAAGTGGAAACAAACTGCTTTAAGTCTGATCCGACACAAAGGTGCTGACAGGATGTGAACATAGGCAGAGCACAGCTGTTCTTTAGAGTTCTAATCAGCATCACAACCATCCTAAATATCATCATAATTAAGCAAAACTATCACCATCATCAATATCATTCAGTACAGAACGTAGGTACTCATAAAGAGCTGAGTCTTTAGCTTTTTCTTAAAGGTGCAGAGGGACTCTGGAGATCCAGTGGAGTTTGGTAGTTCGCTCGAGTCTAGTTAGAGACTTAGGGCCCTGTTGTGAAGGTTACATTAGGTTATTTATTAATGTTCATTGTTTTTATGTTTCATGTAAATGATGTTGATTGTTGTCTTTTGAGTGAAGAGCCCAAGACACATTTCTCACTTTGTAGGACAGATAAAGTTAATCTTGAATCTTGAACACTGAAAAATTCACTTCACATCACACATGATGTAAAATGCTTTATAAACTGCACTGGTATGACTCATGTTTAATTATTATGTTTTGAATCCTTTTTTCTTTCAGATCGCAGAGGCCTACTCGCTCAAAGAGGACTGTATCCTTTCAGCTGCACAGTGACATCATCTTTTCTACTTTCATTCATTGTGACATTTACCAATCACTTGTGTTTTCCATTTGAGCCTGTGGCTTAGCCAGACTGGTGCATATGATGATCAAAAAAAAAAAGAAAAAGTATGATATGCACTCTGCTTCTGTCTCATTTGATTGAGAGGAGGGTTTACTGCTTGTGAGGCTGCACAAGTCCTTCTTTTAGTCTCCTGTTGTGTTCTGATGAAGGACATTACAGGACACTGATCCTGCAGTGACAAACACAAGAATATCCACTTGTTTGTACATGTGAAAAAGCTTTTAAAATATGCAAATCATGAGAGAGGACAAAACACTCTTGTTATTTATCTTTCTTATCTATTCGCCTGTTTCCCATCTTGTTTTTCTCTCTTAGTCACTCGGTATTCCCCATACTTTGGATGAAAGCCCTGAAGTCCTGAAGTAGGAGTTTCCTCTGGCTCTGTTTTTGCCGTTGGCCTGGCAACAGCTGTGAGCCAGTTATGTTGAAATGAGGACAGTGTGTCAGTAGGGGTGAGGAAGAGGGCAAGGAGAAAGAAAGATAACATACATGTTATCATATAAACTGGGAGGATTTGTGATGAAGTTACCCTGATGTTGAGGATATCAGGAAAGGAATACATGTAAACAGGGAAACATTGTTTTAATGACACTGTTACTTTCCAGACAGACAAACTAAATCTCTAAAAGAAGATCAACTCAAAACTCATTTTAACAGCGCACAATACCTGACTGAGAGACACAGCAGTCCCTAATCCAAAAGCCTCTCTCCTACTGAAGCACTGGGCCTTTAAGTCCTGAGGCCAGGTGCAGCTTGTTGAGTAATCAGCAGCTTCACCTGAGCCGGAGACAACAGAAATGGAGACAAACAATACAGTCATAACAGTACACCTCTAATAAGCTAGAAAGACGATATTACCGTCACTTAGAACTGTCAGACATATACATTTCTTCGGCCTCAGCAAATCACGTTTCCTTTGCAGCTCTCAACATACACTTGGCTCCTTTCCAAATATAGATCTACTGCTATGAGGGGTCTTACACATATTACAGCTACACAGACCTAAAAGAAGAATCAACCTAAGATGGTAGAAAGATTTAAATTCCTACATTAACAAAAGTTACCAAGATCCGAATGTATGAAAATTCATACAAATACAGATAGCAGATAAACATCAAATAGGAGGCTTACATCTTGTGACTCATAGAGAATCAACGTGGATCGTTAAGATGTCTATTAATGGAGAGAAATATTGTCAGGATTAAATCCAAACCTTTCTGGTAAATATAATTTAATGTGAAAACTGATTAATGAAATTTGAGCTTTAACTAATCAGAGGTTTTTTAGAATGAAAGTCTAAGTTGGTGTCTTTAACCAGTGATGCTATCAGACCAGTGGGCCATTCAGTTTCTCCAGCTGGAGAAACTCTACCATGAACGTCTGCTGTCCAACCTCGACACCCTGCAGGAGAACTGGGGTACTGCTTGCATCTGTTCCTTTCCTTTATAATATATAACAAGTAGAGACAGACCGATTAATCGGCCGGCCGATAATATCAGCAGATATTTGACTATCGGTATCGGCTATTTAATCTCAGATATCTGCCAATATAAGATTTATTCAACAGTATAAAAGCATAACATTTGAGTTTCATTTTATTCAACTAGCAATTCTCTTTCACCATCAGAGTGTGCTATATGGATTACGAGCATTATCACTCTCTAGAGTTGAGTGACCATCTTGTCATCGTTATACATCTTTTCCACAAGTGTTTGATAACTGCATTTGAGGGATCAACACAATAAATGTGTACACTTATATCTATCCAGCTCTACAATTCGAACATAGAGCTAAGAAAGTTATCGGTCGATATATCGGTATCTGATTTTTTTTCTCCCCAATATTGATATTGGTATCGGTATCGGCCCCAAATATCCCATATCCGTTAGGCCTTGAAAACAAGTTCTACAAATTGCCAAAACATAAATGCATTCATTTTCATAATTGAAAGTAATAGAGGTTAGTTTATTCATATTGTTTGTACCTGTACTCCACGTGTGTTGGCAGAAAGCCAGTTGAGGGAAAAGAAGAACACTGAAAGCAGTTTGCCTGATGAGACGGACTCCATCAGTCAGGAACACATGGAGACTCTCGGCCAGATCTGCAGGACACACCTCAGGTATACCACAACACATCGATCAGCATTATCATGCTGAAGACAGATACATGCTATATGCAACATTTTAAACATAAATATAGCAGATGTCGAATACATCCTAAATAAATATATCCTTAAGAAATGAATCCCTTAAAAAAGTCAAACCCCCTCTTGGTTTGTTATTTTGAGCTTTGTGTTCACACTGATGGGACGATGTTTCCTTCAGCTCGTTTACGTTTAACTCAGAGGCTCAAACATGTTTCCTACATGTTTTTGTCCCATGTGAACACCTTCCTGAGAGACAGTCCAGCCCAATCAGAGACGCTGTTTGTCAGCATAATGGCGGAGTGTCGTCGCACGAGTACAATTGCAGGAGAACCAACAGACCATCTGAACTGAAGATAAAACTTTGGTCTAAACTACTTAAAAGGAATTAGAACCAAAACCTCTTTGGGCTGCACATCAGAATTGAGATCGGTCCCTCAAACGGCTGCACTCGGTCAGAGTGCTAAAGGAGCAGCGGGGGAGGAGGGGAGGTGGTGCCCTGAGGGAGTTTTGTTTGGTGTGAGAGACTGGTGCTAAAGAGCTACATCTACTGCATCTAAAGTCGCTTATTATACCTTTAAGTGCCCACTCTGTTCGAGTGTAACGGACATCAATCTTTGTCTCACATGTGAAAACAGTGTGGAGTCCCAGTCCAAGCTGACTCATTGATAATGCATGAAGGCACACTGAGAATAAAAAGAAAACACACACATGGGACTTGGTTGGAAAAATCAATATCCTAACAGGGAAGAAAAGATTTCCGCAGGATTGTGATTTCCATCAGAGACAGACAAATACCGCAGGTCTGCTTGCCAGATACTGTTGTGCCCCACCCCATCATGTGACTCTTGGTATGTTATTGCAGCCCATAGACATTTATGGTGTATATGATTTGGGGAAATGGATGCCAACTCCAGCTGGAAAGGCCTGAATGATATTTTAGCATTCTTATATGTTTAGTTACACCATGTCTACTCTTTAGTTTTACCTTTCTATGTGTCTCTTTTGTCTCTCATTGACTGTCTTTATCACTCTTTCTCTGTCTTGACTTTCCTTTGCCTCTGTGTTTCAGACCCTCCATCAGTGTGGAACAGGTAAGTCATGTAAATATGATCTTTATATATTTATCTCTGCTCATTTCAAACCAACATAAACATTAACGTTTTGCGCTCCATGTTTTCTTCAACAGAACGAAGAAAAAATAACCTGGACAGACATTCAGAGCAACAATGAGGCTCTACAATCCGGCCATAAAAACGGTAAACATGCATTTCTACCTGTAAAAAAAAACATACACTTTTAAACCTCCACTTTTAAAGACTGTAAAAAAGACTTTAAACATGTAAACACTACATCTACTTCCCTGGAAGTGAGCAGAGAGATGCTAACTGCATGCTAACATGCTAACAATGACAAATTTCACACAACAAGGAAAATATTTATCATGTCAATATATATTTTACTTTAGCATGTTAGCATGCTAATATATGCTAAATAGCCTTTCAAATCATGTGAATGTCAATACTTCATATAACAACTTAAATCAATCAATAAAAAAACATGACTCAATGTTGGTGCTATCTATACAGAGATGCAATATGCCGACTCAGCGGATGCATAAGACCTACGCTTTGTCCACACTGACACATACATACGCATACACACTTTGAGTTGCTTACATAAACATTTCTTACATTTCCATCGCTTTCAATTATTTTGACCTCTTTGTGTTTGCAGGACTATAAAACAAAAGTGACTTACTAAAAAACTTTACCACTTTACCTCTCCTATAGTCGATGGAAAAAAGAAGACGAACAAATGAGAATAGAGTAAACTTTCCACCACCTCCTCTAATCCTCTTTCAAACCTCCCCTAACCTCCTAATCCACTCATGGAGTCATGTTGCTCCACAGGGCCTCTGTATCACTACGCCGTGAGATCAAACACAGCAAGGGAGGAGTAAAAATCAATAACCAATAACCAATGTCATTTGTTGTCCCACATGCCAGTCAACAAGCCGGAAACAACACACCAGGATGAGGAACAAGATCACAGCGCAAAGAGCTCGGATTCAGAACGTGCCTCACCACAGACCGGCCATCAGGAAGAACGTCAGGAGGAGGATGGAGGAGAAGAGAGGTACGAGGAAGGCCACAGAGTAGATGAGGAGACGTGTGAGGAGACGCCAGAGGAGGAGGAGGTGAAGGTGGAGTGGCCGACAGGAGTTCCCCAGGCTTCAGATCAGGACCTGGCCAAGCTGTCCAACACAGAGGGGGTAGGAATGCATATTGTGTCTGCTCATACATCTGACAAATATTACTAGAGAGGGTGAATTATTGTTTTATAGCTACCCCGCATTATTAGACTGTCACAGAACCTGATTTAGTTCGAGATAAATGTATAAAAGCTCCCTGCAGGAAGAATATGAATATATTTCCTGCTCTGTGTCTCGTTGTTCCGTCCTGTATATGTATATCATCTCCTGCATGCATTCCTCCTTCCCTCTCTTCCTTCCCTTCCCTGATCTCCTCTTTTTATGCTGCCTATAATTCTTTCAGCCTGAATACATATGGGCTGCATTGTTTTAGTCCTGTTCAGCTCTTTGTCTTTGCTGGGACACTCCCTAAAATGATCTCTCCCTGGTCTCTTAGTGAGATCATCTCCAACTTCTCCATGTCCCAAAACCTCCACCCATGTCACTGGTGTGGCCTGACACTTGGGATGTTCAGCCTGCCAAATGGGCTAGATTACTGATCCGAGACTGAGAGCCAAGACATCATGACCCGGCTCAGACACTGAGCTGGACGGGCCTGGTGCTTTAGCAGAGTTGCAAATGTAATAAAAGCTATTCCAAACAAGCAGACATCGATGAGGTCAGGATCATAACAGTTATGTAATCCAGCAGAGATTTGACGCAGACGCCTTTATTTTGCAATGCAATACATAAGGGTTTGAGAGTTTTTGACTAAACAAGTTTGTTGCAAGTTTGTTCCCTTTTTTTCAGTCACTGGATAAGAAACATTATCTTTGTCACTACACCTTTAATTCAGATTAAAAAAAAAGAAGAAATACCCAATGGTGGAATACATTTGCAGAATAGCAGAAAGAAAAACATCCTTTTTTAAACAAACTTTTAATATTTTAATATGAAGGAATAACTTACTGAGACTTTTTCATGGACTTGAGTATCCTGGTTTTGATTGGGTTTTTCAAGTATTTTTGTTTGTGCATGTAAACATCATATCATGATTTCAGAGCCCTTATCCTGATTTTTGCTACCTGGAGAACTCTGAAAGAAAACGGGATACTGTGGCATGTGTACGCCTCACCCCGGTTTCTGACAGCTGCTGATTACCTGCGCAGGCACGGCCTCAGCCAAGAGCCAAGTGACGTATCGTCAAAAAAAAAGACATGGAAGCAGCAATGAAAGAATTAAATATATTGGAAATTGAAAGTTTAGAGGGAAGAAAGCTATAAAATGCTGATCTATTAAAGTCTGTGGTGAACAACAGGACACCGTTTTCCCAAATAAGACGTAGTAATGAGAAAGCAGGATACTGGTTATTATCATGTATACAGGGATATGAATTACAAAGGTTTCTTTGTGTGCATTTAAACAACATATCCTGAATATGATCAAACCCAGAGATAAGGCTCATAACTAGGATTCTCAACTCCATATAAACACGGTCATTGTTTTTTAGATCATTTATTTTTTTGAGTAATTTATGAAATTATTTGATGGTGGGAGTTGCAGAGAGCTATAAATTCTGGGAAAGAGAGGGATTGAATTGAACATTGCCCACTGCAGTGAGGACTAACCCTAGATCAGTGATCATCGACTGGTGGCAGCATCGACAGGCTATAGAGGTTAGTCTTGTATTACAGATCCTGTATCTTGAAATCTCCCAGCCAGCTGTTTGCTTTCCAAACTCAACCTCCAGAAAACTGTCGAGCTGCCAGAAACATGTGAAGCCACAATACCTCCCCCTCAGTGGATGCTCACTGCTTATTCACTCCTCTCCTGGCCTAAACAGAGACCTGCTGCAGACACAAGACACCGCTCTATATTAGATCTCTTTATACACCTTGTTATATGTGAGAAGGACATACTGTTTTCTCTCAGATAGCAGGGAATACACTCTTGGAGTACTTGACCATTTGTGGCGTTGAATGTTTCTTAAGGTTCTATTTTCTGTTTTTTAATTTTTGTCTTGGACTGGGAGAAAATCACTTGAACACGCTGAAGAACAGCTTCTGCTTGAAACATCCTTGTGGAAATAAAAAGAAACATCTGCTGGGTTGTCCCTCTCCTCTTTTCTTATTTGACTTATTCAGGCTTCAGCACCCAGTTGTTGAGCTGTTTGCAAGCTAAGCATGATTTTATTAATAATTGTTTGACATTCAGGATCCATGGAGGATTTATTTCTTCTGACGTGACTCCTGACTTTAGTACTACTAGTGCCACAATAAGGTCAACATGTGTTGTTTTTACTACAGTTGACAAATGTACAACAAGAGTTAGCTTGGATTACCGGGATATACAAGAGATTTTTCATGAACTCTTTTTTTTTTTCAAAGTCATAGTGCCATAGTCAGGTCAGTTTTTTCTCTAAAACTTAAGTTTAGGGCCAAATATTGCAAAAGTAGTCACGTCCTCAGGCATTGTTTGTGCTAGTGCTAACAAGCTAGTGCTAACAAGTCTGCTAACATGCTTATCTAAGATAAGTTAGCATGGTTAACATTATACCTGCAGCAACACATGGAGTCATTTTCATTGCGAGCATGTTAGCATGCTGATTTGACCATTGAGCTAAAAGAAGTAGAGTTTGTTTTGGATGCAAATAATAGCAACAATATCATGTAAACACCCTTAACTAAGAAGTGTTAGCATTTAGCTCAGCTACATCTTTAAGGCGCCTCTTTCATGGCTGCAGGCTCTCAGTTTTGATATAATTGACGTCCATTCTGTAATTTGTTTAATAAAATAAATATCGATCAGTCAGTGTATTAGTTTACTTAGCACCTAATAATAACAGAATATATCTAAGGACACTTTACAAAAACAGTAAGTCTGGACTGTACTCTATATAGTAGGGATGCACCAATTGTGAAAACCATGATTGAAATAACAAGACTGCTTCTTTTGGTTCAAGTCTCCCAAAGTGACATTTTCACACATGTTTAGCAGAGTTTGTTCAACAGGTGACTTCTTCTGTTAGCAGTTAGTAGGATTAGATGCCATCATGAATGAATATGAAACAACAGATAAACATCGTCTACTGACATCGGTCCATGCCACATTACCGTAAAACTCCTATTAATTGCCCGGGCTATTGTCCACAGCAAAGATGAGAAAGACTATACAATAAACACCAGAAAGAATATTTAACTAGTCACAAAATGAGGACATAAATCAGTCATTTGTTGTTGTTTCGTAAAGTAGCATGCAAGACTGCTTCATGGCCTGTCCACATATGTTGAAGTTCAGCTTTAATTTTTGTGTCTTGCTGCTTTTTCTCCCCACAAACTATTTCAACACTAAATGCCCCCCAGGTGCCTTTATTTGTCAAAACATGCACCAACACCAGGCTAGGGACTGGGCCTTAAATCAGGAGGAGCTTTGATTTGTTTGAAGTTTTACGGTATTTGCCAATGTTTTGTCCACAAGGTCAATATCAGCCGAAACCGACGTTTCACCGATGCATCGTTGCATCCCTACTTTGAATTATTATTGACAGAGACCCGACATGAATCCACCATGAGCACAGCACAGCCTTTTTAACAGCTGAAAGGGAAACTTCAGAAAGTCAGATACCTTGAGCAGAACCAGACTCATGGTGAACAAACCATCTTCTTTGACTGGAGGGGTAATAGTGATGTAATAGTGATCGTCGCTTAACATACTGTATGTGTAATATTAGCAGCAACAACTTTTAGTTATTATACTTTACTTTAAGTATGACTGGTAAGATTAATTGTAGCAGTAAAAGTTAAACTAGTCTAATATTCGCTCTTAGAGTTTTGATCATCAGATTATAAATTGAAATAAACCTATTTACAGATAAGACTGAAATTGATGAGCATTGCAGGATTGCGCTTCCTATTGACCCACTGAGCACAGTAAATAATTGACCTATAAACTACCGCAGCAGATGAGGCTGACAGATTGAAAATTGTCTCCACTTCAGTAGTCTGCACCGTGCTGTGTGGTTTCTGCTCTGTGGCTTGTTTAGAGATTATAATCAGGTCAAAGGTTCTGGTTGCGGTGGGAGGTATTAAAGTTCTGCTTGGTGTTAATGTCATTGCTGACCTCTGTTGACTGTGCATGGTAACTGATGTTTAAACATTAGACAGAAGTCCCAAATGAGAATATTTTCTGCTTTTTTATCTTCTTTACTAGGGATGCATCGGTGTAACGTCGATATTGGCCGATATTGGCTCTGTTGACAGAAATCAGCAAATAACGTGTCAGTAGCCAATGTGTACTTGTTGTGTCGTATCAATTGAATGCTGGCACCTAGTTGATCTAACGGCTGGTTCAGAGAAGAGGTTTATTTAAAGGGAACAAACTCTGACTTGTTTTCATGCTCAAACATGACAGAAAATTAGCATTATGGGTTTCTTACATTAAAAGAATTCATGAAACACACATTGGTAATCTTTATTTTAACATCGGTATTGGCTCTAGGCTGCACGGGGGTGCAGTGTTTATGGCTTTTCCTCACAGTGAGAAGGGTCCTGGTTCTAATCCCTGTTGGACAGGAGCCTTTCTGTGTGGAGTTTGCATGCTCTCCCCGGTGCATGCATGGGTTGTCTCTGGGATTCCAAATTTCCCTCTGGGATTAATCAAGTATTTCTGATTCTCCCACAGTCCAAAGACATGCTCGTTAGGTTAATTGGTGACTCTAAATAAGCTGTAGGTATGAATGTGAGTGTGGCTGGTTGTCAGCCCTGTGATTGATTGGCGTCGTGTCGCATCTCACATTGGCTCCAGCCCCCGAGACTCTGAACGGGAAAAAGCGGTATAGGTAATGGATGGATGGATGGTATCTGTCCTGATTTTCCCAATCGGTGGATCTCTACCTTTTACTAATTATCAAGTGTTGTAGTTTGTTTAAGACAGGCTTCAGGTCATGTTGATGTTAGACTGCACGGCTACACAGACTGTTTCTGGAGCTCACCCATTGGTTACCCATGATGACAACTGGCCAAAGTAATGCTCTGATATGTTTACATTGACGGTCTTGAAGGTGTTTTATTAAATAGAGTAAAGACAGAGACTGCTGATGATGATAATGATAATGTGGAATATTTTAGGTCACAAAACATGAAACAGATAAACGTCAATTTATGATTTTAATAAAACAAAAAACTTGGCAATCTTTATACTTTTTTGTTTTATTACTTTGGGCAAGAATAATATCATCTGCATGACTGCATGTCACCCCCTCTCTGTCCTCCCAATATTTCCTTCCTCTCTGGCTGTCCTATCCAATAAAGGCAAAAAGGCCTGAAAAATGAATATCTTTTAAACAGCGGTACCTTCTTTAGTAAATCTGTCTCTGTTTATATGTATTTGATTGTTTATATGTATTGCCTGTTGGAGCCAATTCAGTGAGTTCACTACTTTACGTACCAATGGCAGGGATGTATTTTGTGTACACTCTGTCCTGATCATGTTCTGGGTTAAGTGACCCTAAAAACAGGATTATAAGAAGAATAAGAGGAAAACATTAGCTGCCATTTCTCTTGTTTCTGTGTGTTTGTCCCTCAGAGTTCGGCTGCAGATGGTCTGGTGTCCATTCTGAAGAGGAGGAGAGCATCTCTGGATGGACTTCCTCCCCCCAGTGACATCATCACTAAACAGAACTCCAAACGTAAAGTTCGCTTCAGTGAGCCAGAGGACGGCATTGAGCAAGGTACAGTTACACATCATGATTACATTTCTATTAAAATGTACAGACATCACATATGTTATATTGCTTTTTATATTTTTACCTGATTCTATTTAAGTTCCCTGTCAGCAGGAGCACTGCTGATTATTAGCTTCTTACTTTACTTTTTGCTATATTTCCTTGCTAATTGACCCTTTGTCAAGCCCCGCCCTCCTTAGCTACTGTTGCTAGGTCAGACATAATCGCTTGTCGTCAGAAACAATTCAAAATGCCCCAAGATTTTTATGAATATTTAATTGATTGGATTCTTCTCAAACCTTGGCTTCAGTGAAATATTAAGGACAGAGATACAGTAGGCTGTATGAGGATAACTCAAAGTCTCTAAAGACTGGTTAATATAATTTCCAATATGACTGACGTCTGATGCTAGTGAAGTTGGCTAACATTAGCTGTTCTCATGTGGCTGCTAACCATCTCGCCTCTACTGACCTACCTCTGGACTCCAATGACTCAAACACCATTTCTGGAGCAGGGGGATCGATACACGATGTGTATATCTAACACAGCAAGCAGCTCTTAACCATGTAGTGAATTAGGGTCATTATTAACTGCGACGCACTGAAGAGGCTCGGCCCAGGCAAAAGTTTGAATAACCGGAAGTAGCCCAACAACCGTTGCTATGAGAGGGAGCTCTCTAATTGGTGGACAGCAGACCAATCAGAGCACCAACAAATCCTTGTATGTGTAAATGCATTTATCAATAAAAACTGATTCTGATTCTGAAATGTATGTGGTAGGATCGATCCACAGCAGCTACACTGGTGGTCAATTCTGCAACAGATAATTGTCACAACATTTTGACAAACCAAAACAAAGCATGTAACATTTGTCCATTTCTTGCTTGTAGATGAGGTAGGAGGAGATTCCTGCCTGATCCTGCTGCTTCTGTGTCTGGTTACCGTGGTGATCAGTATAGGCGGGACAGCCCTGTACTGCACCCTGGTGGACACTTACTCCAACATCTGCACCGACTTTGCTCAAAACGTGGACTTCTACCTCTTGAACATACGGAAGTTCTTCGCAGGTCTGGGACACTGGCTTCCTCTCCGGACTTAGAACTTTTTGATCTGCTCTCCAGACTCCTGCGCTGTGATTTGACAGTTTAGGACAGAGAGGAGGGGGATCTCTGAGCACGGCACTAAAATGCCAGTTGAGTTTGAGTTCACTGTGACTGCAAACGTTCGTACAGGCATTCATTTGGTGCTGCCATTCTGCGTGTTCAAAGCTATGATTTGATCGACAATGACTTGTGGGGTCTTTTAAAGACTAATGCACCTGAGCTATGAGTTTCAGATTTATGTTTAACTTATGGATGCTCAAAGCAACGCCAAATAGTAAAAACTGTCAGATTTCACAAGCCTGCATGTTGTGAGGTGAGAATTTGAAGAACCTCTTGTTTACTACTGTCTGTGTCGATTTTCCATCTTCAGCTGAACCTTGCAGACACCACACAGGAGGGCTAACAACACATGTGGTTTGAACAGGAGTACGAGGTTATCTGTGTTCTAGTGATTCACCCAGATTTGTAGCAATCTTAGTTGTGTATACGTTTGTATTTTGTTCCAAAAGGCTTGTTGATCTTGTCGTTTTTATATTTACAGAGATGAGCTCTCGCTGAACTTTAAAAATGTTATTGACCCAAATTAAGATTTTCTTTCCTTTTAAATCCATGTCACCATTAGCTTTTTCTCTGTTGGCCCATCTCTGTTCAATAAATCAACTACAGGGCTGTACCTTCATCAGACACATTACACAGCATGACTCTAAAGATTTATATTGTTTTGAAAATCACTGCTCACAGATGAGCCTTCATGATCATCTTGTTTACCTCAGTATAAGTGGTTACTCATTCCTCTGATCTTCTAAATATGAGCGACATGAGATAAGAGGTACTGTACCTCACAGCATCAATGAGAAAAAGGTGTCATTGATGCTGCTATGTACATAGATACAAGGACAGTGTGGCTCTTGGTATTGAAATACAAGTGAAACACTTATTAGCACAAAATATATTTCAGAGTTGTATGATCAACAGTATCAAAAATATTTCAGGACAGCACACCAAAAAACTAAATTTTTATTGCCGCAGACGCTGCTGTACTGAAGCAGCCTGGCCTTTAATCAGTCTTAATATATGTCAGCTGTGAGTGACCCCCGTTGGTTTACCTGAAGCCACTGAAGAAGGGCCTTCGCCTGAAAACGTCTGTGGCAATAAAAAGAAGTGGAAGTTTAAGATTTTGCTGTGATGTCCTGAAATATTTCAAACACATTTTTTTGGTTGAGGATTCAGCGCCCACATAAGTTACTGATGGTGAGTGCGTTTTTGTTTTCTTATTTACTTTATGATCAACAGTATGCCACACTGTACTTCAGCTCCACACACTCAGGCTCTGACCCTTTGTTTTTATTCTGGGTGCTCAATGCTGTCTACATCTGGATTATGATCAGACCTACCATTTCCCTTTGACGTTGTACAAACACCTACATCCTGATGTTTAAACCCAATGCAGAGAGAAGTTACAGAATGGATTATTTATGACAGCAGGTGAAGAATATCAGAATAAATAAAATTGAAGATCAACTATTTTAATGCTACAACATTTTTTTTAAATATCTATATATATTCATGATAACCCTTAAGCACTTACTGATCAACAGAGCCCTGTTTCCACCAAGCGGTCCACTTCAGTTAAGTCGGGTGCAGTACTCATGTATTTGCATTTCCACTGTCAAAAGTTGGGAATCATACCAAATAACTTGTCTGTAGCGTTTTTGCTACCCTTCTGTTGGAGTGCCAAGCGTACTGAGCCGACCCTAAAGGTTGCCTGCTATGATGTCACCCTAATCTGTAGCTGATGTGGCAATCCCCAATCTGGCTTACATCCCACCTACCACTTAAGGATACAGGAATGGTTAAGGGTATGGTTTGATCTTGTAATCAAGATCAGGTTTTATCGTACCAATCCGTACTGAACCATAGAGGACTGCTTGGTTGAAACGAGGTTTAGTTTACATGTAAAGTTGTGACGCTTCTTTTATCTCCATTGGGGGAGAGAAATATACAATGTTTTGTGTTCAGAGGTTATGCTGTGTTTGTATGATTTTGTCCAATAGCAGAGCGTTATGGAACAACAGTTGTGTTTCCTGGCTGGGACAAGTAACACAACATAACATACTTAATGAAACAGAGATGAGTTCAGCATGTTCCTTTTCCCCCCATTGCCTTGTATCGATGCTTTTACAGATTTTAGAAGATGTGTATTTCTCCTTCGGAACTTCTCATGTTTGAAAATTGATGAATGTTACTCCTGTCTTTCCACGGTGGATATTACATCATGCAATCCACCTTTTTATGTTTTAATATTTATGTTCAGCTGTGTCCACAAGAGAATACCAAAACATAAAGGAAAACCTGCTGCCCTGTCTGTTTTTGTCAAGGCTCCTCATTAATCTGTTGCTTTGGGGATAAACTGAATCTTTTGCCTCTCAATAATATCTTTAATCATTACATGTACATTCATGCTTTTAATTTGTTGCTTTTAGACTGGTCATAAATGCTCCAAGTGTAATATCTGAACTTCCAATCAGATGTCAGAGACAGCCAATGAATCCCCAACTGTTGTATCCACAAAACTCATCTTTATAATCCTGCAAAACTGCGTCTTCAATTAAATATGGGGGATAATTCTCTTCTACTTTAGCATGGTCTGACCCACTCTTTTTAATCTGATACATCATATTTCACCTTCACAGAACATAAATTGACGTAGATATGTTTGCCTGTTCTTTGGCTGCCCTTCCTTGAATTCTTACCTGTCTAAAGTCGAATGCAAGCACATGTTGCAGTCTGCTGCGCTAAACATAGATTTAATTTTTTAATTACACTAGACGGGATTGGGATTTTATGAAAATGTCAGAGGGGCACTGGTGGCCTATTGGTTAGTTTGCTTGCCCCATGTACAGAGGCTACAGTCCTCAAAGCAGGAAGCAGAATCCAACCTGTGACTCCTTTGCTGCATTTCATTCCCCACTCTCTCACTCCCTGATTTCTGACTCTGTCCACTCTCCTGTTGCCTGTGTCTGAGAGAGGCAGATACTGCATTTTGTCACAGGGCAGATCAGAGGTTTGCCACTTTTATAGGTGAGTAGCGTGTTTTTTAAAAGTGCAGATCTTACACTTCGTCACTGGGTGGAGCCAGAGCTCTGTTTTTCAGTGGACAGAGGATTCATGGAGGGGTATGGTTAAAGACTTGTGATCTGAAGAAGGTGACTGGCACGTTATTGGAGGAGGTTGTGCTTACACTTCACAGGGCAACTGCTAGAGATTTGTGAAAGGGGCAAGGACATTTCATGAGATTTCTTAAGGGGTGTGAATAAGGGTTTGTGTTATGAAAGGCGTGTGATAAGAGGCTTGGGAATTCTTGAGGGGCTTGGTAAAAGGTATGTGATTGGTTGAAAGGGCGGGCCAGACGCTTGTGAAAGAGGCAGAGGTGTATGCATGAGATTGGGGAGTGGTCGATATTTGATTTAAAGATGTGGAAAAGAAGAGGCTTTACACTTTGTGAAAAGGTGATGGCCAGTGTTTTGTGAAGTGGCAGGGACATATGAATGAGATTACTGAAAGAGCATTGTCACAAATATGTTATATCAAGACGGAGCGTGGCTTGAGAGTCATGAATGAGAATGAAGGTTATGAATGAATTTTTTTATATTAACCATTGTATTATGTTACAGATTGGGGTTTGGTTTTCGATGAACAGAAGGTGCAGGTTCAGATTTTTTGTTTGCTCTGGAAGGGTGCAGCATTTGTAAAGAAGAGGTGGGGCTCCCAATTTCATACATGGTGGTGGCCACTGATTTGTCTAAGGTCTATTGGTCAGGTAACCTTAAACAAACTAATTTTACTTGGGTAAACTGTGCTGTCTTTCTACAAAGGTATAAAAAATATCAACAATAAACCCAAAAATAAAAAAACAAGCAATGACTAGAATCTACAAGGCTAAATAAGAAAATAGTGCAGAGGTTAGTAGTGCAAAATATGATGTAAACATGAGGTAGTTATTACAGTATTTACATTTAAAAGTGTGCGTAACAATAATTTAAATTGAACAATATATGTACATTCAAAGTGACAGTTTTGTTCCAGGGTTACTGCACAGCGACAGGTCTGACACTCTGTGACTGTTTAGTCTTACCACTGTCTTACAGTGGTAGAGGTGAGTATTGTTACAACTTCTGAAAGAGCAGAGCGCAGCATTTTCCCTTAACAAACAAGATATTGGTCTACACATTTTCATCGTCCTGCCTTGGGCAGCCCTGTGGGTGTTCCAGGCACATCTCTGAGGTACCAATGCACATATTGTGTAGAAAACAGGCTGCCATTACTATCATCACCATAGCATCAATCCGGGTGTTCTGCAGATCGCGAAGACGCCTCCACTTGCACTTCATCCTGCCGAAAGCATTTTCAACAACCACCCTCCCACGGCTGATGTTGGCGTTCTGCTGCTGGTCGACTTCCGTTAGAGCCCCATTGTCAGGTTTTGGAGTGATGAGAAACGGGAACGCCTCTCCTATGTATGCACTGTCTCCCAGCAAGCTGTACTCGCCTATCTTCTCCTGCCATGTTGAGTAGAAGTTGGAGGACCTTAACATCCTGGCGTCATGAACCCTGCCTGGTGGTCCTGCAAAAATGTCAAGGAATCGCCCCCTCTCGTCTACAATCCCCTGAAGGAGAATGGAGTAAAATGATTTGCTGTTCATGTAGTCTCCTCCTCTTACGGGTGGCCTCTGCACCCTGATGTGGCACCCATCAATTGCACCGATGACACCACTGAGGCCACAGAGGTGTTGGAAAGCATCAGCGGATGTTGCTTTTTCACAACTATTTGGCCAGGAGATGAAGTGCTGTCCCATTGGACACATGATATTGAGCACCTCTAAGATGACTCTGTGTGCTGATGACTGTGAGACATCAAACTTGTCCGACATCTCCCTAAAGCTGTTTTGGTTGGCCATGTACCACAGGAACATTAACACCTTCTTTGTCACAGGGACTGGTGGTAGACCTTTACTGTGTTCCTTTGTTATGCCATTCTCCTGCAACTTCATCAGGAGATAGTCAAACTGTGGCTTGGTGACTCGGAAATGGTGAGCAAAAGTGAGGTCATCCATGTCCAGCATGACCTCCCACTCAGGTCCAGTCTTCATGATGACTTGTTGTGTAGACAGTAGCAAGGTGGATATCCTAAAAGAAAGACAGACAATGTGTATTTAAGGAAAGATTATCTCACATTTAAATTAAATTCGATTCATGTAATCATGGTGCGTTCCAGTTGATCTCGTAAGTGGGAGAGTCCCAGTTCCCAGTCGGACTTGTCAACTGGAACGCCTCCTGAAGTCGTAATTACGACTCGGAAACTCGGGAGAAAAAAAAGTAGTAGTAGTAAAGTTCTTAGTCTTTTCACATGTTTTTAAAAAAAATTCTTGCAACATATTTAATTACTTTACAGAGACTTTAAGACAAAAAGTTTGCAACAAAAGACAAAGTTCATATCTTATCTGAAATCTTAGGCATGTGTATTGTATATGTGCTTACCTGAAACATATAACATAAAGCAGACTATTATTATACAGTATATTGTAAAATAAATACGTGTGTTTAAGGTTAACTATTCTGAAGAGCCTTTGTTGAACTTCACTGTTTACTGAATGACCGATTATAAAGCAGTCAAAACGTTTTTCACACAAATAAAAACGCTGAAAAACAAACATACCTTCTGCGCCTCCTTTCTTCCTCTGCGGTGTTTCTGAGGTGGGCCTCATATTTGTTCAGTAGCTGTTTGTATTCCGAAAGAGCGAGCAAAATAAAGGTTTTCTTGGACGCGTCCATCTTGATTTCCGACTCGGGTGTGACGTCATTCCCAGTTCCGACTTCCGAGGTAAATGAACGCAGCATACCCTAAACCCTAAACCCCTAATACTAATGTGTCTTTGTTCCTGTTTTTTATTGAAGTAGTTTTTTCTGATTTCAACAAATTGTTACATCTCCTCCTGAACTCCCATGTTTGCATGAATATGAAAGTGTTTATGTTCACAAGGATTTCAAGGGGAAACACAAGTTACACATGTGCTCTTTTCCTTTCTCCCATGGCTTCTATTATGAACCATTGTTTTAGAGGGTGAAAAGAGTTTCGTTCCTCTTCAAAAAATGTGATTAATGCACACATCATGAATTTAATTATACACCACTAGATGGCAATGCAGCATCACAGAACAACCCACCATTTAGCTTCAGTGTTTATCCTCATCCTGCAGCAGTGCACATTCAAGCAAACTGTGTGACATACATGTGTATATCATCACTCAAAGGTCTATTTTACATTCAGTAATTTCAGGCTGATTGTAGACCATATGGTTCCTCTTGTAATGAGTGCCCTGGGTGTTGTATTTGTTTGCTGATATCTCACTATAATCTACTGTAGGCCTACATGGTGGAAAAATATATCCTAACATTTCCTTTTAATTTAACTAATAAATAAGGTATAAATATGACACACGAAAGTGTAACTCATTGTTTTATTACGGCTGTACTGCGGTCGTAGGCTAAGTTGCTCAGCCAATCAGCAGACAGATCCCCGGAACTCACGTTACCGGGCGGGACCTCGAAGTGAAACGTAAACAATGGCGACTGTAACCTCCAGCAGACCGTACCATGTTATCATTTTTGGTGCCTCGGGGTTCAGCGGGCAGTTTGTCGTGGAGGAGGTGGCCCGATATGCCGCAGAGACCCCCGGCGGTGGTCGTGTTAAATGGGCTGTGGCCGGGAGAAGCAGACAGCGGCTGGAGGACGTGTTGAAGCGAGCCGCGGGGAGGCTGTGTACGTGCTGCAGCTCTGACACGCTGTTCACTACATAACACAGACACCAGTGTTTAGACAGGCTCATAACGATTACATGTCAATGCCGCAGGATACTTTACACACTTGACCGACACCAGAAACAGTCTGAGCTGGTGTTGTTTTGATGTGTTTGTGGTTTGAAGACAGCCTAAGTTAAAGTCGCTTGATGTAGAATGATGTTACGTTTGACCAACAAGCATAAACCATTTACAATGCAACATGCAGACATTTCTTATGAAGCTATAGCCACTGTTACTTAAAGGCTGGTTGGAAGTTTGCAAGGACACTAAGAACATTAGCACTCACACTCAGCTTATACAGGCCCACAGAAATTAAAGATATTAAAGTTATATTTTATTCTCCTCTATATTATCTGTTAAGTTATTATGAATGAATGAAACCTTTATTGTCCCTAGGGCAATTTGCCCAAGTACCCAGAGCAAAAAAACACAATATAAGTGTCAAAGGACGTCCACAGGACAAGACATAAAAACAAAACCCTTAAATATAATAATACTTTTAGACTTATATGGCCTATTTACATAACTAATGCAAGCCCTCTGATGCTAGGAATTTAAATGTGTTTACATTCTCTTCTCTAGTCGTACCAGAGATGTAGTTTGTTGTGTAAATAAAAGCAATGTTGCATGTAACATCTTTCAAACTAATTGATTCTCCTCATGCAAATTATTGGCCTATATATTGTACAATATGCTTTTTTTCCTGAACTTAAATAAGGTGCTGGGGTTATGTGTGTTGTTTGAATAAACTTCTCTTTGTCTCTCTTTTGTCAGCCATGCCTGAGCTGAGGACAGACATTGAAATCATTGTTGCTGATGTGTCTATTGAGGAGTCCCTCGCACTCATGTGCCAACAAGGCCTGGTGATTCTTAACTGTGTGGGACCTGTAAGTATGCTATCTGGACTTTTTCAGGGGGTGAATGAAGCAAAGACAAATATCCTGATGAAGGTTTTTTGTTAGCATCTACATGAACATTTTACACTTTTCATTAAAAACCAATCAATTTTCAACAGCTTTCAGTGTTTGTGAAGTGGATTACTTATTCCTTGACAGCAGGTGAAAATGTCTCTTCTTCAAAGTACAATGTGAACAAAAGAACAAGAACAAACTAATCCCCTCCCCCACCCTCAACCAAGCACTGTAAATATTACCCCTCAACCCTGCCAAGGTGTGCCATCTGACATTTCATGTGCAAAGTTTAATTGATGATTTTAGCTCTGCCATAAAGGAGCTCAAAGGGTGCCAAATCATCTCAAATATCTCAATTTTGTTCTGAATGAAGTGTTTCTATCACATCTGCACAGTAGAGTAAAAGGCTCTTCTTTCTTCTTCCAAAATAGGAGAATGAGTTTCTTTGTAGTGTGATGTCCATAAGATAGAAGGCATTGTTGAGCGACATTGCAAACTTTCAGCCCTTCTGATACTCCGATGATAATTAATACTGGATTGTGTTTAATCTCAAACCCCAGAATCTTTAATTTTTTTAAATATTCCCTGACAAATGTTTTAAGCAGACTGAAACACTCTAAAATAAACAGTGTAATCCTGTGTTGAACGATCCTCTTTGTGGCATCTTTGTCTTTTCAGTACAGATTTTACGGTGAACCAGTGGTCAAAGCTTGCATAGCAAATGGAGCTCACTACATTGATATCTGTGGGGAGCCACAGGTAGGAAAAACAAAATAAATTTCCCCTTTCTGAAGGTGTGGATTTATTTTTGATTGTATTGTATTTCTGAATTGCACTGAGAAGCATTGAGAAGATGAAGCCTTGTCACTGTGCCTCATAGTGTGTGCAATATGCTTTTTGTGCTGTTTCATGATTTCTTTCCTCTCCAGTTCCTCGAGCGTATGCAGCTAGAGTACCACACCAAGGCTTTGGACAAAGGAGTTTATGTCATTGGCAGCTGTGGCTTTGACTCCATACCAGCAGACCTGGGGATCCTGTATACACAGAGGCAGTTTAAAGGTAGAAAGCAAACACAACATTTGGGTTAGATATAGTCAGCCTAAACTCTGAAACTGGTTTACTTAAAAATGTATGAAGTTAATTATTCTTATGTTGTCTGAACCCTCAACACATCAAACAATAGACTTCACAGTTCAGAAAAACACAGGGCTGTGGTAGTTTTCTTTTTTCTTTAATAACTACGCAATGGATCTGGCATACAAAACTCTCTTTTTTTCTATTATTTATTGTAAAAATTATAAACATTTCATGATAAATAGATTCATGTAATGATAAACACACAATTAATCATAATACACTGACACTTCAAAGAATGTTTGCTTTTTGGTAGATTAAATACGGATCAGTCTGGATTGACAAAATCTGTTAAATTTTTAGATTTTGAATTCTTTGATGTCTCAAATGTTCTCTGATTTCAGGAACACTGACAGCTGTGGAGAGCTTCCTGCAAATCACCAGTGGGCCTGAGGTAGCTTGGACAACTACAGCTTCTGCACTGCATTGTGGGACTCTATCTTTCCTCTCATTTGTAAACTTGAGCTGTTACTTTAAAGGCCCGGTAAAGGACGTAACTTTTACTACAGGTATAGGAGAAAAACATATAAATTAAACAAACAAAACAAACAGAGAGCAGAATGGAGCGATTTCCAAATTTCTGTTGGTATGAAATATGTTTCAACCTTTTGGCTTCTTCTCTGCAAGCAAATCATCCCCTGGTGTCTAAGTTCATTCAAATTTTCAAATCAAAAGAAAAGAAACATTGGTGTTCATTCAGTGGGAAACTAATGGACCATATAATCTTATAATAGTGGTTTCCTGCACTGTGACAGAATTAACAGTTTGTCTTAATCCTGGCAGGGGTCGTCAGGCCATGATGCCACTTGGCAGTCTGCCGTGTACGGTTTTGCAGACAGCAAATCCTTGAGCCAGCTGAGGAAAAAGTTTGGCCACAGGCCGCTGCCTGTGGTGGGTGCCAAAGTCAAACAGAGGTAAGGCCATAACTGACCAATTACTGTCTGGCTAACACACTTGACTTTGAGTTATAACATTTTTATTGGAGTAATTCCTGAAGAGAGGGGATCAGTGTGTTTCTTCAGTGAACAACAGGAGGACTATATTACTGAAACCCATGAGTCTTTTACCCTTGACCTGAATTTTAATAGGTTGATTGTAAAGTTAAAGAAATGATCAAGCAGCAACCTCTGGTGTTGCAAAATGATGCTGATGTAGAAGTCCTGAAGCAGTTGTCATATTAAAGCCCAGCGCTCACGTTGTTTGAATACTAAGCAGAAACCTCCAGTGCTGAAAAATGAAACTGATTCAGAAGTGCAAAATCCTGCAGTTCTTTGAGTGTCCACTAGAGGCTGGCTGCAGAAGCACCAGAAGTCACATACACACCCCATTCAAAAAGTGTGTTTTTTTTACAGCAGATATTAACATGTTTACAGCCTGGTACAAAACACAAAATAGGTCTGATTAGCTCATGTCTCGATCGGCACACACTGTATGATGAAGGATAAACATTATTCCTAATAAGACCATCTGAACTGATGGACCGGCAGGCTAGTGTAACAGTTTATCAAGAGGCTTTAAACCTGCTCAGCTCGAGCTCTCAGCCTGTTGTTAGGTTGTCTGAAAGTGAGACAGCATTTCCAGCATGGTGCCCACCATTGATGGGACTACAAAACCCCCTGCAGTAACAGATGAGTGACATCACTCAGGGATTCCTCCAATATATTTTTACAGTCCAAAGGTGGGATATGATTTATATAAATTATTTTTGGCCTTTTGATCATGGGCAAAAAATGTTTTTCATATTGAAATGTAATGTATTTCTTGATTTTAACGACAGGTGTAACCTTAAGGTCATGATAAAAACATATTATATAAGTGAAACGCGAGGACAACTTAAAGTTACTATTTAAAAATGTACAAAGCTAGCTGCAGATTTTGCTGTCTGGCTCACAGACTTACATTTGTTGATTAAGAATGAGATTTAGATTGTACATGTTTACTGGTCTTTGCTGGGGTGTAAAGCAGATGAATATACATTGATGCTGCAAGCGTGTGTGTGTGTGTGTGTGTGTGTGTGTGTGTGTGTGTGTGTGTGTGTCCAGGGGTTTTCTCTTTTTCAGCAAGGAGATTGAGCAGTACACCATCCCATTTATGGGTTCTGACCGCTCTGTCGTCAGGAGAAGCCAGCATTACCTGTACGAGGAGGAACAACAGTCACCAGTAAGATATGATCAACACTTGTGTTTGCTATTGTAGAATTTTCTCTTAAGAAAAAGTTCAATTCTTATTCGAGGCCCAAAGTTGTATTGAATGTATTTGCTCTCTCTTATAACAGTTTAAAAGCTTTTCTCCTTTATTAATGTAAAACAAAAAAAAGGAGTGGAGCATTGCTGAACTTGTTGGCCACCACCTGTGTTTTTCAGTAAACAGCTTGAAATTAAGGGATGTCCTGGAGCTTGCATGCACAATACACATCAACTCCCTCTGAACATTGTTCCCTTGGTTGCCATGGTTATGGCTGCTTCGGCTGTATTTGCTCTTAACATGTATGAACAGTGGATTATGGTAAGAAATGTGTGCGAACGTTACATGTGTATTGCTGTGTGAATGAGTTTGCAGACACGTCTCTCTTCTTCTGGTGATGTTCAACTAAATTGGAGACGGGGCCTTCAGTGTCACAGCTCCCACCCTCTTGAACACCCTCCCCTCAGGCATCTTTGGACTCATTCAAAAAAACTTCTTAAACACCATCTGTCTTCCACATCCTACAACCTCCCTTAACTCTGCCTCTCCATCGCCATGTAGAGCGTCCTGAAGTCTCTGGAAGGCGCTATATAACTTAAATCTCTCATTATTAAAACATTTTACACTTAACATTACACAGTAGTTTTAACATCTTAATGTCACGTTGTGTATCTTCTTCATGTGCACAAACTCAACAGCAGTCTATGTTATTTAAGTCCCTTAAGGTCAGCGCCCTCTTCAGCCTGAACAAGAGAAGTCAGCGAGTTACATCTGCTTTGATTTTCATAAAGATAGAAGCACCCTTTCTCCTCTAACAGCTTAGCCTGTTTTCTAACCCTGAGGCATCACCGAACTATACTTGGCTCCATGATTTGCTGTGGCTAAGATCGTATCTCATTGTTTGTGGCTTTAGAGAAAAAACCATCTGCCAAATAAATTGATGTAAATTCCCATGAAATCGATCATTTGGCATGCCTTGTTCGAGGCACTAAATAACAGGGCATGCTTCGAAACGTTTTGCTCTGCCCGAGTATGCACCACCTAATACTTCTGTGTCATCTGTGTCCCTCAGAAACAACGTTTGATGTGCTGCAGTGAACGACACAAACAGCCGTCGCACTCTTTCTCATTTTGATTGCTTGTTTGCCTCCCTGCTTTAAAAACCTATTTCCCCTGCTGTACCTGTAACTAGGTCAGCGTTTCCTGCAGCTGCCACTGTTTTGATCCCAGCCAGAGACACGGCCTTAATGAAACCACCTCATTACGGTGTTTAGACCGCCATCTACCTGCAAAGTGAAAATATGATGAGTCATCAGTAGTGATTCATCACTTTCTTCCCTGCGGCTCATTACTCCCTTTGACATCTCATCTCATCTCACCCCCCCCCCGTTCCCTTTCTTCCTATATCTTTAACTGATACATTTCTTCTAGCCCTTGTGCTTTTCCTCTATCTTTAACATCCACAGTCTACCTCCACCTAACCCCGTCTCTTTTCCTTAATTCTCCTTATCCCTCCCTTTGCTCATATCACTTTCATCTCTTATTCCTTCTTTCATGTCCCTCCCTCCTCCCTCTCCTCCTTCATCTCTCATCCCCCCCTCCGTTGCACCTGTTATCTGCATCCCCTTCTTTCCTTCTCTGTCACTTTTAATTTTCCTTTTTTATCTCACACAGTGTGCCTTTCTTACTTTCTACCCGCAGGTCCAGTACAGTCCCTACGTGGGGATTGGTGGCCTCTTCTCTGTCGTGAAGCTCCTCTGTGGCGGCGTGCTTTTCTGGTTTCTGGTTAAATTCAGCCTGGGCAGGAAACTCCTCACCACGGTATAACTTCCTTCTCTTATCAACCAACCCTCTTTTTGTTGACCTTTAACTTGTTACTTGCTGGCCAGAGTAGTTAATCTGAGTCCCTTGGAAGCAGAGTTGATTTAAATGCAGCCGAGGCTTTTAGATGACTTTCCAGAGCCGTTTAAATCTGCATACATTTCACAGTAAGATGTGTTTGTGCAGCTGGAAGGCTTACCCAAAGCTACTCATGTTAAATGCAGCAGAAGAGTGTAGCAACAACTGTGATATTACATGATGCTGATGAACTGAGAAGTGTTACAAATCAACAAAGATTATACTGTTTCAGTGCTTTATTTATCACATAGTGTATTTCAAGAAAAAGAGTTCTGGAGAGAAAGTTGAGTCAGCAGCAGCATATTTTTTACATTTTAAATTAAACGTGACGTTTGCACTGTTGTTAGACTTGTGAGACAATTCCAGGTTGAATGGATTCATTTATTCTTTTTTATCTTCCTTAAGTTTCCGTCATTGTTCTCCTGCGGCTTATTCTCCAAGTCTGGTCCAACCATGAAGCAGGTAAAACAAACACTGTTTGAGTTTGTAAACACATTTCTATACTCACTTTGCAGCCTAAATGACGCTGCAGCCATTACAGACGGACTGCTGCTCATAGTCAATTCACACCCTTCATTTTCAGTTATCTTGTGATATACAGGTTATAACAATCATGAGGTGACTTAAAATCTAAGGTGTGAAAAGACTATGATAAATCCTTTAGATCTGAAAACAAGTGTAAGGAAATATAGTTATTGTTAAAAGTGATTTAGTTTGTCTAATAAAAGGTACTGAATCCTTATTTTCTTAGTAATTTTACTTTTAAGCTGTTTGGTTTTTAAATAAAAGAATCGTCTGTTCTCTTCAGTATATATTTTTTGTGGTCAAACTGTGACAGTGTGACTGCTAATTGTTTTAAAGCGAAACCTAAGAACCTAAGGCTTTAATGAAAAAAGAAAATTATGTATTTGTTTCACTAAAATGTATTCTTAGTATTAAAAAAAGAACGTATGTACAAAGGTGTCTGAGTTCAGCTTTTGTTAAAACACTCTATACTCCTTTTTTACAAAGTTATTGTAAACACATATACCATCATTACATGATACTACCAGGGGCGTGTTCAGATGGGTGGCCTGAGGTGGCATGGGCATTGAAATCTCATTGGCCACCCCAGGTACCACCCCAAAATCCAAATCTGTGATTGGCTATTGGCCTTATCAGAGGTGGGACTTAAGTACAAATCAACTATTCTGGCTGATTTAAACAGGCTAATAGTTGTACTTTCAGATGTAAATAAATAATTTGCTCTTTCAATAAAAATGTCCAAGGAAAAACTTGCATGCGTGCACATGCATGCAGTTTTAAGTACTTAAAATCATAACTTTGCACATCTTTTTTTTTGAGTCCCTAGAGAATCAAACTAATATTTATATGTTTTATATGTTGCCAAATGAAGTTTCTTACAAATCATTAGTGGTGGTAGAAAGGGTGCGTGTGTGTGGTGCCACAGACGTCATGCCATCCCTCTATACGTCACCCTGGATTTGCCCTTTTCTCTCATTGTTAGAGCTAACAGACGTGACAGCTTTGGTGCGACGGTGGAGCTTAGAGCCTACATCGGCTTGTATTTTTAGTTTGATTGTACAGTACAGTGTGTAATTAATATGCTGTGAAATATTTTTTTTAATTGATTTGTCGTTTCTCTTCATCCTTCATTCTCCTCTCTCTCAGATAGAAGACACCTGTATCAGCATGACATTTTATGGGGAAGGCTACTCAGAGGGCTCAGATCCCACACAGGGTCGACCCAACACCAAGATCTGTACTCAAGTCACAGGAGCAGGTAAAACTGCTACCATCATGTGTAGCTCAGGGTATTAAGAAGTGACTGAAAAATGGTTTACCTGGCTGTACCCTGCACTACACCACTCGATGTACCTTGAAATGTTATTCATTTATTCAGCTGTTCAAATGCTTGTTTCATGTGTGTTTTGGTTTACAGATGGATATCTAATAACAGCCTCTGCTATGGTACAAGCTGCTGTAACTCTGCTGAATGAGCTGCACTCTCTCCCCAGAAGGTTGGTTCAGTCTTTGGTGTTTTTCTTGTGCTCTTTTTACTTTGTCCCTCTTTATCATACATTTAGTCTTTTTTTACTTCTCTAAATCTGCCTTTACTGTCATGCTTTTAAGAGCTCTCTTTTTCTCTGTGTTGTTTTAAACAGGGGAGGCGTGTACAGCCCAGGAGCTGCCTTCTTTAAAACCAGCCTCATCGAGCGCCTCAGTAACCACAACCTTAAGTTCTCAGTCAAAAACTAACACCACTTTATGTTGTTTAATAGTAACCACTGTAAAAGTTAAATCACTAATATTGACTGAAGATGTTCATGATCCGGTACAACATCATCACTAACATTTTAAATTGAAAGTTGTGATTCATCAGAGCGGTCTGAGCTCAGAACAGAACCACTAAAGCAAGGGGAGGTTTGCTGTTTCACTCAAGTCCACTTCAGAAAACATCTGTTTTTAACTCGTTTTCTCTTTTCTTTCTGTTGCAAAGCAGCAAGTACTTGCATTTAAATCTGGGGGGAATGTAAACATGTTTTCCTATCATCTTTAAGATATCTCACATTGATGCAGCAGCTCTACATCTTTCCAACAAGCTGGCATATTTCACACACTAATCTGTTGACTCTGCATTCTTGAAAATGTGTTAGGTTGGCTTTTTGCAAATCTGATCAACACACTTAGTCAACATGCAAACGTGTACTTTAACATGTAAGAAAACAGGGGTGCCAGTGGCCTAGTGGTTGGTGTTTGCGGCCAATTTGCAGAGGCTGTAGTCCTCCAGGTGGGCGGCCCGGATTCAGGTCTGGCCTTTGGCTCCTTTTACCGCATGTAATTTCCCTCACTCTCTCTTTCTCCCTGATTTCCAACTCTATCCACTATCTGTACAATAAGGGCACAAAAAGCCCCAAAAACTAATCTTAGAAAAACAGCAAAAAAGAAACTTCAGCAGAAACTGAGTAATTAAAACAGAATTATAAAAGAACAGAAACATCTTTCTTTTGTGACTTATGGTAATGCAGAATCCATAATGCAGAACATCTCTGGAATAAGAGATGATGCTTTTACTGCTTTTCAGCATCATTCTGACCGACTGCCAACAGTTTAGAAGTCATACATTATTCTCCTTTATCAACAAGTTTAAGTAAGTCTCAGAGCTTCTAACAACATGTCTGTGAAGTTTCTTGTTCTAAATCCACTCTGATCCTGTATTTGATCATTACTATAAACCCCTCTATTTCAGCCCTGCTTAGAACAGACTGTTTCTGTGTCTGTACCTTTAAATGTAAATGAGCTTTGTTTGACCACGCCCCTTCTCTGAAGGGCTTGGTCGGCTCAGGCTTTCTCACACCATTCCCTAATGAAGGCAGACTGAAAAGGCAGACTCAGAGGGCAGAACAAACTCCTAGCTGTGGGAGTGTCACCCACCTGGGGGAGGGGTTACTGCCCTTTGTGATGTCATGAAGGGAAATCGCAATCATTTTCTGAAAAGTGGTGCAGGCAAATCACAGAGAGGATGGACTCTTCTTATAATTGGGGGGACAGACTAGGGACACATTAGTGTTAGAAAAACGTTGTAAAGTGTATTTAGCATAATATTTGAGCTTTATTCTATGTATTTATCTGTACACAAAAAGTAAAATAGATTTATTACAGTGAAATGTCCTCAGATTGTTACTATTATGTGGAAACTATTTCAAAATAAAAGGATATCATCTTAATGGAGAAATCTGGTAATATTATACATTGAGACTGAAAGCAGAGTTTTGAAGTATTGACCAACTGAATATTGTCTTTGGTTGTTGTCAGTCTTTTGGTGTGTTGTCAATAATAATATAGAATAAAACCTTTTTTGAATACATTTTGGCTGCATTGGTTATTCATTAAGAGCCAGTTTGAACCAGAGAGTGTAAATATGATCTCCAGGTGCATTGCCTCAATCATACAATTTCCTTTATTTGAACCCCCCTGAGATCGACTGTTTACAACGCCTGAGAGAAATCAAACAGTCAGAAACGACAGTCCTTGTGTGATTAAATAAACTTATTATTATTATTCTTTTAAATTATTTTTAATCACAAAAGATTAGACAGTTTGTTCAATAAGCGATGCTTGACTTTGCTGAGTTTGAACATTTAACTCAGATTCTTCCTCTGAAAGATTGTCTGGTTGTAATCTTAACATTTACAGTAATCCATGTTTTTGTTTTAGCTCACATCGACAGATCTACATGATACAAGCCACATGTAAAATACTCTGTGCTTGAAGTAAACTCTTTTTTGCCACCAGGTGTCAGTGTTTCCATTGCTGCTCGTCGCTGACAAATGTATATACGGCATGACAGTAGAGGTCACTTGGTGCCTTTCAGGGTGCAGACAGACACGTTGCACAGCCTCACAGAAAAGGATTGCGGGTGCAGCTCTTTAGTCTGTACTAAAAAAGGGGACGCCATCACAGAGCGTTTGATTTAACATAACAGACGTCTCAGATGTGTCTGCGTCTGTGGATGTCGTGTTTCTAAAGAGCTTGCAGCAATTGTCTGCTTTCACCGTTTCTCCTCGATGTGAGTTATTGTTAGTTTCTTCTGTCTCATCTGCCTCCCCCCCCCCCCTCCCCCAGCTGTCACCACCACTCACATAAAAACACACTGACGAAACATAAACACACAAACAGAGAGCTGATTTTGTGTGCAGTGAAAACACAGAGTCCGCCAACAGCTCATGTCAGTGGGGGTATTCTCCTAAAAAAAGGGCCTAAGTTCAGTGTGATGAGTAGCTGCTGGAGGGACGGGTGAGGGTGGTAACCTTGTGTCAGTGTATAAGAATGGAGAGAGAGGGGGGGAAATATTGCAGTGGTTTCCCTCTGTGTAGCAGGGAGCAGCCCCACCCTTCTCCTCTGCCCCTGTGCATGGCTCCAATCTGCAGATATTCAAGTCATGTCCCTCAGCCCCCCCTCCTCTATCCGTCCCACCAGTGATCTTTTCTGCAACCTCCTGGTCTAGTCAGCTTTAAAGTCACGACTGTAATCAAGATCAGTACAGACCAAAACCGCCTTGTTGAGTTTAAAAGTCCAAGAAGCCTTATTGATCTACCACCAAAAACAGACCTCATCTTCACCCTCTGAATATGCCCACAGAAAACATTTCAACTGAAAAAATACTTAGGGCACAATGTCCTGTTGCTAGAATATTTTGAAAATGGTTTAGCAGGTATTGTATGACCCATTGAAAACTGTAAAACCGTCCAATAATGTAATGTTTGGTTGTATACCATCAGCAACAGTTTAAACTCCTGCATATGCACTGGTCCCCTACAGATTGTAAGGGGATATGTAGATCTGTACAGACATTAGCCTCTCCTTGTAGGCAATTACTTTGGGGTGGCTGTGGCTCAGCTGTCAGTCGTCTCTCAACCGGAAGGATCCCCAGCTCCTTCTTCTACATCCAATGTGTCCTTGGTCAAGACACTTAACCCCAAGTTGCTCCTGCTGCTTTGTCGGTGGCTGTTAATGTGTATGAAAGGGATCAGATAATTCTGATGGATCCTTTAGTAGTAGCAGTATCTCAGTCTGTAGGGGCTTGGTTTGGGAACCGGAGGGTTCAAGTCCCAGTGTTGACCAAAATATGGAAGTTGGTCTGGTAGCTGGAGAGGTGCCAGGGCACTATCAGAGCAAGGCCCCAAACTCCCAACAACAGCCTCTTTACCTGCCTCAACCAAAAATGTATTAATAGACTCTAGTTGGTACAGAACTCAGCTGCCAGGTCTTTAACCAGTAAGCATGACCACATTACTCATATTTTAACATCTCTACACTGGCTCCCTGTGTGATTTAGAATTGATTTTAAGATTTTACTGATCACTTTTAAAGCTCTCCATGGCCTTTCTCCCAGCTACATATCAGACCTTTTACTACCATATGAACCGACTCGTACATTGAGATCGTCCAGCAGGGGTCTTTTGGTCTTTCCAAATTCCAAAATAAAAACTAAAGGGGATAGAGCGTTTGCTGCCAGGGCTCCAAAACTGTGGAACGACCTGCCCGAGGAGATCAGGTCAGCCGGATCAGTCATCTATTTTGAGTTCCTGTTTAATTCAAGCTTTCAATTCTACTTTTTTAAAATTCCTTTAAAATAATTGTATGTCTTTTATAATCATTTAAATGTATTTTCATGTCTTAAATTGTTTGATATTTCTTAACCTTTGTCTTGTTTATTATTCTTTGACCTCCCTATTTTTACATTGTTTTGCTGTCCCTGTAAAGCTCTTTGTAACTTCATTTTGAAAAGTCCTCTATAAATAAAGGTTATTATAAAGATTATTATAACACTCTGACATCTCCATTAATGTCCACAGGTCCTGTTTGTGCATGTGTGAGAGAAGCATGCCTCTATAACAGAACCAGAATTCACTCAGTGATTAATAAGGTATGTGAAAAAAAAAAAAAATACAAAGCAGCCTCTGCATTTCAGTGTGTGAATGTGTACGTGTGACATGCAGTATAAAAGTAGTCAGAAGACTAAAAAAGCTCAATACATGCTCAGTCCATTTACAGTAGTTACATCCGCCAAACATCAGTGTTTAACAGGCTGTGCTTAGAAATGTGAATAATCATGTGGGGAAAGTAAATTCCCTGAATGAGTTCAGTGTAGTTTTGTGTTGTTGACTCCCCCTCAGGGGTCTTACACGCTCTCACATATTTTCTGCTTCTGTGACGGTGTCATACTGAATTTTGCTTCATGACCAGTGTGTGGGTCATAAATATATCTTCTGTCAGAATCCAGAAGCAGCGTAGCTCGGAGAGCTCTTGTGAATCTTTCATTGTGTTTCTGTTTCATTCTGTCTCGCTCGGTTTCTCTATGACCTCTTTTCTCTCCCTCTCTCCTGCGAGACGTTTTGTTTGTTTACCCCTTTACTCTTCACGCTCACATAACAAAACATACAGTAGCATTTCATCACATTCTCCTCCTCCTTTTTACATCACTTTTGTTGGGGTTGTATCAAGTCAACTTTGGTTATATTCTTTAATAATTATACTTAATTATTAATAATATAAATAAAATATCATTAAACTATGTTTAATCTCGTTTTGGGGCACCAACCTGTAATCAGGTAAATATAACCAAAATATCACTCAAATCAGTCTCAAATTAGTTATTTAATTACTAATATTATTAATAATGAATAACTATATTTAATAAATTGAAGGCGTGAAATCCGTACACAAAGCCTTCTCACCCAGCTTATATCACAATGCAAATACACCAGTAACCACAAACAACTGCTCTCTTAAATTATAACAGAATTTATTTAAACAAAGCAACATCAATACAATCCAAAATCAATGAACAAATCAATCAAACAAATAACTATTATAAACTAATCTAAGTAACAAACATTATCAAGCAAGGCTTGTGGATGAGGTGTAAATGTGTGTATGTGTGCAGATGAGTGTGTATGTAGATGTGTGAGAGAGAGAGAGAGAGATAGAGAGAACAAGATGGTGGAGAGAGACAATGCATCATGTGGCTTCGTCACATGGTGACAAAAATGGTGGACAACAAAGGAAGCCGTGTGGCTACCTTTTGAAATAGTTTGAGCTCTCTGAGCTGAGTTCAGTAACTGTTACTTTAACACCAGAAAGCCAGTGGCCGGACTTTGATTCAACGGCAGGTACACTGGTCTTTCTGATTGTGAAAGCCGTTGACTGAAGGTAAACTAGCATAGCATTAAACACATAGACGAACACAGCGGTTCATCACAATAAAACAAATGCAGCAGCTTACAACAGATAATATACAGAATGTGACGTGTCGTCAACAATGATGCATAATTATCAGTGGTTAGAAAAGAAACATAACTATTTCTGAAACTATTTCTGCCCAGACCAAAGCTCTTACTTGGGGTAACTCCTGGTGATCGTTGCAAAGTTAGTTAGATCGTCACTCTGTTGAATGTTAAATCAACAGATTCAGGCAGGTTTCCTTCGTGGCAGATGTAGGAGGAGGGTAGCGGGATTCAGATCTTGGACCAGAGTGCTGCTCTATAGGGTCTTCTGGTTGCAGGAGCCGAGTTCTTTATGTGTCCTTGTGGATTCAGGGATCAGTGGGCTTCCTTCAGCGCTCCTGTGAATCCTCTGATGCTTGAATTCAGCATGTGAAGAGCTACCTATACTGAGCAACCTCAGCTCTGGAGTTTAACCTATGTAAGTCAAGAGGAGGAAAGGCTTTGTCTCGAATGCTGGAG